TTATTATTATGTTGCTTTTGGGACTGCATTAAAAAATGCAATTTATGAGTGGTAACTGGTTGTGTGTGAGTGTGTGTGTGTGTGTGTGTAACTGACAAATGCTTTACTTGAGATTAGCAACAGCATCTTCAACAACTGGTTTTCCGAGTCGTTCAAAAGTTCATTCATCCAAAATAATACGGAAAAGTTTAAAATGTGCATAAATTACTTGCAGTAAATCGTAACAAACACAACAACAGCAGCAGCAGCAACAATCAATTCTTGCTAATTGCGAGCGATACATTTTATTCAAATAATTTAAGATGTCTCATCGCAAGAAAACCACGAAACCCACACAACAACAACAACCACAATAACTGAATCAACAAATGTGCACAATCTTTTAAAACAAAACTTTTCTGGCTGATGAGACATAAAGGGTGTTTGTACTTTTAAGTTGTAAATAAATATGCAGGCCTTACATGTATTTAAGAGAGGGAGACAAAAGCAGAGAGAGAAACAGACTTAGTCAGAGATAGAAAGAGATTTAATGATTGATGATGATGATTTTTAATTAGAAGTGACAGATAGATCAGGCATAAGTTGGATTAGTGAAGAGAGCAAGACTAAAGCAGAAGGTTAGTTTATTATTTTATAAAGCGAGCCTTTTTGAATTGCTCCTTTAAATTCATTTTCATTCATTTTTAATAGGAGAGATGGATTAAGTCAGAGCGCAACTTAAGGGCAGAATATCTGTTTGTAGTTAGGACTTTTTGCATTCCTCCCATTTCATTCATTAGCACAGAAAACAGAAATCTGAAAAGCTCACTTCAATTCCTGGAATTGTGCAAATCAGGATGAAAGATGTAAAGCGAGAAGCCGATGTAAATATGAGAGACAAAGTTAGGAAACGAGAGAATAAATGATGATGATTTGAACAAAATATATCATATTAGATGCATTTATAAATTATTATTTTCATTTTATTTAAGTGACTTGCTAAGCAGTTAAAATGAACAGTGGTTAACTAACTCATATCCAAAGGCAAATTTCTATCTTTTATTTTGTTGCCATTTGCCTAATGATCTGTGTCTGCTGCTGGCAATGTCTTTTGGGCCAATTAAAATGTGGCAAATGTTTGGCCAGCTTCTAATTGGCAGCAACAACAGCAAGAAGCGCCATTCTTGACACACATGCCACACAGAGTAAACCACATCCTTTTGCTGTCTTCAGAGATCTTTGCGCTTCTTTCACTAATTTCCTTCCTTCCTTTTGTTTAGTTGTTTGTGTCTTGGCTGTGCTCAAGTGGCATCTTGTGTGTTGCTGTTGCTGCTGTAGCTGTTGCTGCTGACCCAGTCAAGCTGCGACATACCGCAGCTGTTTAATTGTTGCAGCAACGAACTGTGTTAAGTTTTGACCCGAGGGCAACATTTTTTCGCAGTTGCTGCAACCACGTGTGGCAAGTGCGCAGCCCTATGTCCGGGTTGATTAGCTCATGTGCCGCGTCTGCTTGCAATTAGTAACTCTGGGCACGTGTGCAACTGCCTAACTTTCTTTTCTTATGTTTGTTTTTTTTTTTTTTTGGTAACAATACACAGACACACACAATCCTGTGACGTGTCATTTGGATTTATGATTGTTGTGTTACTTTTACTTTTCGATTTTGACCAACTTAAGCGGGACTATCTAATCGCTTGACCAACGACCAACGACCAGCAGCCAAGTGGCAAGTGGCAGCGGCAGCAGCAGCACCATCAGTAGCAGGAAATTTCACATATTGATAATACTGCCACTGCTTCTTTGATAAGTAGCAGCAGCGTCAAAGCGAAAACAAAGGTCTACACTTGATTATCTAAAATAATAAAACAAAATAAATGATAAGAAGAAATAAATAAAATAGTAAAAGTAAAGTAAGCACTTTGCTTAAATACTTTCAAATGTAATTAATAATTAAATTCCATTCCACATATTTAAGATACTCAATGTCCTGTTCAACAGGATAGGGATTATAGTGGGCTTCTTTATGCATTAAATGCATTTATTATCAATATTCAATTCTAAAGATATATAAAACTGGTTTAATTTGAGCATATTTCTATGGGCTCCCATAAGTATGCTATAGATTTGTAATTCAAGCCGATAATTTGCGCATTTGGTGCTGCCACCATTGCCACCATTTGCCACTGTGTGTGTGTGTGTGTGGGTGGTTGAGTGTATCTTTGATGTTGTCTCTGCCAGCTAAGCTCATATTGCATTCGCATTGTTGATTGAGTTTCATGTATTGCATTGAAGCAAATCGAATATTTTAATTAGTGCTTACACAGTTAATAAGCTGCTTATTTGATACACACGCGCGTGCCTCGATTCAATGCTTTAATTGACAGATGCCAAGCGACGCTTCGCCACTACAAACCCCCAGCCCAGCCCAGCCGTAGCCAACCCCCACTTTGACTCATCTCCCTTTGCCTGACCAACCACTAAGCAGCTTCAATTATTCATGTTCCGTGCTGAGTTCTGTGACGCATTTCTCGCATTTATTGTTGTTGTTGTTGTTGTTGCTGAGACTTAATGCGGGTGCTTATCGGGTTTGGAGGTTGAGCTTCGATTTGTTGCGTTTAGTTTTTATTTATCGTTGGACTTTCACTAAAAATATAAACTGGATAACATATACACTTGGGTCTTGTGTCTAACCACAGCCAGCGGTTAATGCCTTATATATAGTTACCCATATCAGAGCTGCTTTGTTGGGATCGAAAAGATCAGCAGGAGCATACAGCATAGCAGAGCTATCAATATTGAGTCAATATGTTTCCTGATTACTGTCAATATGTTAGTTGAATGTCCTTGTTGTTTGTTGACCCCAAATTTTGGATTAGGTGTCGATTTTTGCGCTTCTCTTTTAATTACAATGAACCTTTTGGGGTTGTTTGCTTAAAGTATTTAAATCTTTATTAAGGGAGATGTTTGACACCTAGGATATTAATCCCGTTTTACTTTGTATCTGGCGCTCAAGTTGCTCTGCCAATTATGTGTTTCAATTGCTTTAAGATGGAAACATAACTTGATTCGATTGCGTTGGTTCCCAGCTTGTGTGCAACGCTGCGAATGCGTAATGTGCATTACATTTTATCCGACTTTTGTGGCTTAGGGCAATGACTAACTCGAAACTTTTGTTCGCTCTCCAGTGAGTAACTACGATTACTTATTATTTAATACCTCAGATCGTCGCGTCACTCGCGCATTATCGATACAATATTGATTCACTGACATGAAACTCTTTAGGCTTCCGCCTTTATTTTTTGTTTCCTCTATGAATATCTTTTATTTCATTTATGTCATATACAAAACGCACGCACGCTCCACATAATCATTTGGGTATCGAGTTTTTGGTTGCCCTGTGTCCTTATTTGGTTGTACGTCAAGGTTGCCGCACGTGGACTTCCCGACCCCAGACCCCAGACCCCAGCCCCAAACCAATCCAGTTTTTACCCCAGCTGGCAGGCCAGGGTTGAAAGCTGAAACATATTGCGTAGGTCGTTGTTGTTGCTGCGTGAGGCTCACTCATTTCCAAGCAAAGGCAAAACGTTGCCTTGGCAGCGCCGTTGTCCCGGCCGGAGGACAAACAAGCAGCTCGCTGGCGACAAAGGGACACAACACACAGCGACAGCCGAGCCGAGCCGAACCGAGCCGGGCTGAGCTGAGCTGAGCAATTGAAATTCATCTGCCTCGATTTCCGGCACTCGCACTCGGAAATTTGCGCTTTCCCGCCGTGACAGGTCCTGCGTGGCGAGCAACAAGAATTGCTATGTTTACACAGCCAGACGCACAAAAACGAGCACAGACACACACAGATGCACACACACACACACACACATACACACACACAGACATATACACATACATACATCTACAGCCGGCTACTAAAAGTTGCTCTGAGATGTTGCTCGCGTTTTGTGCCACGTGCCTTGACAGTAGCCGCTAGCGTCTGTTATATTTTATATCCTGCATTAAATGGGTATATTAAAGCGTGCCAAACAAAACGAAAACCTTAATTTAAGCAACACACAAATTTAAGAAAGAAACTTCAATATTTAACAGAATATCAGAGTACAACTGAGTCCAACAACTCTTTATTACCAAATTAAAGCAATCAGTAAGAGTAGAATGCGATTTACAAAAGTAATTTTAAAGTAAACACAACTGTTAAATAAAGTTTATAAATGTATCTAGGCAAAAACACTTGGCTTAGCACTAACTAAAAATTGCACAGTATTTTGTGATAATTGATACTTGAATAGCTCGCAAATGATTCAGCTTTAAGAAGTCGAGTTTTGTTTGGCAGCAATTAAGGCAAACTTTTCTTCACTTAAAAGAAAACCCAAAACTATTCGATGTGTGCTTTTAATATAAGTTTGTTTGTTTTTTTTTTTTCTTTTGCCTTGCTTTGATAAATAATCAATTCGCATGCTCTCATTAGATGTGGGTGTTGGGTTGTTGTTGCTGTTGTTGTTGATTGCTGCTCTGTGTGCGTGTGTGCGTTGGCTGATGGACACCTGAAGGACATCAAAGCGTGTGCAGGCAAACGGTGCTAATCACGCGTGAGAGCGTGTCCACCGAGCCGCGCTCAATGAAGAGCGAAGGCTATTCCAATATATTAGAATGAAAAAAAAAAAAAAACGCACATAAATTAATCCAAGTAACGTCCTTAATGGGAACAGTAGGCACAACTCACACACACACACACACACACAGCTACACGGGTAAAATGGGTCAGCGCCTGGACCGACCGCAATTGTGTGTGGTGAGGTGCATTGAACTTTCGGCACGTGGCCAATGAAGCGTCAACAAGTTGCCCAGCTCAGGGTATCCTTTTGAAGTCAATGGGCATGTGGGTTAAGCCATCTAGTTGGGCTAGGCTCCACTTGGTGGTGGTGGTGGTGGTGGTGGTGCTGGAACTGTGGGAATTGCTTGTTGTTCACCTGCCTATACAAGTATTAATTTTCTCTCCTTTTTCCTTGCAGATACCTGAGAATACACTTTATATTGCAACATACATATATACATATATTTATTTAACATACAAAAGAAGAAGAAGAAAAAAAAACAATCACAAGAGCAAACAATAAATAATAACAAAGACAAAAAACAGAAAACAGAAAACAAACAAGACAAACATTTTTGCCGTTTCGAGAAGCCGTCCAGCACTTATACACAGCGCCAACTATATATACATATATACATAGAGCAATATATGTATGTATTTATTAAATATGCCCAACGTCTGCCACAGCAACAACAGCAAGAACAGCAACAACAACAACAGCAACAGCAAAAACAGCAACAACAAAAAGCTGTAAGGCAACTGCTTCCTTACATTTAAGCCAACAACAACAGCAGGAGGAGGAGGAAGAAGAGGAAGAACAACAGCAACTGGATATTATTATTATAATTGTCATCGGGATTTGGGTGTATCAAATCGGAATCTGTTGCCATGGGTCGCAAAAAAATTCAAATTTCACGCATCACCGACGAACGCAATCGACAGGTGAGTTAAACGCTGCGTATACATAATATTTAACATGCCACTTACGGCTAGGATTATTGTGTGCTTCATCAAAATATCAATTGAGTCGTTTCCATAGAAATGCTTTCCTTAACTTGAATAGTTAATAAATTCTTTACAAGACGAAATGGAAGCTTTTCAGCCATTAGCTATACCAGTTTCAAGTTCATTTGTATGCTATTAAAGCCAAGACAAGCCAAGCCATATTAATTTGATCACAAACAAAGTCCAATAATATATATTTTTTGGAAGCTAGTAACTTACTTCCTTAAGTGTTAACTTAACGTTGTTGTTAACTGTTGCTTTGGTTCAGTTAAACCCCGTCGCACATGGTGTGCGTGACTTTCAGTTGGCTAGTTGAACCAGCTCCTGCAGCGGACATTTGCGGCAACGTAAAGGTTAATGCCTAACCAAGTTGTAAACGCGTCATAACTGGTAACAACAATAGTTGTTCCCACTGCCCTTGACTTGGCCATAATCGATTCATTACCAATCGCAGTTGGTCGCAAGCAGTCTTGCTGCGAGCGTCTAATTACAGTTGGCCACACTTGCATAAATATTTGAACAAGCAATTGGGAACCTTACCTTTTACCTAACCTATCCATCTCTATCTCTCTCTCTCTCCCTCTCTCTCTCTCTCTCTATCTCTATCTCTGTCGCTCTTCGTCTGTATCCGCTGCAGGTGACCTTCAACAAGCGGAAGTTCGGCGTTATGAAGAAGGCCTACGAGCTGTCCGTGCTGTGTGACTGCGAAATAGCGCTGATCATCTTCTCGTCCAGCAACAAGCTCTATCAGTATGCCAGCACCGATATGGATCGCGTGCTGCTCAAATACACCGAATACAATGAGCCACACGAATCGCTGACCAACAAAAATATCATTGAGGTAAGTTCAGTTTTTATTCCTCAATTTCAGCCATCGTAAATCAAGTTTCTGCAACTTACTTTACCGAGTCAATTATAATAATAATAATAATAATAATAATAATAATAATGCATATAATGTTTAGTTAAACAAAACCTAAATCGCTATCGATATTTATTGCGGCTGGCACTTGGCGTGTTGCATAAAATTATGAAAAGTCAAGTGAGCTGTGAAAAGCGCAGCAGCCACGCGGAAAACAAACAGAGCACAAAACATGAAAAAACAGCAACAGCAACAACAACAACAGCTATGCAACTGTGCAACAAAACACAACAAAACAAAACGTTTTCGTTTCGTTTACGTTTTGGCCCTAACAACAGAGACATTTTAGGGCATGAGGAGGGCCAGGCGGGTGGAGGCGCGCTTGGAGACGCCAATGTATTTTGCATTTCTAATGCGGACATTGTCGCAACATTGTTGTTGTTGCCATTGCTGTTGTTGTTGTTGTTGCTGTCTTTGTTTGGTGTCTTTTAAATTGTTTTGTAATGTTAATGCCATGCAGAGCGTAGACAAGATTTACATAATTTAGCACATCAACAGAGCGGCGACATGTCAAGTGCCAAGTGCGCAAGCACCCACCTCCCCCCACCCGTTCTGTGCCTACTAGGCTAGCCCCTCCCAGCCCCTACCATCATCATCATGCACCATCCGTTTAGCTCGTCACGGCCAATTACGAGTACTTGCCTCCACAACCATTTCGCCCACTCTCATCCAGTCTCTCTCTCTCTGTCCCTCTCTCTATCTCTCACACTGTCTCTCTCTCTCTCACTCTCTCTTGTTTTCATTTTACAGAAGGAGAACAAAAACGGCGTCATGTCACCGGATTCACCCGAAGCGGAGGCCGACTACACGCTCACCCCGCGCACCGAAGCCAAATACAATAAGATCGACGAGGAATTTCAGAATATGATGCAGCGCAACCAAATGGCCATTGGCAGTGTTACGGGTGGTGGCGGCGGTAATGGCGGCGGTGGCGGCGGCGGCGGCGGAGGTGGTGGTGGTGGTAACGGTGCGCCCAATCGGCCCATGCCAAATACGAGTTATACGCTGCCAGTATCGGTACCGGTGCCCGGCTCCTACGGTGAGAATCTGCTGCAGGCCAGCCCACAAATGTCCCACACAAACATCAGCCCACGTCCATCGAGTTCGGAGACGGATTCAGGTGGGATGTCCTTAATAAGTTAGTACAGTGTCGCGGGTGCACAATTTTCATTTAATTTCAATTTCTGTTTTGTTTATTGTTTTTGGTTTTTTTTTGCATTCACGTTTTATGTTTGCTAGTTAGTCGTTACTCGCTACTAGTTACTCGTTACTCGCTACTAGTTACTCGCTACTCGTTAATCCTACTAGTTAATATTTTCTTTCAGTTTTGTGACTGTATTTTATTAATTTTACCTCACCTAATTAGAGTAGTTAAACACTTAACTCTTTAGTTTGTTTTTTTTTTTTTGTTTTTGCATGCACACAACTCGTTTAGGCAGCTAATTTCGATTTATTAATAGTGTTTCAACTGTTTGGGAGTTACCTGCTGCGTTCTCTATCTAATCTGTAACATTGCCTGCAAATTTGCTGTTGTTGCTATTGTTTCAATATTTCTTTCATCACAAAAATTGTTGGTGATAAACTGATTGCATATATATTTACTCTATTATATATTTCATTCATCAGTCTATCCATCGGGTACCATGTTGGAGATGTCAAACGGTTATCCACATTCACATTCGCCGCTTGTGGGATCACCCAGTCCAGGCCCCAGTCCTGGCATAGGTGGGCATAATCATCACAATATTCATATTACACATAAGGGCCCCCTTAATATACACACACACACTCAGACCCACTCACACACACTCTCACATCTCACATAATACATCCAATTAGTTCAGTATTAGCAAACGTGTTATTTAAATGTCACACACACACACACCTAAGTCCTTACTCCTTGACCACACACACACACACACATATACACTTAATAATAATAGAGTCACTCGACCCCAGGTCAACGTCGCCCGAAAATGTATTAAACAATTAAATCCCCATTTTTGCAGCGCATCATTTGCCCATTAAGCAGCAATCGCCGGGCAGCCAGAATGGAAGGGCTTCCAATTTGCGTGTCGTAATACCGCCCACTATAGCGCCGAATATGTCTGCGACAGCGGACGATGTCGCCTATGCAGATGTGAGTCTATATAATTTGGAATAAGCTTAAGGATTGAAAAGGGTTCTTCTAGATCTCCATTTAGATAAACTAACCCAAACACTTTAAATCAAATTACAAATATTTATTTTTATTTTCTGTAATTTAAGATTGAGTTTAAAACAGAAATTGATTGAAATTTGATTGCTTCTTAGTTTAAATGTTATGCAATATGAATTTCAGCTTGGTAAATCCGATTGACAGTGGATTATTTTATTATACTTTTTGATGCAAGTCCTGAAATAAGTACTTCCTTTAGTTGTTGATAATTAGTAACCTGCAGATCCGTTTTTAGTTCTTCAAACAATAATAAACTTGTTTATTGTCTTTGTCTTGTCGTGACAATCGAGTCATGAATATCTAACTCTAATGGCAGCTTCAAACTGTAATTACTGCTTCCAATGCCAACAATGATTTTTAATTTGTAGAACTGAGCAGCATCAGTTGAAGAAAACAATTTAAACTTTAAATGAATTATGGAAATAATTGCAGCCGCGCCAGAGCCAGACGTCACTGAATACGCCGGTTGTGACGCTGCAGACGCCGATGCCGCCGCTGACTAGCTACTCGTTTGGGGCGCAGGACTTTTCGCAGTCGGGTGCGATGAGCGCGGACATAATGAGCCTGCCGCAGTGGCATCAGGGTCTCGTGCAGCACACTAGGTGGGTAGTCCAGGCCCCGAGCCCGGCGAATAGCAGCAGCAGCAGCCCCAGCAGGCACTTAACACTTAACGGCGACCAACATCATAATCTGCCTTGCAGTCTATCGCATCTGGCTGTCTCGAATAGCACACCGCCGCCCGCCAGCTCACCCGTCTCCATCAAGGTCAAGGCGGAGCCGCAGTCACCGCCGCGCGATCTCTCCGCCAGCGGCGGCGGTGGTGGCCATCAGCATAATAGCAACGGATCGACGGGCAGCGGCTCCAGCAGCAGCAGCACCAGCAGCAATGTATCCACAGCCGGTGGCGTTGCCAATGTTCTGACTGCCATCAATGCACAGTTGGGCAGCGCAAGCGTGCTAACGGGAACACCTGGCGGTGGTGGGACAAACGGCAGCGCCGAGCAGGCCACCAACCTGAGCGTTCTAAGTCATTCGCAACAGCACCTGGTCATGCCCAATTCACGGCCCTCATCCACCGGCCATATAACACCCACACCAGGTATGTCCAATTTCTCAAATATTTCGCCAAAAAACAATTATATATCAATCCAAAAATGTCGCTTGCAAATTTAATCAATTTTTGTTTTTCTACTAATTTTGAGATCTTTTTGATATTTGATATCTATGTTAATTGTGTTCCTTTTGCGGCATGTCTCTTAATGCTATCCAAAAAATAAAAATAAATAAATAAAAAAAATGAAAGATTTCAATTTAGTGACAGCCCATGCAGCGTATGTGCAATATTAAATTACGCATACGGCGCCTGTGCCGCTACTTAGGATTGCAGCCGATTTATGTATCGCTGCCTCAAATCAATTATTTTGTTCGTTTGATTAACCAACAATTAACAACAACAACTATATATGACAATTTTTAGGGCATGATAAGTATGAAGGATATCCGTACCGCGCGCTTATGGGACATAATTCTAGATGGAATTTTGCCGGTAAATTGGCCAAAAGCACAAGCAAAAGCATACAAAAACATTTAAAAACACACAAAACACACACACACACACATAATCAAATGATTCTACATGCATAAATCACACAAAGAAACACACACAAAAAAAGAACACACTTGAAGACATGCCAGAGCTGATTAGCAATCGATAACAGCATCGATAATAACGATATGATTGCAGATTATGTTATAGCTTATAGAACTTGTACAGCAGCTATAATAAATATAAAAAAAGAAATGTGTAAATTTACTAAGAGATTTTTAAATCTTGGAACAGCTGCTATCGATATTTATCGATTGTTTTGTGCCATCGATAGCTAAACAGCTCTATTTTTTTGTATACACTTCCATCAAAATTTTGTAAATATTTTTATGATTTTCCAATACGTTTCGCCAGACTGAATATCAATTGAAATGCCAACGTTTTCGGTTTCTTAGCCAAACAACAAATATCTAATAATTGCCTGCCTTTTGTTTTTTGATTTCTTCACTAATCCACCAGTTAACCTGAGCAAACACTCGTGCTCATTTAACACACACACACACACACAGACACCACATATACATACCCACACACACACACATACAGACACACTCACACATAAACCGAAAGTTTGCCAGACGTTGAATGCCATTGCGTCTGGCCCTAAAAAAGCCCCTGCGCCTGCTGCCACACACATTTACCGTTTGTACAGCTCAAACTAATAGTTTAACAGATTTTATTATCTTAAACGCAGGTGCGCCTGGCAGCGAACAGGATGTGCGCCTAGCAGCCGTTGCCGTGCAACAGCAGCAGCAGCAACAACAGCAACAACAGCAGCAGCAACAGCAACAACAACAACATCAGCAACAGCAACAACAGCAGCAGCAACAACAACAACAACATCAGCAGCAACAACAACAGCAACAGTTGAGTGATTACGATGCGCCCAATCACAAAAGGCCGAGAATATCTGGCGGTTGGGGCACATAGCCGGCACGTGGCCCTGCTTCAAGCAACTATAAGCTACAGTCGCAACAACAGCAACAACAACAAGAACAGCAACATCACAACATCAGCAACAAGAAGCCAGTCAGCAACAGCGATGATCTGGCAATGATGCCGCCGCCACAGCGCAAAGAGACGTCTGCAAATCGTGCGTTTCTAAATGTGCCCAATTATGGTCAGCGTGGCAGCGGCTATGATTGCTATGGCCAACATCTGGCTGTTAACTATGGCATGCAGCAGCATGAGGCGCAGTAGCGAGAAGCGTGTAGCGAGTAGCGAGTAGCGAGCAGCGATAACAACATCAGCAACATCATCAACAGCAACAGCAAGAACAGAGCACAGAACCGTTTCCAGACCAGTGCAATAGTTTTGATTAGTCAGCTGGAAGCGACAAGTTTTGTTATTGTTTTTCATAGCTTAAGCAAAAAACAAGTGACAGTGTCATATCTACAATTATTGTCTAATATATAATTTATAATACTATATGTAGTATATATCTATATATATATATATATATACATATAATAGTTATAATTTTAAATTATATAGTATATACCAACTACACATACACCCTTATAAATCTTGATGTGTTAGTTTTGTGCGCCGATTTGAACTGGCCCCCTTAAACTGAGAGCCGTTTTGAAAGCCGTAGCTAGTTAATTACCAATACAAATAAGATGCAAACAAAACAAACTGATGTTTAAAGTTAAGCGCAAGAGAGTCAAGTTTTCAAACAGTGCGACAGTTAGTTAGTTGTTAAGTGTGTTGAGCTGATTTAGTTTAATTCAATTTAATGTTAACTTTAAGTCAACAAAAACAACAACAACAAGCAAACACACCTACACACATCTTGTACATAAGCACTCGAACGTCAATAAGTTTTAAACCAACAAAATCACTACAAATAAAATTACAAGATACGTAATACATGCAAGTCATACACTATATGATATATAAAATATAAACAAATGTAATTATGAGATGAGGTCAAGTTTTACAATCTAAGCACATAATTGTAAAATCTCCCTTGAAAATACACACACCCCCACAAAAACACACATACACACACACACATGAAAATGTACTCAAAAACATTATGCAATCACATCAAGTTTGGTTTTTGTTTGCTTAAATATAATTTCCTAATTAATTGAAGTGCAATTTATGAATATGGTTTATGAGGTTTTGTGCACAACACTTGCAATACAAATTATAAATATATATTTTATTTTATTCAACGACTCAGTTTAATTTTAATTTAACTATTAATTTCTAATTTAATACAATAGATCTAAGATTTAGTTGTGTTTGTGAGAGTGAGTCGGGTGGGACAGTAAGAGATCGGGAGCGAGAGAGAGAGAAAGGAAGAGAGAGAGAGAGAGAGAGAGAAGAGCGCGGTATTTGCAAAGAAAGAAAAGCTTGATTTAATTATAATTATAATTTTCTTAAGCGCCCCCCTATTTTATAGACTTTATTCTCTTCTTCTCTAAGCAAAACGAAGTCATAATTTGTAATTAACTTAAAAGTGAATTTCTGTTCGATTTGAAGCGTTTTTTCAAATGTTGCGCCTTAAGTTTTGTATTTTTACATTTACCATTTACGATTTACAATTTTAAATGCAGTTTGTAAAACAAAAAAAAAAAAACAAAAAAAAAAAAAACAACTCAAAACACAAAATATAATTTAAATAAAATGATTATAAACAATTTCAGTTGCGGTCGCTACTTCTTTTATTTGATTTTATATATTTTCCCAATTCATATCATTTCATATTTCTTTCTGAAGAAGTAAACATGTACCTTTAATCATACATACTTATGTAGGTGGGTGGGGCTGTGTGCATGTCAATTGCCCATTTATTTTATTGAAATACATAAGTTCATAAGAATATATATTTAGACATTTTAGAGGTAAACGCGCTCAGTAAATATTTGCGCCAGCACAATATGATCGACCTGCTGCACTTTATAAAGCCAATATGTAAAAATCGAAAACAAATAAGCAAAATATTGAAAAAACATATGGATTTGCATATTTAATTCAACAGTACGTATACTTTATTTATGCTGTGGACTGTAACAGCTGTGCATACTTATATAGCGCAAAATGACCGATCCGAGTGCACAACAAATAAACAAAAACAATAAACATATAAACACTTTACAGGTTTCCCAGAGATGAACAACAAACAAGCTTTACACATATATATATATAAAATAAACTGAGCTATGTATATGTACATATGTATATGCAGAAATATATATGTATATAATTAATATAAAGTAGCCAAAGCTACATATTTTCTAGCAATATACTGAAAATTCGAAGGAATTAATATTAAGATACATATTAACAAAGAAGGACAAGAACATAATAATATAAGCAGAATTCCCATAACAAGTCTAAATTAATCGAAACCAATTTGTCAGAGTGCCTTTCATAAAACGTTGAAATCAATTTTTGAAATTTCGAATAGACTATTTAGATTCAATTTTGAACAGAATAAATTTTTAAACAAATTTACAAAGCACTCTGGCAAAGAAGAAAGACACACAAATGGATGTTTATGCGGCCGTTGTATATGTATAAGCAAAGTATAAATATACATCAAATGATCTATACCAAATACATTGAGTGTTGAATGTAATGTTACAATTGTTATGTGTACGTTGTGTTAACCCAAAAAGAATTTTTTCATATAATTTGCAAATGAACTTTTCCATATTTCCCGTAAAATCGGTTTTCCTACTATCTTTGGTTATGTGTAAATAAATCCTGGTAATTGAAACTTCACTCTGTAGTGTTGCCTTAAAAACAGTGCCTCTTGAATTAACAAAACATAAACATAAATGTTGAACAGCGATCACTTGCTGAATGAACTTATGTATAACAATATGAAAATTAAAACTTGATGGTGAAAAATATTTCAATACAGGTGTTATTTGTGCTATTTAAATAAATGTAGTTAATGCAACCATACACAAATGTAATTAAACTAAGCTTTAAAACTAACATTAAATTAATACAACTTGGACAAAATGGATAAGTAACTCAACTAGAGCAGCACATCATGTACAAAACGTTCATTGAGCAGGCTAAATTCTAATTGGCATATGAAGATATGAATACGTTAAGAAGTCTCACATATACATATACATTTATATATATATATATGTATATTTGGTAGATATACGATGAATTTGGCGCAGTGAACTGTATAGCTGGTCTACAAGGCGATTTTATGGTCACAGGGACCACAAAATAATATAAATGATACAAAGATATGTGCAAGGTATTCGTCTAATGGTTTCCAGCCGAGGTTCGAGTTTGTAAATGCATAAATGTAACTATAGTTGTATTTAGAATAAAATGTTGAACCAATGCACTGTTGTAAGGCGATTTATGTGGCACCTGAACAAGATATAAAAACAGTCTAGTTGAAATTTAAGCAAACCGTGTTAATAAGCAAAAGACTTTATGCATAAAACATACTTATATATATATACACATATATACAAGATGACAGTGTGCACATAAATTATAGAATCAATTGAGTCTTTTAATTAAACTAATATAGATTTAATATTTGTATTGTTTAGTTTTCGGTTTAGCAAATTAAATGTTGTTAATGTTATGTATATGCTAGTCTAATGCTAACAGTCACAATTTTTATAAATATTTACTTATGTTACTAACAAAAGATATATTGTGGTCCCATTTGCAACTCGTTGTCCAGATAATCATACAGAAAAGCCCGCATGAGCACAAACTAACAAGTTATACGTACAGATCCATATTGATAAGATTTAAACATGAAATTAAGCTATGATTGGGTACCAGAAAAAAGCGTTTAAAAGTTTATAAAACCTTTAGAGCGCTCTCATTAAAAAACACAACAGATAAATATGTTTAAAAATATACAAATTAAGTGATATGCATCTAGCTAAGTAATCAATGTAAAGTGCGCTCCAAATCGATATTACTTAATATACCATACACATATTGTAATAACCATCGATGTATTTCTGTTCAAATAATTTACAGTACACATTTGTAAGTGTACGCATTATGTTTAGGCGAAAATTAGTTACAATTTTGGTGAAAAATATTAAAAAAAGAAACAAAAACAAAAAAGAGCAGCTATATATAAATGATGTATGATTATGATATATATTATGTAAACAAGTTTTATCCGTGCACTGAATATGAAAGGTTTTGACAAATTGATTGTGGAAAAAAGAAATATTTACCAAATAAGTTGATGTTTTAAACATAAAAGTAGAAACTTTTAAATAAAAACCTTTTTGGCAACTGAATTTCACAATTTCACATTTCACTCTTCTTTTATTGCAACTTCGATATCAGACTTACATAATTACAGTTAATTACAATTTTTAAAATAATTTCCAAGCAATTTTGACACATGTACTTTTAGACTTATTGTTCTTTTGAATTACAAACTAATCAAATGCAATTGTGGCATAATTCATGTATTTTACGTTCTTCAAAGCAAGAAGATTGCATTACATGCCATTGTAGGCGGGGCCACCGCCTCCCTCAGGAACAACCCAATTGATATTCTGCTTGGGATCCTTGATATCACAGGTTTTGCAGTGTATGCAGTTTTGTGCATTGATTTGCAGCTTCATATTGCCGCCCTCCTCGTTGGGCACATACTCATAGACGCCAGCGGGGCAGAAACGCTGCTCGGGTCCCTCATAGATGGCCAGATTGTGATCAACAGGAATACGATCGTCCTTGAGCGTCAAATGTGCTGGCTGATCACCCTCGTGATTGGTGCCTGTTAGCGCCACCGAGGACAGCAAATCGAAGGAGATTTTACCATCTGGCTTGGGATACACAATGCGCTCACTAACATTGGCAGGCTTCAACGACTCGTGATCCGGTATTTTATGAGTCAGCGTCCAGGGCTCCCTGCCGCCCATGAAAATGGAGAAACCACTGAGCACAAGTCCGCCATAGAGACCCAGCGGATTGTGGAAGGACGGATGCACATTGCGCACCTTGTACAAGTCCTTCCAAATGAACGACTCCTTAATTCTAAAATATAAGTTTTTCAGAATTTAGCTTAGGTGCGCAGGTAATTAATTTCAACTCACTTGTCCGCATAGCTGATGGGCTCAATGCCCGCTGTTGTTTGCGTACCCTCAGCAATGGCCTCCAGGGCGCTCTCTGCGGCCAGCATGCCACTCTTCATCGCATAGTGGGAGCCCTTGATGCGTGGCACATTAAGGAAGCCGGCGCTGCAACCCACCAGACAGCCTCCCGGGAAGGATAACTTCTTGGGTAAACTCTGGAAGCCGCCCTCGTTGATAGCACGTGCGCCATAACCAATGCGCGTTGCGCCCTCGAAGACGGACCGCACTTTGGGATGCGTCTTGAAACGCTGGAATTCCTGGAAGGGACTGATCCAAGGATTTTTGTAGTTCAATCCAACAACGAATCCCACAGCGATGGTGGGCGTGGGCTCATCAAGATGGTAAAGAAATGAGCCACCGTACGTAAAGCGATCCAGAGGCCAGCCAATCGAATGCTCCACCAGACCAGGTCTTAAAAAGAATGTATTAATAGTAGTGACTTTCTTTGTCTATAACAATGTTGAAACTCACTGATGATGCTCTGGAGCGATCTCCCACACCTCTTTTAGTCCTATGCCATAAGTTTGCGAGTCGCTGCCCTCATTGAGGCCAAATTTCTCCATAATCTGCTTGGACAGATGACCACGGCAGCCCTCGGCAAATATCGTGGTCTTCGCATGCAATTCCATGCCGCGTGCAAAGGTTTCTTTTGGTGCTCCACTCTTGGCAATGCCGACATCGTTCGTGGCAATGCCCTTAACGCTGCCATCCTCATGGAACAGCACCTCAGAGGCCGCACATCCGGGATAAATCTCAACGCCCAATGCCTCTGCCTGATCACCCAGCCATTTGACCAAGTGACCCAGACGCACAACATAATTGCCATGATTGTCCATGGGCCAGCCCTTGAAAATGGGTATCGAGATGCGACCGGTGGGCGTCAGATAAGAGAAGGTGTCCTTCGACACGGGCGTGTTCAACGGCGCACCCTGCTCCTGCCAGTCAGGTATCAGTTCGTTTATGGAAATCGGATCGATGACAGCGCCAGAGAGTATGTGACCACCAGCCTCGGCGGCTTTCTCCACAATGCACACGCGAATCTCCTAAACATGCAGAACATGAAGATTCGACAACTTAGCATCGCATAATGTGATAAGAAGCTCACCTGATTCTTTTCAGCAGCTAGCTGTTTGGCACGTATTGCAGCTGACATGCCAGCTGGTCCACCGCCAACAATAACTAAGTCGACCTCCTCGATGCATCGCTCCATGTCCACCTCCTTCCATCTCTCGTCCTTTTCACGCGGATTCAAAGTGTAGTGGGTGGTTATCTTTGGATATTTTGCTGCCTCCGAAACGCTGCGCACAAAGGCGGGCGTGAAGAGCTTGTGAGCTGGGCATGGTAAATAATATTCGACAGATAATCAATGATTGCAAAACCAATTTCCAAAAGCGCATTAATTGACAAGAACTGTGATAAGGATTACACATAACAGAGGAGTTCTCTTTATGAACTCTTGGCAATCTGATGATGCGTTGCTAACATTATATAAGTTGTCCAAGGGCCTTATCTTTATGTTTTCTGTCTCGCATCCCAAAACATTTAAATTATGTAATCGTCAAATTGTTTGTTTTCTTTAAACTCACCTCTGTGTATTTTCAGCAGTGCCGACATTTTCAATATTATGGTCAGCAAACTATTTCTCTAATCAGTGTACCTAAAACGTATACACATAATTTATTATATTTTTATTTATATAAATATCAAACAAAAACAATGAGTGGCGACGCCAACAGTGCAACAAGTTGGACTTTAGACTCGCCCAGCGAGGCGCAACTGTTGTTGCTGCTTCTTTAGTTGAAATTATTTGAATTGATTTGTATTTTTATTTACCTATTGGTTGTTTGGTTCTTCGCAGTTGAGATATGTGTGCCGTAATAAGCTTTTGTGGACGGAATTGAAAATAAAACAAATGCGAAATGAAAGCCACCCGCGACATACAGCTGTTAAAACTAGAGCGGAGCGCGTGCCGTGATTGCGCACGACTTCACAGTGTGCTTGCCGGCTTTGCGGTTCTTGCTATTAAAATAATATCAAAGGTTCTTAATTTGAACGAGATTATTGCATCATTGTAAAAGTGAACACCTAATAATACATTAGTTTCCAAAATGCACAAACAATAAGAATCTCTTCGTATGTGCGTAATGCGAGCCAAACTCAACACGAGTTCAGCTCAATTAAAAACTTGTTGCTTCGGCGTTGCCAGATCTGCAGTGCGAGATATAATTTGCTTACAGCAACAGTTTGTCTTTGTAGCCGCTCGCCCACAGATGGCGCCAGCTGCTCATGAATTAATTTGCAATTTGAATTGTATTGAATTTGAATTTTTGATTACTAAGGCCAATACCAATGCCATCTTAAAATAGATTCTAATAAAAAGATATCTAAAAATAGGCAATAAAAACAGATAGTTAGTGAGTGGTCTTTATTTAAAAGATTGTTCACAACATTTCAATGCATATAGTCGAAGTACATTTAAATTTCAAATTTTGTATTTTGTTATTACACCTAATAAATATATTTATGTGCATTGGTATATGTTTCAAGCCTTGCTCATCATTTGAATAATGTTTATTTATTTTTTTTTTTTAGTTTTCTCTTTTAAACAGATCAAAGCATGGTGAATTTTTAATCCAGCCCCAATTAAAAATTCAAATTAATTACAATTGCAATAACTATCGTGCGTTATAAATCATATACATTTGTTTAACAACATTTATCATAATGTTTCGTTTTGTCCAATTAATATTTACAGTGTGCATTGTACGGAAAAACTCTATGGCTCAAAGAACTGCTCAGCACTGGCCTCTTCCAAATTATTCTGTTCGCTGCTCTTCAGTTGCTGCTCTTCTTGTGGCTGTCTTTGTTGTTGCTGCTGTTGCTGTTGTTGTGGTTCTTGATGGTGTTTGTCGAAAAGCATCGTTATGGTTTTATCAACTGTGTTGCTATCATCACTTGGCTGCTGCTGCTCCTGCTTGCCCCCGTCAGCAGTAATCTTGTTTTGCTGCAGCTGCGCTTTGGTTTGATTCGATTCCGTGCCGGCAGCTCCATCTCCAGGAGAACGCTTTCCGAAGCGCATGAAATTTGAATCCATTTTGCCATTACGCTCAAACTCTGTGGGCGGTGAGCGGCCGAAACGCATGAAGTTATCAGGTCGACCGAAACGCATAAAATCCGGCTTGGAACTGCGCTGCTCCTCGTGATAGTTCACGTTCCGGCCAAAACGCATAAAGTCATCGGCGCGTCCGAAACGCATGAAATCCTGCTTGGGATCGCGACCAAACCTCATGAAATCCTGCTTGGGATCCCGTCCAAACCTCATGAAATCCTGCTTAGGATCACGTCCAAAGCGCATGAAATCCTGCTTGGGATCACGTCCAAAGCGCATGAAATCCTGCTTAGGATCACGTCCAAATCGCATGAAATCCTGCTTGGGATCCCGTCCAAAGCGCATGAAATCCTGCTTAGGATCACGTCCAAATCGCATGAAATCCTGCTTAGGATCACGTCCAAAGCGCATGAAATCCGAAGGTGCACGACCGAAGCGCATAAAATCCGATGGGGTGCGTCCGAAGCGCATAAAATCCTGCTTGGGCTCGCGTCCATAGCGATCCATGGCCGAGCGCTTGGACATCTCATAGTAGCCGGGTCCTGTTGGCTGCGGTAACTGCTCCGCCTGCCGTTTGCCAAAGTGCATGAAGTTGTCCCGCAACGATTTCCGCTTCTGCTCATAGTCCGGATCGTATTTGAGCTGCGGCTTTCGTGCGTTTTTCTGTAAACGCAACACCATCGAATTCTTGCCATAGTCAAACCCAATGTTCGAAATTGGAAGCCGTAACTCCAGTTCGGTTTGATCCGGCTTCTCGTTCATCATCATCATAGCATCCAACATGTCATTGTCAACTGCTGGAAGCGGCTCAGTGCTCGAATCCTCCAGTTCGTTAAGTGCATTATCAGTGTAGTTGGGCGTGTCAATGATCTCGCTGTAGATGGCCGACTGCATTTGGTACAGAGCCAGCAGAAACATCAATGCAATGCCCATGGTTGGAGTAGGATTATCTGTAAGAATACACGCAGATAGAGAGAGAGAGAGGGAGACGAGGAGAGAAGGAGAGAAGGGTTATTACAACATAATTATGAGGTGTTGGATAAATCACTTGGCGCATTATCTATTACAAGTTTTAATCACATTAACGCCCTCATCTGACAAAGCAACTAACGCCATTCATTTTACTTAACAGCTACCAGCAACAACAACAACAAGAAGAGGACAACGAAGCAGCATCTCCGGTGGCAGCATCTTAACGCCATTTCTTTCAGCTCTATTCAGACAAAGTGCCCCGCTAATTAACCATAACAATATTTATGCGATAATACGCCTGGCCAAGAGCGAAATATGAATGTGCGCGTAAAAAGTTAACCAAGCGCATTAATGGCAATAGCAGTAGCAGCAGCACCAGCAGTAACAGCAGTTACAGCAGTAGCAACATGAGTTGGCACTGGCTAACCAAAGGCGTCAAGTCAACCCCGCACCAATCCCCCCCATCCCACACAAGATGTGCCCATCAACAGCCTTTATAGAACTGGCTGAAGGCGCTAAACTGTTGGCTTACATGTGAAGCAGGCGGTGTTGAGTGGTTGATGTATGAACGTCCGGACTCCGTCAGAGTCAGGCCATTAGAGATGCAAATGATTATGGCTTTTGGATGTAGTGACGCTAGCGTTGAAGTACTCAACTGGCAGACAAGCAAAGATAAGCTGAGCGTTTGCTTATGCATTGCATCAACATCAGCAACAGCAACAGCATCAGATAGCTAATTTAAGTGGATAAGCAGCTAATGAACTAGGCCATTGAAATAAGATAGAAGTGTAAGCCTGCAAATTCCAATTATAGGCGTTGTAAATAGTTTTGAGGTCAGCATCAGACCAATAGGATTGGAGTACCAAGCATGATCTACAATTTTTGCAGGAAAATCAATGAAACTCTTCACAGCTTCTAAAACCGAAAAGAAGGTTGAATACTTTTGTAACATTGTGAATTAATGAACCCCCAAAAAACGAACTAAATATCTAAATCTATGTGGTAATAACTCGGAGGTTGTAAATAAATACCGCTTTAAACTCATGGTTGACTGTAAAATTAATGTCTGGAAACTTAGTCCAAATGAACGGCATTCGATTAAGCGATCCTCACATTTTTTAAATGTGCATCTTTATTTTTTATTCAAATAAATGAAGTCGCGAATTTTCAACTAACCATAGACTTCTTTCATTACTTAAACCAGATAAAACTCGCAAAACTCTGCACAAATCCAGCTATTCATTTCAGTTCTTCGGTAAAAGTATGGCTTTATCAGATTTCCTCATTATTTTTTCACTTTCAGCTGAATAGTCAGCAGATTTGTTGATGAATTAAACCGATCCAAAACTAATTAATCGTGTGTACAATTTAAATTAGATAATTATCAGATCGATAGAAAAAATATGAATTTTAAATTTTATAAGCCGCATTTGTGTTTTCTTACAGCTTGCTGAAAATTCGCGCATTTTATGCGGCATATTGTATAAATGGATGTATAACTGGACTTCCCCACACGTTTAACTTGACATTAATTTCGGAAAAGTTGGTCAACTTATTGCTCAGTTTAAAGTGAACGCTGCTGTGCGACTAGGACAGCTAGATAACTGTTAAAAACTTGTTTAGTCTACGCCGTAGACGCACAACAACAACAACAACAATTTGACCCCGGCTGATGAGCTGGCCAACGATTTACATTAACATACATTTGATGTACGTGCACATTAATGTGCAATTTCACAAACTTTTATACAAATAAAAAACAGTAATTCATTTTTTTCTTTTTTTTTAGTTTTTTGTTTTTTATTTGGTTTTGCGAACGCAATCAGCGGCAATTCATATTTGGGCAATAAGTGTCAAATGAAATGCACACAAAACTGTTGACACGACGAGTGGCAAAGGTATTGTCCCTGTGGTTGGTGCCATTGGCAATTTGCCAGCTAAATTAACAGTCAGTGCCTAAATTTCAGCCGGTTGCCTGGTCACAACTATGCGCATCAAATGCGTACCTTTTGTAGCTAATCAACAAAAAGCGGCACTTGCAATATGACAACATTTGGTAGCAGTAAATTGTGCAGCTGCCATCAAAGTGCCATTCAATTTATGAGTTTGCCAAAAGCATTATTATGAGAGATGTTGCAGCAATACTATTTGCAGTGTGTACTTAGAGCTGCATTATTTAAGATTAACAAAAATAATCAGTTTTTTTTACAATTGTTCGCTGTTGGCTGTGTGTAGGTGTATATTTTGAATGTTGCCTGGAATTTGGCATGCGTCCTGTTCTCTTTTGTCTGCCTTGCTCGCGTGGCAGTCGTATCAATAACACACTCGTTAATTCGTTTAGGCTCAGAGTCAATATGAAAGCCGACACTTCTCGCTTCTTTTTTTTTTTTGTGGGAGGAGGGGGAAGGTGCACTTTGTTTAACGAACACTTTTAATCAGATTTTCATATCTTACGAATGTGCCGCAATGCGATACACTTGAAGTGCCATCTTCTCAATCTGGTACTCCATCTATCCGGACATTATGTTTTTGTCAGAGAATATCTTGTGCTAAATTTAAATATGCAAATAATTTATCAACAGACAGCTCAACACCTCAACGGCTCGCAAAAATGAAAAAAAAAAAAAAAACAAAAAGACAAATGATTGTCGCGTCGTATGTGGCACAGTGAGACATTTGCAGCACGGGTAAGTTGCTGGAATGAGCATAGAACAACTATGGCTGTTGTCCTGAACCTTGCCAGTGATAAATCAAAAATTTTACATGCTTCGCCGCTAGTTCTTGAGCTGCACATGCAACCTGGCCAACTGATGTACAACCTTAACTATTATTACCACGAATGAAAACTGCAGAGAATGCGGAAACTGCATTGGCCAAATGAAAATCTAGTGACGCTTTGTGGCGAATGCTTCTCTCCAAAGTGCAGCCGTAAATATTTCAATTTACTTTCATTAGCCCAAAATAAACGTGTGTCTGAGTGTGGTTGGGTGTCAGCATCTGGCCAATAACAGTTTTTGCCACATGCAGCGAGTTTTTCATCTCAATATCTTTAACCTCAATTTACCAACTTTTAAGAAGAGATGAAATTTGATATTTCAGTTCCCATCAGAGTTTTTAAGTGAGATGAAATCAAAATGGAAACCGTTAACCAAAAATGGGAAAATAAAAAATTAATTTGGGCTATTATGTGCTCTGAATACTGTTTTAATCAGTTTTTCCTCGAATTTTATAATTTAATTTATATCCTTTGCAAATTAAAGAATGAAAAAAGTGTCCAGCATTCAAGTGAACTAAAAATAACATATTTTTTATATGTTGAAAACAGAAATACGAACATTAAAAAGACAAATTGTGTTGTGCCTTTGGCTCATAGCTGAATGAGTGAGTCGGTTCAGTAGAGCTTATAAGACTAAATAGCTATTTAATAAATTATTTTGAATTATGCAGTATAAAATCTAACTTTTATGTTGATAGCTCAACTCAAAAAAACTAAATCGAACAAACAAAATTAGTAATTTCGAATTTATCATTTTAGAAAGGCGACATAAATCTATAACTTGAAATGAGTTGGAAAAAGACTTCATTCAACGTATTTCATCTTAACGATTTTCATCCTATGATCAAATGAAATCAAAGAAATATTTCTTAGTTTAAGAAATTGGCATTTATATTTAAGTCATGAATATATTTTCTGATCTTAGATTGGATTTCTCCGAGAGTCTGATAAAACTTAGATTGGATTTCTGTGTGAACCTTTTCTTTGTTTATTTCACAAGGTTTATTATTAATATTCAACTATTAAATAAATATAGCTTACCTTGTGCAATATGAATGTAAAATAGATTAATTAAATAGGCATACCGTAGACGAAATTAAAGTAGGAATGCCAACACTTTCACACTAGCCACACACACCGTGACTTTGCCGTTGAGGATGTTCTTGTACGGCGTGGTTTTGGGTACAGGACACTTGTTGACCGTGGAAATGTGAAGCACTTCTGTGGGAATGTTTGGCGAAACATCCGGTTTTATATGGATACAGTCGACAAGCAACAGTCGACAGGCAACAGCCGACAACCGACAAACGACAAACGACGGCCAGCCGACGATGTTGTTCTTTGTTAAGGATTATAGGCAGGCAAGAGGCCAAAGCCCAGCCCGTGTGGCATGTGGGTGTTTGTTGAAACAGCCGCAGCACCAGCAACAAGTGTTGCTGCAAAATGTCTATGCAACATTTATGTGTGTTGTTTGGCAACAGTTGCTGCCTTGCTGATGCCCTCCAATTCAACACGTATACATTTCTGTATTTGGGCTCATTTTTTGTTTAAATTTTGTGTCTATTTATTTATAGTTCGTCGTTTAACTGCAAACCAGAGATAAGCAGCAACAGCTGCCGCGTCAGCCTTGACAATGTCGGCCTGGCTCTGATTTGTTTGTTGTCAGACACGACTGTCAGCCAAACAATGACCAACGGGCAGTTGCATTGTGTTGGCCATTTTTATATGCATCTTTATTAACTGTATGCATCTATGTTAATGTGTGTGTGTGTGTGTGTAAGTAAAACCATCAGCACAATGACGCAGCAACATTTTGTCGCCGCTTTGCTGGTAATTCAAGCGCCAAATTGTATGCAAATCACCCACAATTGTTATGTTCCGCCTTCTTTTAAGTTAAGACCCGCACAACCATTCCCCATCCCCTATATATTTATATATCTGCCTATATCCAACCCATACCCCATGAAGAGCGGTCCGCGTCCAATTAGCCTTGTGCACAACTTGGACGGGGTCTACGTGTGGGTATGCGGTATAATTTGGCCTTGTCGCCAGTCGCTTAGAGAGTTTTATGGTCCTGTAACGGGATACATTGTGGCGCCTTCAGCATCCCGATTCGTCTGACGTCCGGCGTGCGCCGTCTGTCGGATGTTGCCTGTCGCAGCAACAGCCCCGCCTCCTTGGCCAGTGTCTGCATTTTGGCCTGAATGTTTAGCACTTTTTGGCCAGTGAGTTAAAGTCTGTAATTACGGCCTCAAAGGCTAAACTCTTCTTTGTCTTTTCTCTTTGGCGTGTGTGAATTCGAAGAACTCTCCCAGCCCTGAGCAAAGAGACAGGCATTGTTGAATTGCCACAAATGTGTCACTATTTATTGTCTGCTTGTTCGTGTTTTTAGCGATCATCTAAAATCAATAGCAGCTTATTTGCATTGATAAATATGCATGGTGATGATGACTCCATTTACATAAATGGCTAACTCAACGAATACCTGCCTCCACGTTCAAGTTCAAAGCGTTTTCTTGACCGCGACAACGGATCCAGTCGCGTGGTTCGTTTTAGCCAATCTAACAACGAGTAACACTTAATGTTGGAAATCAAGATTAGTACGCTTTGAGTTGATTTGGGCAAATTTCTTATACTCTTTCCAGAGCCTTTCAAGTAGCCACCTTAGAAATGAAATTACAAGTAAAACTTAGGTGTATTTAAATAATTTGGGATATATTTCTAGCTACAGACAAGATACTGTGGATTTAAATAGGAATACAATTTCAATAGTTAGCTTTATTTACTTATGAATTTATAACAATTGTTTGAGCCTATTTGAGTAATTAAGAATGCATTATTTAACATTATTATTATTTATTTATTTATTTAAAAATTTTATTTTGATTGATAAAAGATATTTTTAAGATAAACCAAATGTATTAAGTCATTCTGACTACATTTTGCCGGTAGCCCAAAACCTGATTAGCGCTTTGGAGAGTAGCGCTTGACAACAAATTGCTCCAACTAGCAAGACTACAAGACTCGTTATTAATGGGCATTACGACTTTAGGTGGTCAACAAAAGTGAGCTGACTACCGTTTGTATGGCAATGTTTTAGTTTTCGCTCTCGTTTGATGTCAATGCCATTGGCAAGTTATCATCTGCATCGTTGCTGGGTATGCTAAAATCAGCAACTGTAACTAACAAGTAATGATTGGATTACCGGTGAGTTTATCCATGGCCAATTCCGTCTAATTAATGGGTCAACATTTCAAATTTATGAATGTGTGTACGCGCTATAAAGTTTTATATAAGCATTCGTAATACGTAACAACTTGTGAGCCGTAAACATAAATTCAAAACTGCAGCTGGAGTTGCGTCATATTCTAGCCTGCAACTATGTAGCAATAACGGTAGTTGATGTCATTGGAAGAAGTTTTTTTCCGGGCAACAGCAGCAGCAACAGCAACAGCAGCAACAGCAACAGTAGCAGCGGCAGCAGCCGATGCGATCGTTTACTTAGAGCACACGCAGCCAATTATAAATAACGAAAACCAAATACAAACGACTGTAAAAGCGTCGCATAGCAAACAGCTCAAAACCTCTGACCGACCGGGGAGAGCGACTTGAATGCCACGCCAAGCTTGGCCGCTGGGCGGCGACTGAGACGTCGACTGCGACTGAGCTGCTTTTGGCGCTCGCGTGCTTTTGCATACACGAATATCTCTCAGTGTGTGTGTGTGTAGCCAGCTAGTTTTCAGATGTGTGTGTGAGTGTTACAAAGCAGCCGATCCGATATGAAACGATGCTTAGTATTAGCATTTGATTTTTCATCGTTGTAGCTTAGCTGTTTGTGTTTTCGATTGGGTTTTTTTTGTTTTTTTGGGGCTGCTGTTTTCGAATGCGAGGCTCTTTTCCCAAATCCGAAGCTGAGTTTGTTCAGTTGGTGTTTAGCATTCAGCGCGCGCGTACGATTATCCGAAATCGTGTCGCTGACTTCAACGAATCCTGAGACACTTAAAGCCGAGCCTTCTCGAGAAGGAAGTGTTGGTAGCCAACTACAATTTTGTATAAATTGAACTGCAAACAAATTCTTAATACAAAAGTGCTTTGAGTGACTAATTTGACTAATAAAAAAATAAGGTGCGCTTAGCTTATGTATTGAATATTATGATTGACATCTACTTTTGAACAATAGAATTAATTTGAATTTGCTTAGCCACAAATCAAGTCCATTTTTGATAGTTGTTTAACTTCTAATACGCGTGTGATTTTAGACATATTTATTGGGCTGTAAACCAGATTTTAATGTTTTCTATTCTGAACATATTTTGATTGGCCGACAAATGTTTACGACAATTAATGTTTCAAGTTATTTTATTTATGGTTTGCTCCTTTTCTACTAACATCTCTGGCTTGGCTCAAACTGGTTGCTCAACTCTTGATTAAATCGCCGAAAATGCAACTGACCAACTCCGCAGTGGCCAGATTTTTTCGCCAAACGCCAACACTTAATGTAAAAATGTCGTTGTCCCATATGCTCCCAGCCATCGTAACACTGTTTTGGACTCTCTATAAGAAAAAGAAAAATAAATACAAAAATAAACTCCCCACTAGTCAAACTTGCACTGCAAATAATATTAGTAGCCTCAAGCCGAGATAAGTAATGCGTCCAGTTAGCTGGTCATAAATGATCAATTTAGTTCTTCGATTTAAAAGCAAACGTAATCAATTTCTTAATTTGTCAATTTGTTATTTAAAGCAACACTCGTTAAATTTAATTTGTAGCATTGCAGATTTGCCAAATGCAGTGTGAAGCAGTGTATCAGTAGCAACGACTGTGGCCAATACGCTTTAAGCCGTTTCGCCTTTGCTTATTGTATTTCGGTTTGTTTTTATTTTTTATCTGGGAAACGTGCCCATGCACATCTAGCGACGAGCAGGCTCGTAACGGCAATCAAAACAACAACAACAATTGCAATGGAAATCACATGGAATGACAGTTAACACAGACACACACATACACACACACACACAGACACACACGTACAACCGTAAATAGCAGAGTAGCAAATATGTGAGTCCCGCTTCGTCAACGAAGCGTATTTGATCGCTGTGAACCTTATGGCTTTGCCTGACCCAACGGTGCTTGGGCCAGTTGTCTAAATGACGGGCCAAAAATATAAGTAAATCACATCGCCTGGGGATTTCTGGAAAATTGTGGTAGTAATAACAACTCAAATGTATAACAATATCATAGCCAGGTTATTTTTTTTTTTCGTTTTCTTTTCATTCACACGAAACTTTTCCATTTAAGTATAATTTTATTGCAACAAACTCGTAAAAAGAGTCTGTATAAAAAAAAAAAAACAACATTAGACAGGTCAATTGCTAGTTGAAATCCAACTTAAAGTTTTATTACACTTGGCAGCTGTTAACTGTGCTTATTTTGCGCAGTGCCGAGCTGAATTTCATTTGCAAAATCGCGTTCGTTTCCTAAATCTTTGGTTTCTTGAGAGAGAGAAGAAATGAATTAATTTAATTGTTGACATTTCATTCTTACAGCGAACGAAACTGACAAACGAATTCACTAATGATTGTGATCTTGGCCTGCATATTGCCATTCTTGTTGGCCAATGTTAAAACTATTAACACTCTATAAATTTGTACGTAAGACATTTAATGACTTGGAAACCTCATAACATTTTTTGAGAGATCGTAAAATCATAATAAAAAAAACACTACTTGGGATAGACAGGCAGCTAGTTAATCTTGAATGTCAGCTTAATACAAAGTTCAGCCGTATTAATTTATAATTATATCTTGCCTTGTGAACTCTGGATTTTATGGTTAAGCGTATCAGAAAGCTTACTCACTTTTATCAACTGGTCATGAAGGACTTGTTGTTAAGCAATTATCTAACGCCCATTTTGGTTTTGTCGGAATCGCTTGACTGGAGTTACAAGCTCACTATCACGGCACACCAACTGACCATAAGCAGCCAACCAAGTTGCTTACGTGTTGCAATCGCTAACTTAATTGGTTCACATGTGCCACACGTCATATACGCAATAGGCGTATTGATGTCCATTTCAGACTTGCAGACTCGGCCGTGCTCATAAAGCGTGGCCACGTAGCCAGCAACTTGGCTCTTAACATTGGGAACAGCAGAGTTGTCGTATAAAATGTTGACAAACTTTAAAACCAGTACAAAAAACCAGTTGATCACTCAGCCAAGATCAAATAAAATCACAGTGCATTTTATTAACACCATTTAAACCAAACAACGAGGGCACCATAAATTAAACCTCTCCCAACCATATATTGCAGCAAAAGGCATTTCACGCTTGAAATGACGGCTAAGCCAAAATTTGAATTCGAGAAGGAGGGCCTGGTCACCATTGGGCATGTGGATGCGGATGAGGTTGATCGCGTCGCGGAGAGCTTCAAGGGGCGTAGTCTATTCATAACAGGCGGCACTGGTTTTCTTGGAAAAGTTCTGGTGGAGAAGCTGCTGCGGTAAGTGATTGGAAATGAGATTTAAAAAATAATAATATATATTTAGCAATAAACACCTGTGTTAATGGTTTTCTAAAGCATTTATAGTCCGCTGAAATATATTGCAAGACAAGTTTTAAGCCAATTGCCCAGTAATTAAAGCTAAAATATTAAATATTAAAAAAAAATTGCATTTATTTGTGCAAAGTACAAGTTACACAACATTCCGTTAATAGTAAATTATGCAAATTGTATTCAACGTGATTTATTGCAATAATCAAATTTGCTATACGACTAGTTGTCAAGACTATGAACTATATGGCGGATGCCATAAGAAGCCACATTCAGAGTAAATTCAGGTAGCAAGCTCCAAGTGGGCGGGTGGGTTGCTTGGCTGACTCGCTGATTGCGTTGGCCAACAGCTGCTGCCGGCAAACGTGACCTCAATAATTCTCAATGAATTAAGTTTATGCGTTATTAATGTTGCAGCTCGTGTGGCGAACTTAAGCGCATTTATCTGCTGATACGGCCCAAGAAGGGCAAGGATCCACAGGAGCGCATTAAGGATATATTTCAGAATGTGGTAAGCAGCCTGCGAAAAGTTGAATAATAATAATTGCTCAGTTTATTAGCCAAGTCCACGTAACTAACCAAGCCAATAAAATGCCGTTTACAGTTGTTCGACCAGGTTAAAAAGCAGCGCGGCGAGGAGCACATACTGAGCCAGGTGGTTGCCATTGCCGGAGATGTGATGCTGCCGGGCTTAGGCATTTCCGAACAGGACTTGACAATACTGCGCAGCGAAGTTTCCATTGTTTATCACTGTGCCGCCACAGTCCGGTAAGTTGCAACCAAATATAGCATTTACCTGCTGCTGTCTTCTACAGTATACGAATATTTATTTATATACAATATATTTATTTTATACAATGACACCTCGATTTATTCTCACCCTTTTTTGCATATAGATTCGATGAGCCACTGCGCAATGCTGTCTTTATGAATACACGTGGCACCAAGTATATGTTGGAGCTGGCTGCCACATTGAAGCAATTGGAATTCTTTGCCTACTGCTCGACGGCCTACTGTCATTTGCACGTGAAGACGCTGTATGAGAAGCCGTATGATCCGCCCGCAGATCCGCATAAGGTGATTCAGGCCTGCGAGTGGCTTTCTGATGAGGAAGTGGCCCTGATTGAGAAGAAGATTCTGGGCGATATACCCAATACCTATGCGTATACCAAGTCGCTCGCTGAGGCTTTGGTTGTGGAGAAGTTCAAAGAGTTGCCCGCTGTCATACTGCGTCCGTCGATTGTCATACCCATTTGGAAGGAGCCGATACCCGGCTGGACGGATAATATAAATGGACCCACGGGTCTGCTCATCGGTGCTGGCAAGGGTGTCATTCGCACTATGTACTGCAATTCGTCGGGCTATGGTGACTTCCTGCCCGTCGATGTGGCAGTTAATGGTATTTTGGTCGCCAGTTGGCGGAATATTACAGCGGGCACGAACAATACGAATCGTGTGGCACATATGACGTCATCGAATGACATTAAGGTTTCCTGGGCGGAGATTATCGAGCTGGGCCGGTGGGTCATTGAGAACAAGGTGCCGCTTAACGGTGTTGCCTGGTATCCGGGTGGTTCCATGAAGTCCAACTATTGGGTACATTTCATGTGCATGATATTCTTCCAATGGGTGCCAGCCTTGTTTGTGGATGCTCTGCTTTGTCTATTCCGCTATCCGCCCGTGTAAGTATCCAAATCCGTGGAGTGGATCTAAGCGAGAAATGTAACTATGTTTAATTTGATACACCCGTAGACTCTGTCGCGTTCAGAATCGCATTTCCAAGGGTTTCGAGGTCTTTGAGTACTATGCGAATAATGTTTGGAGTTTTGACAACACAGAAGCAGTTAAATTACGAAAGTTGATGAACAATAAGGAACGCACAACTTATGTAATTGAGAAGATTGATCTAGATCTGATCGATTACTTCACCAACTGTGTATTGTGCGCCAGACGTTTAATTCTCAAGGAATCAGATGAGTCGATTCCGGCAGCGAAGCGACACATGAAAGTGTAAGACAACAATCTAAATAATCAGCTAACCATATAGTTATGTTAATATCTCAATATATATTTGCAGAATGTGGGTCGTGGACAAGGTGTACAAGGGCATGTGGCTCTGCGGCATTATATATATGGTCTACAGATGTTTCTTTGCTGGCTAAACTAATCGTATATTTAAGTTTAGTTAAGTGCTCGAGACCAAAATTTTGCCCCAGCCGCTCGTTATGCCGTATTTCATACATTTTATTATATTTTTAAGTGTTAGTTTTAGTTGGTGCTGATTAGCTGTCAAAAATATGTTCATTTTAATTATTAAGTTTTTTAATGCATCAAATAAAACATTTCGATTCTAAAATCAAATTATGTTATTTGGCGCTTCATTCGATTTTAATTGGGCGGCACATGTATACAACTAGCTTATTATCGATTGTTGTTAACAATGCCATTTTGGGTATGCGATGTATCGATAACACCAGCTGCTTTAGTTATCGCAGTCATACTTTTTTCGGTGTGCACACACTTTTTCGCCAGTCGACCAACAAATTCCGCTTTTGCAGTTTACATAAAACATCCAAAAAATTAACAAATATGTTGGGCCGCAGCAGTGTCATTGCACGTAACTTTTCCCAGTCGATGGTCCGCTACAGCGGCCACGGTGGCGTTCCCGGCGAGGTAAGCAGATATCGACCGAGCTGCAGCAGTCTGATTACATAATTTGTATTTTGCACTGAGTATAAAATCCTGTAGGAAAATCGATGATATCATTACAAATCAATTTTCAAATTTCAGAATCTGCCCTTTAGCCTTGCTAACAAATATAGGATCACTGCTGTATTCACCATCGCCTGTGTCCTGGGCTTTGGCTCCCCCTTCCTGATCGTCCGCCACCAGCTGCTGAAGAAGTAAGCGGCCCCGCAGCCCCGACGGGAGTAGCAACAACAACAACAACTCCACACAAAATGTAAGGTTAGTTATTTTGACTGATTATTTATGGCATGCTGTTAACTGCATGTTGGCAATTTTTCTTTGCAGATTTCGTTGTTTGTTGTAGCAGCCATCATGTCGTGTATTGTGTTATAGCTAAACATTAAGTCAAAAGTTTAAATGTAATAAAGTTACTCAGAAGCTAAAGACCGAAAATCTTTTGTTTTCTTGTTGTTTCCCTTAACATTAAGTAGGCATTGAAAAAATCCATATGATACAGCTGATTTCATATAAAAAATAGTTGTTAGTCACTAGAAATAGTTCGTCTTGTTTGGTGACTATTTTAAATCGTCCTAGGACTTGAAAAGTAATAAAACTGATTGAAATATGTTCGCCCTACGCGCTGAGACACGCAAAATGTGCGCCCCGCTCATTCGTCGTATGTCCGGTTATCCCGGAGGCATTCCCGGCATGGTAAGTAATTGAAAAATAGCTAATTTATTATGGATTATGCGTCTCATATGGGAAGCACACAGAACTTGCCCTTTCGCAAGGGAATCGAGAACCCGATGCGTTTTACACTGATCTATTTGGTACTTGGTACGCTTGGATTCGGTGCTCCATTTCTGGTTATACGTCATCAAATGCTACGCAATGTCGATGATAAACCGTAAGCCATTAACTCGAGCATGTGGTCTAAAAAAGATATATAATATATGAATCCTTGCAGCAAAGAAGAGTAGAAATTTGAAGTTAAATAAAAACATGGCGACTTCTTCATAATATACAATATCTGATTCAGTTGTACATTTAAACAATAAAAAAAGGAGCTTAACTTTCTGTGGAATTGCACGTCTCAATTTTATTGTCATTTTAAGTCGCTTGTATTTGACGCATATCAAATTTATAATGTACAAATTTCGTTCGTTAGGTCAGTACAAATTGGCGCCTGTTGCAGGCACTCTATAACAATGATGATCATAAAAATTCGTTAATTAAATGGAATTGTTATAGGGATCACAATTCCTCTTTGCCATCGAAGTCGTATTCGTCCTGCACAGGCGCCTCATCGCAGTAATTGGCCTGCTCAGAACAGATTTTAATATCTAAATCGCTGCCAAGGTTTTCGGCTTGGAATGCTTTCAGGAAAGTCTCCTCGTTATCTTCGAGCACCTCGAGACAAAAATGCCCCAGGCTCTTGTTGAGATCACCATCTTGCACAAAATCAACGAGCGACGACTCTGGATTCATTTTGCCATCGACTATCATCTTGAGCAATGTAAATTTGCCATTGCTCTTGTAGGTCGCCTTGAGGTAATCATCCATTTTTTCACCTGCGTATCGAGAGCAATATACAGATTGTCCATTGGGTGAATATAATCAATGTTAGATATCAACTCACAAATCTTTTCCATGAGTTCCGTCAAATACATCTCGGATTTGATTAGAAGCACGCGCTTGCTTATGGAATTGCCTTGGGCATCCAGTCGGAAGCCGCTTACGTCAACCTTTTTGTTGGCATCCTCCTTGGCAATGGCATCCTCTAACTCCTGCACCGTCGCCTTGCATACTAAAAATTTAATTTTTGGACAGTTAATTAATTATTAATGCGAAAAGATTGGCGATAGTTTCACTCACCGTGGCATTTGACTTCTTTCGATGTGAAACTGTAGCCTTGCACTTGAGTGATGGCCAGCAGCATAAGGCAGCAGATTAACACATTCATTGTGGACATCATTTAAAACTATTTAACAATTGTTTAATTGATTTTATTCAAATTCACCGGGTAGAACGATTAAAACCACGTCAGCACAACGCTGCTTGCGTTTAAAATGTGTATGATAATGAATGATAGATGAAACACTGGGACTAATTGAGGCGACAGCTAACGCTCGGCTATAAAACAAAATACTCTCCGTAAGTACTTTAATGTTTTGCTGTCCACAAGAACTTAACAGATAAGAACAAAGGTGTTTTCTGCCTCTCCTGTCACAACACAAAATAACAAAAAAGTACCAGTTGCGTTTTCTGTACAGCCATCAATCTTAACAGATTGATGAACTGTTATTAACTGTGAGCATTTTTGGTAAGCCCTACAGCATATACATTTTTTTTGTGGAATTTGCACTTAATAGAAATTTTTATTTTATTTATGAAGATTAAAGCAATGTGGTCTTAAAGCATCAAATAGCTCTTGTGGTGGTAATTGAGTAATAGCTCGTAGAAGTAACACTTCATTTAAAAATAGCATCTGTTAACTGGCACAGTGTCTTCAGCTGGATGAGCTATTTTTAACATTATCGTATATCGATTTATTTTGGTATTTTTGTCGTTTTGTTACGCGCACATTTAAATTGTGATTTTTCTTTTCTTTTGTTGAATTAATGGTTACTATTGCTCCATTCTTTTGAGCTATACGTCTCTCTGTTTTGTTTGAAATGCGCAATACTGATAACTAGTCTCAGTGTAAATAAAGAGACTCTCGTGTGCGGTTCTCTGAGACGCTACCAAAGCAAACACAATTTGCGCGACCACAATTGCAATACAAATAAAATAAAGCAATCAGCAGTTGGTCTCGTTGCTATTGTTGTTGCTGTTTCTCCGGCCGGTTTCGCTTATTGGTGTAACATAACTTTTAACGCATTTATAAATTAAAGCCCACGACACTCGTAATTCAGTATTAATTCCTATAAGTTTTCATTAACAATTTCATTTCGAGATCATTTATAATTGGCGTTAATTGAGCGTGTGTCTCCTTTTCTGTATTTGTAGCTGTATCTGTGTCTGCTACTCTGCTGCAGACTGTGCAATAAGCATCGCATCAGTACATTCCATACTCTTCCCTCCTGTTCATGTGTTTATTTATTTAATTGATAAGAATAAGAATATTGTGTTGAGTGCAGTGTAGACCTATACTAGACAAAGTTGAGCTGTTGCTTGTATGTACGTACTTGTTGAGCACTCATTATGATTTGTAAATATGCAAATATTTGGAATTTCTAAGAATGAAATTAACTGTTGCTATCAGTTCATTCCTTTCCTGATCTACAGCCGGCCTGCTTTGACCCACAACGGATAGATGGTATCTCGTCCGCTCGTGCCGCTCGGGCATATATGTATGTATGCGATAAGCTTGTTCATTAGATCATTATATGTAAATTCACATAAATAGCAAAAATTAGCGCCAAAAGTAAAAAGTAAACATTGCTCAGGAAATTCACATTCGAACGTTAAATGTTCGTTGTCTGCTTTTGTTTTTAACCTAAATTGTTTATTTCATCATTAAATACAACACTTTTTGGGCCCTTCATATATAGCTCACTTGATCAGTATTATTTCCCTTCAGTTAAAAATCTGATTTATTTGCTCTTTCTTAATATTTACAATTATATATATATAGATTTTTTTTTAATAAACTGTAGTATTGGGCATATTCCGTTCCCATTAATGACCAAAATGCATGTGAAACGCCCTCTAGCGGCAATAGCAGACAATCACTTTGCCACGTCTGTAGCAGCGGCAGGCAACGCGTTTTTGGCGGCTGTCCGACTCAACATGTTCCACATCCTCATGCTCCTCCTGGCGTAAGAATAGGGCAACAGCTTGTTCTACGTCTGCTGGTCCTTCGGATTCAATCATAGCCTGGCCAGCTGACTGGAGCTCTTGGGTAACAGACTCTGCCAGAGCCCAGGACAACAGCGCGGCAAGAACACAGAAATATACAAAGTACTTCATTGTGATGTGTTTTGGATGGCTTTCGCTAAGTTTTGACAAGACCTTAGAGCAGCTGCTGGGCTACACTGTTAGTAATGCTCATCGGTAATGCATCTAGGGTTTATATACCCAGTCTAACCTGTGTGAATTGTTAAGAAAAGATAAGCCAGGGTACTTCTGATAAGGACATTTGTTTAGTTTATATTATGCGCTGACACATCTAAAACTTCAGATCTATATACATTTATCGCTAATAATAAAGCAGAATAAACTCATTTTTTTAATTGTGTTGAATGTGTGATTTACATTCCACGTAATTTTTTATTGGCTTCACAGATTTAAAACAAACCTTTGTTTTACTTTAATGATGTTCTGCTTCAATTGCCTTTTAAAACTTCTAGGCTTGCCTTTCAATGTACATTTATAAAAGAATCTAATTTTATGTTTTCTGTGCAATAATGAAACTAAATGTTTTCTATCAGAGAGATTTAGCTTTTAGTTTTACTATGACTAAATTTTGTTTCCTATGAACAAATATTTAGGTATTGAAACTTTTCATTCAATGCTGATAACAAATTGTGAATAGAATGGATCACTTAATTTATTAGTTTTTTAGTTTTTTGCAGCATCGTTTTTAAATGCACATTCGATTCAGTGGAATTCTGTAGAAACTCTTAACTTCTAGAAAATATTAGTCTTTTTGTGAGGGGGTGCAATTTGTTAGCAAAAAGTTTATTTTGATTAGTTCATAAATTCTCTCATTTCCAAACCCAAACCCAAACCCAAACAATTTGATTTCGGCGTAAATCTTTAATTGCTTTGCAAGTGCGCAGTTTCGATACTATTCTTTTGTACAGATGCAGATATATATTAAGTATGTATGTGCATATATGACTTATTTATATTTGAAATGTACTGCTATGAGCAAAAAATATCTCTGTCATATTTCGTGACAGTTTTTTTTATAGTTTTTACTCCAAGCCTTAGAAGTGGCACATCTTAGATCAGATTGAGATAATTCATCAGTCCATTTCAGACCTTTTAATGTCTAGAGTCAGCAACCTTTTACTTCATCATGCAAAGGCTTGTTCAAATTTAAGATTGATATGTGATCATTAGTCTCGGGTCGAGATCGTTTGAAGCAAGGACCACCTGGGTAACTGATGAATCCAATGACACAGGCTGTGCGTGTGCCAAGCTCAACCACAGGGCAAGGAATCCAAGGAATACTGATCATTTGTGCAGGGACTACAGGTGATTTATAAATATAGCTTGACTTGATCAAACTGCAGCATAAGAATCGGTTTCAATAGGCTTGAAACTTTTCAAGAGGTGATTTGTGGATCTTGTTATTTTCATTTAATGTTCATACACTTCATACTACTTATAAAATAAGGAAATATTTTAGCATGAATTTGTAGGCAGCTGGATCGTTTGGAGAATCTCTTTGAACTTTAAAAGCAATTCAGTGGAATTCTTTATAAGCCCTTAACTTGTGGAGAATATTACTCTTTTTGGAAAAGAAAATATTATTCTTTTTGGCCCGAAGTTTATTTTGATTAGTTTACAAATTCTTGGCTCTTCAAACCCAAACAATTCGATTTCGGCGTAATTGTTAAATGATTTTGCAAGTGCGCAGATTCGATACAATTCTTTTTGTACAGATGCAGATATACATCTGCATTTATACACACATAGATTCAGATACAAATACAAGTGCCTAACTACAACAAATAGTTTCAAACGAAAATGTATGTTCACAAAAACAAAAACAGAGAAGAATCACAAAATGATTAGTTAAGTACACAAGCATTTGTGTGTGTGTGTGTGTGTGTGTGTGTGTATCTTTGTATCTGTATAAACATGTTGTGTCTGCTGTAGCTGTATCGGTTTTTGTTCTGAGCACATACAAACTCACACACACACGCACAACAACGGGGCTACCAAAAGCGTCTTCATCCATGGCCGTTGGACTGTGGCTATTATTATTGACACTCCTCAAGTGGTTTCTTCTTGTAATTTCCCCCTTAACCCTCCCCTCCCTTCACTGTCTGCAGGGGCTGTTGGGCTGTTTACCTTTGTTATCGACGATGTTGTATTGAATTTGGCGTCATACTGTCTGCCGCCAGTCGCAGTCTCGTAATATCTATAGCATGTTCGGCCATAAAAGAAGACCACAAAAATACGGTGTCGAACAAGCGACCGAAAACAATGGACAACAAGGGCCAGTTCGGGGGCTGGGAGTAGACACACACACACACACACAATACACAGACAGTGGCTTGGGACGCTATCGTTACTTGCCGTCACACTGTCTGGCAGGTTTCACACCTGGCCATCGGTGTATTTCTTATACACCCATACTGACGAACGTTACCGGCATCGGCATCGGCATCGCCACCGTCAGAGCAGCAGCTCTATAAATCACAGACGTGCGACTGCCTGGCGAGCGGCAGGAGCTGTCTCAGTCCCAGTCCCAGTTCCAGTCTCAGTCTGACTCTGAGTCTCAGTTGTAGTCCCAAGCAAGTTCATAGCTCACGTTTTCCTTTTCTTCTCCTTTTTGCTGGCCTTTTTTTTTGCCTTTGCCTTTGCATTTGCCTTTACCTTTTGGATTGAGAGCCACAGCTGGCCGGTGGTGGCCACAGATCGCGGTGTCGAATCCAGCAAATGGCTGGCACAAGCACAGTGGCTTGTTTTGTTTTAGCTGCTTCGTGTTTGTGTTGGTGAGGCAACCTCTTGAAATATACAAAGGAAGATAAATTTCACACTCAAAACGTTCAACAGTTTTTCGTTATATATACATATATGTGTGTGTGTGTGTGTTTGTTTGTGGAGTTTCGCTTAGTCGTCGTCGTTGCTGTTGGGTCTTTATGCTAACTGCTGTCCAGGCCCAGACCTCTGTCGCTGCTGGCTTGGTTTAAGAAGAAGGAGGCAAAGAAAAAAAAGAAGAAAAAGATAAGATATGGTTGGCGGTAGACACTGCCAGACATAGTGGCGACATCGACATTGTCGATTCCCAATGCTGACCAACTGTTTGTTGTGTGCGCTGCACGATCATGCACGCCATGCACTCGCTTGCTCTCTCTCTCTCTGTCTCGCTTTCTGTCTCTCTCTCTTTCTGTCTCTCTTGCGCGTTCGCTTGCCACTCTTTTCACTTAGGCTCGCCGCTCGTCGCACACACACACACACACACACACTCTCGCCGTCCACTTTAGGCCACTCTCGGCCGCAATATTTATTCCCGACTACTCCTATTGAACTGCTTGTTTCTCAGTCGTATTTGAAACTTGGCGACGCACGGTTTGGTTTTTCAGTCAATCAGTTTGTCGGGTTTTCAATTGCCCTCAGTGTGTGCCTGTGTGCTTGATATTTTTGCGCAAAAATATACAAACAAACGCCACCAGCAGCAGCAGCAACAACAACAACAACAACAATAGCAATCATAAGTTCGTATAAAGCAGAAATCCATTATACGTATAAACAAATCGTATACTCGCATGCATATACTATAAAGAGTATACATATGTGTAGTATCCATCTTTATACTCGAACTGGCCAAATTTGCTAAAAATAGAACCGCGTAAATCGATCAATAAATAACGAACACTACAGTTTTCCACCACACCCACCGAAAACCGAATTTTTAATTGCGACTTCGTGCAAAAAAAAACTAAAAAAATTGATAAAAAATCAAAAAACCCAAGTTAATATTTCAATTATTGCCACAGATATATAAAACATATATAATGCAATAAAACGTTTGATGCCAACAATAACAATTTAATTGACAATCTTGAAAATGTTTGTGAGATGTTTCCTAATTACACTGTGTGTGCTGGTGCTTCTGCAACTGGCCACGGGCAGCAGGAGTCCAAAACAGCAGGAGCCACAACATGAACTGCCGGTAAGTTGTAGCTATACTATTAATGATAGTGGACAAGGTTTTATGTTGTGCCAGTGCAAGCGCACAATACTAAAGCAAATTAAGCCCAGCTCAGCGTGTAAATCCAAATACCAAGAAAACACTTGAATATTCCTGGTATTAACAAAAAAAAAAAAAAAAAAATGAAAATGAAAATAAAAATAAAAATAAAGAATGAAGCAATAAGTGATTGGTCAGTCCCATTGCTCGCCTGCCTGAACGCTACAAATTGTCTGCAGGCAAACAAGAACCGCTTCGTTTTTTTCAACTCACACTCCAACTCGAACTCGAACTCGGACTCGGACTTTGACTTTAACTCTCACTTCAGTTCAACCCCACCTTCGTCTGCTTTTGTGTCTTTTATTTGAAGAGCTGCGTTGCCGGCCGTGTTGGCTGCCGCCGCGCTGTCTGCGATTTTTCACTTGCCGGCAAAGATCGCAACTCCCTTCTACCCATGCCCCTATCCGTAACCCTACCCAAACCCATAGCAATAGCCAGGCCCAATCTCCTGTTGCCTGTTGGCATTGTTTTTGTTTCATCTGCCCGACGAACGTGTTTCTTTTTGCTGCCTTTTTTTAAGAACGCGCGAAAAGGAGAAGCGACGCAAAAAGAGCTGAGATGTAAAATATACATATATATATACAAAAAAAAATGGTCACAAGTCAAAAGCGTTTTGGCCTTTTGTTAATGTGGGCAGGTACTAGGCTCACAGAACATAGAGGAGCGAAAGAGAAATCTATAGAGAGAGAGAAAGAGAAAGACACAGAGAGGGAGAGATGGCCAGTTCCCTTGCCATTGCCACTGCCACTAAGCTGCCTGATAATGACAAAGTGTAAAGCCGTATTTCAAGTGTGGTTCTTTTTTTTATTGCTTCTTCAAGTCCCAAGTCCCAAGCCCCTAATCCCTGCGAGCGTGAGAATCGTCAGTCAATTATTTCGTTGTTATCGATCTTAACAATCCTTGAACTGTCGCCATATATGATTTGTATACATATATGTGTGTTTGTGTGTGTGTGTACACAGGGTGACTCTGGTTGGTTATAAATATAGAATAGTCTGTTTAGCATATGGAATACGATGCATCGTATATCGTATATCTTATTATGGCTGGCCCTATATTGTACAGCGAATGGCATTTGCATTACCAATTAGACATTCTGTGTGTTATTGGCGCCGCTTTTGGTTAAGTCGATCGCCATTCGAAACATCATTACAGATGCCCCCCCTACTCATTGTCAGGTGTCATTCCTGGAACTCTGTTTGCAATTGCAGACATAATGCAGCTGCTGAGGCAGCAATATCTGCATATATGTATGTACACATTATATGAATATATTCTGCTGTTTTTCATGTTTATCCATGATGTGTCGAATGTGTCAACAATCAACACACCTATTCACCGTCCCGATCCGATTACCGCTCAGCGCGTGCTCCAAAAACCGAACAGCCCTCGGGGCCATACAAAATGGCTATCCGCACCTTTCAGTAAAAGCGAATTGAGGGAACAATATTTACCTGTTGTAGACACATGTATGTCTGTGCTTTTATAGCAACTTGATAAGAGGCAGAGACATTAAGCATATATTTGTTGTACAATTGTCAACCATTACTTTTGGGGCTACTGGTTTTGAGTTTCTTTACAATGTTGTACTTGAAATGTTTGCTACACTTCAAAACACTTGACGTTTTATGGCACTAATGAAATAATAAAATTAGTCTCCAATTTAATTTTGCCACAACATAAGCTGCAGTCGGATTTGATTATGAAATTAGCTATAATCGGATTTTAAAATGTTATGTATAACTTATTTGTGATATATTTGTAATAATTTGTAATCGGATAAGGGAATTTAAGTATGTTATAAAATATTTTTGAGCCTATGAATGGAACGGAACCATTTAGGTAAGCTGAACTTTAAATTAAAATAGCTGCAGCTACCTTGAGGCTTAGCACTAGTTTTATAAAATTAAATAAAGTTTTTTTGTTATTATTTTATATGCTACATTTTATGAGCACATAAAAATGCTAAGAAAAAATATCAACTTGTCGGTGTCAGAATTGAAATTTGAGCAAATTTCAATTCATATTGCATTTTACAACTATATTTTGCATATTTTTCAATAATTTCGTGTGCTGCTCTAAACTAATTAATGTCAACAAATTTTGTAGTTTATCTAAAGAGCAGCAAACTGGCGATAAAAGCTGCTGCACCGGCAATACTAAAATGCTGCGCAATTTAAAATACAAAAAAAAAACTGTTTTTTTTTTGAGTTAACAAGAATGAGCGGAGTCAGCAGCAGTAGCGAGCCTCTAAAGCGGCAGCGGCAGCCAGTTAGTCTGGCCAATTGACCATAATATATTTTAGCCAGTTTTACTTTGGCTTTTGGCTGGGAACTGCCAGACATTCAAATGGATAGCAAACGCATACCTGAGTGCACAATTTGCTAGTACGCGATGCCATTCAAGTTATGGCCCGACCACATTAGCCACGTCTGTGTTAGTCCCCCATCCCCATCCCCATCCCCATCTGAATGCGTTGGATGCCAATCGCAATGGCAGCTGAATACTGATTCGTATTCAAGTCGAGCATTGAGACGACTGCGACTTGAATTTGGCGACCATAAATGTAATAAATCATTTAACGCGTGATTGATATTATTTACGATTTTGGTCTGTAATCGCAAAGTGCTTCGAATATTTCTCATATATCTCTTATATGTGAATGCCCACATCACACCTTCCTTTCAGCTGTCGCCGTCGCAGTCGCAGTCGCTGTCCAAGTGTGCCGCCAAGCAAGGCGAGTGCGACGAGAGCGAGGGACCCGTCTGCGGCACCGACGATCAGACCTATCCCACGCGCTGTCACCTGCAGCGGGTGCAGTGCAGCGGCCATCAAGTCAGCCTCAAGCATCGCGGCAACTGCAAGGGTAAGCTCAATAAACATTTAAACATTTCATAATTACTGATGTTTACTATCGGTTTATTTATTTGAATTATGCATTTATTAAAGTATCAAGTATCAAAAAACCATAAAGAACGGAAAGAAAGAAAGAAAATCTTTAACATGTCAAATAGTACATACCCATTTAGCCCGTAGTCAAATTGCCGACATTTAAATTTTACTATAATTTAAAAAACTGGAAACTAATAGATATAGTAGTCGGCTATCCATTATCTTTTTTCAAATTTTAGAAGCTTCATTTTAAGCATATTTAGTGGGTTTGTTGTAGATATCTTGCCAAACAGACAAGTTGTTCAAACAAGATCCATCTTTCAACCTATTGTTTCTGTGGTAGCTATATTATATAGTGATACAATCTGACCAGCTCAGACGAAAATACACAGCAGATTGTGAAAAATAGGCATTGATTTGGCGACAAGAAAAATATACTTAAATTTTAATATTATATTGAACATTAAATTAATCATTTCAAACATTAAATTAATCATTTCAAGGAAAATGTTCAATATAACTATAGGAAATATTATCCATCATTCTAGTTCGTACTTTCCATTTATAATAAAAAGATGTATATATTTTCATGAAATATTTTTCCCGTAATTCAATAAATTAGTTTACTTTAATTTTAAAAAATCTACATGAAACGTTGAAAATTTCCAATGAAATGGATCAATCCATGGGCCTTTTCACAAATTTATTTGGGGGTACATTTTTGGACTTTGCCCAATCCAAGTTTGAATCTTTAGCATTAAAAGAATTAACTTAAATATATCATATATTTTAGGCTGCTTGGGGGCGCTTCAGTATGCGCATCGGGAGAGTGCGCGCAATCCGAAGATATTCATTCCTCGGTGCCGCAACGATGGCAACTATGCGGCTATGCAGTGTTTGGGGGACACGGGCTGCTGGTGCAGCGACAGCAGCGGTAATCCCATCAAGAATACATCGACCCGGCGCGGCCGACCCAAGTGCGCTGTATACAGGCGCAACAATCGACGTCGGTCGCCGACGCGTCTGTTCAGCTTGGATGCGGAGGCGGCCAATAGCAGCGATGGCGGTGGCAATGGTGGACATCGTCCTTGCAGCAAGGCAGATCGGCGGGCGTTTAACAATCATCTGATCGAGGTCTTTCGAAGCGAACAAGTGCGTTCGGGTCAACCACAAGCAGCTGGCGCTAACGATGACTCCGTACTGGATTGGAAGTTTGCCCAATTGGATGCGAATGCCAATCAGGTGCTAGAGCGACAAGAAGTGCGTGAGCTCAAGAAGCTTGTCAAGCGGGTGAGTTGTTGTTGTTGCTGCCACGTCACTCATTCCCACAATACAATACATACAACACTACAACAACTACTCCCCCGTTTCTACTCCTATTTGGTATGCACACGATATAACCAACAGGCGGTGAAGCCCAAACGATGTGGACGTGCCTTTGGCAAGTACTGTGATGTCAACAAAGACGATAACCTGTCCCGGGTCGAATGGAGCAATTGTCTGGCCAAAGATGCCAGCCAGCGTAAGTAGCGGTCTATATATGCATATATATATAATTCAAGACTATATATTTTTAAAATGCATGTAAAGTCTGATTCAAATATGGATAAGAGAAGCCCATAGAAAGGCTTTGGAAAATGCATTGAAAATAAAAACTCGATTGGGTTTAACTTAAATATATGCAGTTGATAGTGGAGTGTCTCAAATGTGAATAAATACAGTATATCGCATAAAAAAAGATAACAGCTGAATTTATTCTATTAAAACTGATCAATTCATTCATAGTTTTAATTTCTAATTTGCCATAACAAAATGCATGATTCTGCAGGAGTAGATTTTAATTTGAATGATTTTTATTTCCAAGTATTCATTGATCAAAAGTCATTACATCAAAATTGTTATTTTTAATTGTATAGCATGCAAAGCCAATCTTTAAAATCTCAACTTCAAATTAAATGTTTGGGTAAAATGAAATTGTTTTCCAGTCCTTTGACTTGCCTAATACTAAGTGGTTGGGGTATGTTTGTGTGTGTACTTGTGTCGATATATGTGTGTAATTCCCATGCAGGTAAAGCGGGCCTTAATATCCTGAACAGCAGTCCAACGAGCAGCTCCATTCCGCATACCACATCAACAACAATACCTCGCCGTCCTCACTATACAAATCTGCATAACATTCACCACACAAATACCCACCATGACCATACAAATACGAATGTTATCGGAACGAGCAGCAGCAGCAGCAGCAGCAGTGGCAGCAGTATCGGTTCACGTGTTGAGTTTGGCAATGATAGCGAGGAGCACGAGGATGATTATGTTGGCGAGGATGAGGACGCTAGCATGACACATTCACGCACATCCCCGTTGTCGCCATCTTCATTTAATTGTACGTACTTGTCGGGCAATTTATGAACTAACCAGCAATTTGAGTAATACCCAAGTAACATCCAATAGCACTTGGCATGCTTCCAAAGGGCAGTATCGAGTCTATTCTAATGGGCCTTTCGTTCACAGTTCTGAATGCCAAGCCAGAAGAGGCGACAAACAACGAGAGTGAAGGCGATGCCAACTGCTGGACGGATAGGGAGGTAGCTCGTGAGGAGCAGCGTGTAAGTGCGTCTGTGTGTGTTTATGTGTATATGGAATGGAAACGCAACCAAAAGCCACTAAAAAGCTACCTTTATTAACCTTTGCACTAACTGTTTGCAGCATGGCGGCAACAGATCCTTCTATGTGCCCGAGTGTATGTCCGATGGTCGCTATAAGCGCGTCCAATGCTACAGCTCCTTCTGCTGGTGTGTGCACGAGGAGACGGGCAAGAATATACCGGGCACCTTTGGCCAAAAGCGACCCCAATGCGATGAGGTCAGCGCTGCTAACAGACCGATGAAGGGCTGCACAGAGCCACGAAAAACGCAGTTCCTCAAAGAGCTCAAGGAGTTTCTTAACACAAATATACTGCCCAGCAGTAACACCGGGTAAGGATTACAGTCTGATTCAAAATCAAAATATATTTGGAATTTCCGTCTACGATTTGATTTAGTAGAAACTCGACAATGTGGAAGTCGGAGGATGAGCGCATTGCTACGCTGAGTTTTGTATTTCTGGACAAGAATAAAAACAAGTCATGGGAGCGCAAAGAATGGAAGGTCTTTCGTGATCTGGTTACAAACGCCAGGTACTAAATGTGTTAATAATTAAATGGGTGTTTTGATTGTTTAATTTTATATTCTACATGTTAGCAACTTGAGCAAATGTGGCAAGAAAATGCCTCGATACTGTGATGTGAATGGCGATAAGAAGATCTCGTTGTCCGAGTGGGTGAACTGTCTACAATCGCATCGAATGGAGACCACCACCACAGCAAAGCCGGCACAGTCAAGTGAGTTATCAGTTGTGGTTCTCAATAGGAAGCCCACTTTAAATGCTAGCTAATGGAATTTATTCCTCATTCAGACGAGACGGCAACATCGCGGCTCCTGGGATCAAATCCGCTGGAGCAATATCTTAAAGATTATTAGCGATGATAAAATGCGTTGATGTTGCGTGCTGCTGCTCATTAGATGTCGTGCCATGTTGCGTGGAAGATCTTGACTAAATCCACCCGCTCATACATACATATATACACTTACTCACCCACACACATACACACACTCACATTCCTAGCATATAGATTCTACGATTTACATGTATATGTAGTTAGCGTTGTAAATATTTCTGGATATAAATGTTTAGGTTAATTGTAGAAGACATTGCATTTGATTTAAAATTAGTTCAGTTGTTGAACAGGCATATTTTGCAATGACCATTTAAAAAAATGATTCGCAGCTAACTTCACGTGACGCAAATAAGCGATAGCAGACTTCGTTCACAACAGACTGCTCAAAATGCGCTGCCAACTGCCATGTGACGCAAATGTGCGCTTACAGACTTCATTAGTATAATCGTTTCTAGAGACTGCTTCAAGCACCGCACACTTATCGATAACATTTAAATTTGAATTTAAAATCGTATGGTTTTCTTTATTTGGTTAGCAAGTAAAACTTAATATTATCTTATATTCGTAGTGTTATTAATAAAACTGGCTATGGGTATTATGTACGAAATTTCACCGTATACTAAATTCAATTTTTGTTTGGAAAACACTGTTCACAGAACAGTCGTTAATCACAACTTAAGTAGTTTTTGGTTTACGCAAAAGCAAATTGGACAAGTTGCTGTATGGCAGCTCAAATGCCATTGAAAATATAATGGATATTAGGTAAATAATAATAGTAAAGCCACAGGAGACAACGAACTGAAATCATTAAAATTGTTAGATAAAATTGATGTTGACAAATTGAATTACATACCAGCATGGGGGGATCTGTATGTGTGCTGGCGGTTGTTAGGCTATAAATAATGGAAATCACCAGCGGATTTAGCAGATAAACAGCATAGGACACTCGATTCAGGTGCTGAAAGCAGCGAGCCTCCAACAAGCGAGACCACCAGACGCCACGCCCCGTTGCGCTGCCCACAATCATCCAGCAAATACTTATCGAAAAGAAGAATCTTCCCAGCACATATAATGAGACGGTGAGCAGACTGCCAAGATCGCGCTTGAATGTCGAATGCATGCTGACGAAGAAGACTAGCAGAGAGGAATGCCAGAAGTTGCGAGATTTCCGTTCACGTATTTTGTCTTGAAGTCGACACTCCAGAAGACACCAGGCGGCAATGCAACCAACAATGTAGGGCATCACGCGAACTACGGGACTTATATACAGTTGAGTGCCTGTTGCGTAGATCGTATCAAAGGAGAACTCATACTTGTAGTAGAGGCCAAGGACATAGGACAAAATAATGCTTGCCAATAGGCTAGCAACAGCTACATACTGAGCCCACTTGGGGCGCCTGAAAAAGAATTATTCGAAATTTATCTTCAACTCACTTCAATTTAAACTCACTTGGCATAGAGAAATAATATCAAGTTGGCAAACAAAAAGAATTGCATATCACAGGCAGTGCTCCACGTCCAGTTGACGCACATGTCTTTGAAAGGGAATAGATTCTGTATGAAGAGCAGATTGCGCCACCAATGCTGAGAGCACAGCTCATCGAAGCGGTCATTGATGTGGTAAACCGAGGTATCTCCAAGGTAGGCGAATACCAAATCCACGCTGCCCATGATAATCAGATAAAGCGGGCCCAGTCTCAAATAGCGATGAAAGAGCAGCTTGCCAAAGAGCTTAATATTTGCCACGAGGTCATTTTGACGCACTGCCTCCATTTGTTTGACATTACGCATAAAATTGTAGGTCTGTAGAAAGCCACTGCAAATAGTCAAGGATTAGGATATACTTATTTTAAAAATATGTATTTATATTCACCTGATGGTAAAGAATACATCGACTAGCAGTGGAGCAGTGGCAACGTACTGAAAAACTATCTGCTCCGCATAGCTAAGGAGCACCGTTTTATTGTGCACCGTAAAATACATAAACCACATCACATGGAATACCAATATAAGGACTGCACACACCGAACGCAGTCCATTCAGCAAGGGTATCTCTGAGGATTTGCTCTCGCGCGTGGCAAAGATGCGGCGCCAATTGCTGGCGACATCGTAACAGCTGACGAAACTCTGCAGCGGATGCCACTTGAGCAGGGAGTGCATTGCTCGCCATATTTCTGATTCAACCGGAGCCAATCCAGCCCCATCCTCATTCTCCTCCGACGGCAGTTGCTTGGCTACGCTGATCTGCTGGGCGCACAGCATGAAGGCGCACGTGATCAACACGGAGCCGACGACAAGCTTAAAGCTGAGTCGGTCGTAGAACACATCGCGCAGCTTCAGATCCTTCATGTATAGCACTTCAGGCTGCATCTCAAAGATGTCGTTGTCCGTGAAGCTGCCCGCTACATAGTCCATGGCCAGCTGCTTGATTTCGCTGGACTGGCACGCGGTTGGCAGGCAAAGGCCAATGTGTATGATCTGCTCGGACATCAGCTTAATCTCCACCTGCCACGGTGAATTATGGCGCAAATAAATGACCCGATAGTCTATGTCGAAGGGCGACTGCTGCGTCATGAGTCCATGGTTCATAATCCGCTCGAAGTTCTTGGAAAGTGTTATGGCCACCGGTTGCTGCACCATGTTGCATGCCTCCCGACTGCCCAGCCAGTAGTTTTGCCCAAATACAAAACCCGATGGCTTGGAACCAGAGGCATCGAGCACTGTAAAAGGGAAAGGTGAGCTCTTAAGTTCTTAAAGGTTGACCTCATTCAATCAATCATTGCGTTATTCGCACACAATCGAGTGATCTAGCTGCCAGCTATTATACCCTCTATCTATACAACTGGGAAGAAAGGGTATTCAGCATTTTTAATTTTAAATAATGCACACTACTTCTTGAATGGAAAACTTGTTAGCTTTCCTAGATATGCTACCCAAACTAACCAGTACTCAGGTAGCACTTGGGCAAAAGAGTTTCGCTAATAAAAGAGTCTTGTATCCTATAGGATACCATATATTGTAATCAGTCAGATGGAGCTCTGCTAGGGCATATTATCTTCTTGCACTCACCTTTCATAGCCCAAGGCTGTTTGCTGAGGATGCCTCGCTGCAAGTGCTGCAATTGCGTCAGGCAGATCGGACTCGTGTTGCTCGCATTGGCCACCTCTGCTAGGCCATAGATGACTGAGCTGCAGGCCAGCATTGCAGCATATCTATCGTCACTCTTCGAGACATCAGAAGCAGCATTTGCAGCAGCACCGACTGTCAACTCCAAGTCCTTGTCTGGGTGCGAAGAAGGCCAGAGATTGGTGGTGCTGCTGCTGCTAATGCTATTGTTGAGCAATTGATGGCTATATTGATGGAATTGCAGCGTCGAGTCATTCAGTTCAGCTATGCAGTTGAGCAGATGACTCAAGAGTACAGCAATAGCTAAACATATTCCATATCCGTGTCGATGCATGGCGCCGCGCTCAAGCAGCTGCTGCGGTCAAACTAAAAGTTGTCAATGAATGAGAGCATTGTCAACGCAATTGTTGGGTGTAATGAGTATGTTTGAGTGTTCGTTAAGGTGTTGTTACAGGCGTTAACAGTTATTTCAGGCTAAGCAAATACAATTCGTGGATTGGAGTTACGAGTGCAGCAATAGACGTATTCGGACTTGCCACCGGAACCGTACTCATTAATAGCTAAATAGTGCGGGTATTGTGTACAACTACTTTAATAGACTGACTGACAACTGTTGGCCAAGTTAAAAGACGCTCACTAAAAGGCTTGCACGTTTCACACCCGAATTCGTTCGTGACAATGGCCTAGGGCCCAAATCGATCGAACAGGTTTTGGGGTCTCAAACAAATGAAGTTCAAACATCAATTACCCCTTACCAAGTTTCTTTCTTCTTTTTTTTTTTGGTATAAGTGCATTTCAATGTCAACTCATAGCGTATACACATATTCATAAATAAATAAATATATATATAAATGTATAAATATTTATATACTGCAACGCCAAACGAAAAAGCAAAACTCATAATATAGTAAACATTATTTGTCTGTCAAATTTGAAATTTGGCAATGTGTATTACCAGGTGTGAGTATGCCTCAATGCCCTGCCTGATATACGCCAAGCAAAACTTATTCATGTACTTATCTTTAAGCTCAACAGTTAATTGTCTTTCAAAGGCAAATAAAAAAATTTCATTGATTACTTGAAAAGTCGGTTTATCTTTCTAATTCGAGTTGCTGAAATTTCAGTAAACACTTATTAATGGGCGTATGATCTAAAGTTATATGTGCCTATGCTGTGTGTCTTTTTTTCTTTGCATAAATTAGATTTTGATCACTTATTATTGGCAAATATGGGTAATTGTTGATTATTTGCACAGTTGTTAAACAAAAAACTTGGACCAACGCCGGTGTAATTTAGGAACAATTGAAAACCCCTACGGCGTGTGACATGTGCAAGAGCCTAAGAAAGAAATCCATATATGTAAATGTATGTACATATATTTATATAAGTATATATCTATACTAAATACCACTGTGAGCTTAACTTATGTTGTCTGACACGGTTTGGCTGCAATCTTTAGCCCGGCCCGTTTCGATAGCTGGTTGGTTAATTGCTCTTCGATGAAACCATTTCAAGGGCAAACTGCCTTCGGGTTTTGCGTCTTGTTTTGATGTTTTATACCATGTATGTAAATGAGCCGGTGGTGAAGACCAAAACGGATCGCGGGGATCCGTTTCAATAATGCCCATTTTTGGCAAGATTAATAACAACAAAATCATAGGGTGTTGTAATCATATGTGGCAGTTCGTTTGATTTGACGATTGATTTTTGAACATGTTGCGTTCGTTTTGGGCGTTAATAATGGAATCGCTATTTGGCACTTTGTCTCTGTCGATTATGCAAGAAAATTTCCATTTTTCAAAATAATTTTGTATTTTTAATCATATTGAGTACAATTTGTTATTTTACATTTTCAATAATATTGGAATGCTTAGCGCTTAGGCCAAAGCTAGTTAACTTACTTTGGGAGCGAACAAATGAATCTTATTTAGTGTAAAATCAAATAAATATGCAAATTTTAATTGTACTCCACTTTCGTTTTGCAACTTATTTATTTATAACGGCCCGCGTGTATTTATTATGCCTTGGCTTTTGTTTATTTTCGTTTATAAAAAATTAAAACACCATGCAGAAAAACCACCACTAAAACTTAATCTAAATTCGTTTAATTTTTGCTTGAGTTGAGCACGTCTGAGGTTTACCAAGAAACTGCGGCGCCCTCCGTACCGTCTTCAACATTTATAAACTCGACGACCTAGCTGCAGCACGTGAACAGGTAGCAGCAGCAGCAGCAGCAGCAGCAGAAACAACAGCATCAACAGCGACAGCATCAGCTGCTGCTGCTCGGTCGCCACAAGAGATCGAGCGACAACAACAACCAGACTAATACGTCATAATTAGCGCGACATCAACAAAACCAACCAAAGGTGATTGCAAGCAAAGTGACTGCGTAACTACCAATGGTATTATGACTGAATCTCATATGTTATTTTATTATTATTATTATTATTATTATTCGTGTGTCTGACAGTTTAAGGCATGTATTTCCGATGCATGTTGGACTCGTGCTCACCTTGTAGCGATCCTGCAGTTCTTGTTTGTCATTGAGAGATATCCACTCGTTCATTGCACCACTGCCTTGATTATGATAATGGTAGAGTGCTGTTTCCGCACGTTGGAAGGTGGGGCCTTAATAAACATCGACACGCACTTTACTAAATGATGACACTTCGTTCGTTTAGTTGTTTATTGTAAGTCACTTCCAACATGTATATATCATTTTAGTGTAGGGATGTTATTTTCGTAGTGGGGATGTTATTTTCGTAGTCGGGATGTTATTTTATTTTATTAATTTATTTATTTATTTAAAAAAGTCTTACATTGGAATGAGTTCTTTTTACTGACATGCCAGATCTCGCTCCTTTTCCTGCAGTTTTCAAATATTTGTTTTATGGCTTAAATAGTTTTTTAAGTACGCTCTAAAGATTTAAATGCTTTTAGTTAATGGTCAATAAAAGACATTATGCAACGCAAATTTGCTTTATAATTGTAAGTAACACAGTCTTAATCAACCTCATTCACTCTGACTCGATTACTTTTACTCTCTCTCCCCTCTCTCTCTCTCTCTCTCTCTCTCTCTCTCCCTCTGTCTGTCTCTCTCTCTCTCTCTCTCTCTCTCTCTCTCTCTCTGCATGTATTTTCAAAATAGTTTATAACGAAATTAACAGCATTGATAGTCGATTCGATATAGCCATGTCCGTCATTATCTCCATCTCCTTCTTCATTTTTGAGTCGCTTTAACTTTTCCTATCTCTCAGTGTCTCTCTCTCTCTCTATTTTACTTTTTCCCTGCCTGTCTTGTTTATTACCTCTTCTCTTTACCATTTCTTGTATCTCTCTGTCTCCTTTCTCACTTCCTTCTTAAATATTATCAATTCATTTGATTTTCTTGCATTTAACAGCATTTTATATTTATGATTATATTAATTACCATTTTAAAACTAAAGAAGAAGAAGCGCCACAAACGCAGCAAGTTGGCAGCGCTACGATTTTTTATATGAAACTTGGTTGGGCACACTCAACGAAGTGGCAGTAGAGTGGCCAGGGTTGCGTGGTAGTGCAAACATGTCAATCGTTATCGGCAGTCATAGCAGGTCGTGAAACCATTATAAAATAGCAAAAATTAGAGTGAAACGACGCGAAAAATATAATCGCAATAAAATAATAAAGTGATGTAAAACTACACGCAAACGATAACGAAAAGGTGCAATTGCTTAATAATACACAGCCAAACGAATACGAAAACTGCGCAGCATAAAATTCCAGCTTCAGGAAAAAAGAGCCATAAAAATCGATTCTCCAACGAAGTCACAGTCATACGGACCAAGAGAGAGACACTTTTCGCGCGGGCGTCGGAGGAGCGCCCAGTGCTGCTTACATTTCATTTTTTTTTTTTTGCCTACTTACTTGCCAAAAGTCCAGCCAAGACTGTGCGTGCTTCTCTATGTGTGTGTGTGAGTGTGTCAATGTACATTGATAATTGAATGTATGTGTGTCCGCTATTGTTATTTATTTGCGAAACCTGCTGAAATCATACAGGACAAACTATAATTGTAATTAGGCAGTAACAGCAACGACACTAATTAAATGCAAATACTTAAACATCTGCCCTAATAATAACGTGTGCAAATAAACTAAATTCCAACACAATAACAATAACAAACACAGTGTGTACATTACAATACATAATACATGTGTGTGTAATAACAATAACAACAACAACAGCGAGCAGCGCAAGTCAAGAATGAAGTGGAAATACATCCCCCCCAATCGTAATTCGCCCCACATGACGTATTTTTAGGCGTGTGCGTGGCGCTAATTGAAACTCTCACAAAATTCGAAGCTTACTTCAGCTCACTTCTTTCCCCTTTTGTGCGTCTCCTCGTGAGTCACCTGCGCGCCCGCAAGCCAAATAAGAGATTGCGTGCCACTTTGCTACACACACAATTCTCGGCGGGCAAAACTTAAATTTAATATCAAACAACAACAACGAGAAGAAGAAGACGAAAAAGAAGAACAACAGGAATACCGTCCCAGCTATATCCCTTTTTTCGCTGTAAGGAGTGCATGAATCACTCGCACACCCACACGCATAGGCGTTAATTGTATTTAAAAGTGAGAGTACGTCCAAGGCGGCCCACACGATGTCAAGTGATAAGATCAAAGTTGCTGTACGGGTGCGACCCTTCAATCGGCGCGGTAAGTAAACCAAAACTCTCCCTCTCTCTTTCTCTCTTGTTGTAAAATCGAGAATTTATTATTTTGCATAGCCTCAATCTATTTTTTGTTTGTTTTTGGTTCCTCTTTATTTCACCGAGGCTTTACTCTGGGGCCTTGTCTCTTTTGTGTTCGAGTTGCAGTCCAATCAATAATGCACAAGTCAGCTGAATACAACGTGCATGTTGCTTATGCTTCTGCTTTATTTTCGGGATAACGAAATTTGCATAGTCGTCGCTTGCTTTTGCCTGTTCGATCCTATGCTCTTACAGAAGAGTATTCTGACTTAGTCAATGTGAAAAGAAATGTGTTTTCTAAACCGGAAGTTAGCATTTGCATTCGATCGACTCCATCAATTTAAATTCATGTTAAATAAATAATAACATGTCATTTTCTAAATGAAATAAACTTAATTAATTAATGTTTGGCTTAGGTTATGTCAGCAAGGGTATTTAATCTTTGACATCCCGGTAAATAACGATTCTTTTTTATTTAGGTTTTTTATGCAAATGTTATTTCCTTTGCTTTGTGCTTGCAAAGGTCGCATCGTTTTTCAATGCAACGCCAGCAACTTTTTCCGCTGACAGCCTTGCAGACCATCTAACTGACTAACTGACTGAATGACTTACTGACTGAGTGACTGGCGTAACAAACGATTTACATTTCCAGCTAATTTTTCGTTTCTATTTGCGGCTCACACGAGGTGAAATCCAGCGTCGTTGTCTTGTCTGTCGAGTGTTGCAACCTGCAAGTGCAGCAGAGCAAAAGCAAAACCAAACACAAACACACTTGGCTTCCATTTCCCAATGTCAACGGCGATCATTCATTTGGCTTATCCATGACTCACACACAAACAAACGCGCACACACACAGAGCAAAGTGCAGCGGAAATGTGGTGTGTGTGGGGAGCGGGAGGTGCGAGCACAGTCAATTTGAGCCCCTCGCTCGCTCGCCATCGGCGTCAAGTGGAAGTCATTTGCCATTTGCCATTTACTTTTTGCAAGTGTGTTTTAGTCGTGTTTTATATCGCACATTCCTTTTTGTTCTGTTGTGCTCCCATCATCTGCCGCTGCTGTTTCCACGCATTACCAAATCACTGCTTTATTTGGGGCTGGTTTGTGTCATGTTCTCACTATACGCCTGTGATTCGTTTGTTTGACGCGCTTGATTCACTCGCCAGTCAGTGTGTGTGTGTGTGAGTGTATGTTTGTGGGTGAGTGGGTGTTTATGTATGTGAATGTCCGATTGATAAGCGGAACAAGTTATATACGTATATATGCAGTCTGTTATCACAGCGCTGATAGTGCCTGGTACACAAATATTTCTCCTATACAGTAATAACTCGCAAATTTCGGAAAGTGCTAAATATTTTTGCAGAAATTCTAAATACTCTGATTAGAGTAATTAATATACATGGCGATAAAGAGTTTGTTGATAAATCGATAATAAAAAGCGTCTAAATGGACGAATCACTCAGCAAAAGTAACATCTTTATTTACAAAATGTTGCAAGTTCCGAACGAGCACTGTATTGGTTTACAAGCGTCTGTTATCAGATCTCTGATAATGATTGATATGCGCATAGTTGTATTACTAATATTATGTGCTGTACTATTTTGATGTATTTCCACGTAATCGCATAGGTAAGCCAATTGCCTCATCAATTTCTGTGACATCTTACGCATCGCTCCGAATTTGGGCCATTTTGCTGTCGACCTCTTCGAGTCACAAAGCGTAAAATGAAAACTACAGAAGCAACAAAAACAACAAGCACACAAAACACACAAGATACAAACAAATAAGCCAATGGCCGCTCGAAATGAAGTCACAGCTCGAAAGCTACCAAAAAGCTTAACCTGTTTTCCCTGCCAGCTGGCCAAGCGGCTATCTATCTAACTCTGTATATAAATGTATATTATTGTGTGCTTGTGGTTGTATGGTAATTTTAACATTGAACAATGGCAAACGCGTAAGCGTAAGACTTTAAGGTTATGGCGAAGATGTGTCCAAATCAACTGAACTCAATAGCTCAGCGCAGCTCTAGCTCCAGCTGGAGCTGACCAACTGACCAGAACTCATTCACAATTGGGGGCAAACTCATCAAATTATTTATGGCACGCCTTTGTTACTCACACACACACACACACAACATACTGATGACCTGTGTTGATGTGCGTCCTCTGTGGTTTCTCAACATTCTCGATTTCTCGACTTTGCTGCTGTCCTTTTGGCCATGTCCATGTCATGTTGGCTTTATTTTTGCAACGGAAGTGAGTGGCGAGTGCCACAAAACAGACCGCAGTACGCAAACATCTGCATGTGTGCCCAAAAATACTGCAATAAGCCTTCTGAGCTACAAACTTTTGGGAGCTCTTTGTTGGGATTTTATAAATAGCATTCTATTTTATTTATATTTATATTTTATACAAAATCGATTTCTTTACTTATAATTCATAAAGAAATTTACGTTATAGAAGAACCTAACTTATAAAAGCACTTATAAGGCCTGATATTAGTTTGGAACTAACTAGATTGCTTGCATGTAATTAAATAAATTATGTCATTCGTTTTCCATCAATTTGAGTGGGAGTTGAATAACATTTGTAAGAAACATGTGTTGAATATGTACATGTATGTTCTACTTATGAGAAGTTGCATACTAAATGTCAGGACCCTTTGCTTGATTGACGTATTATGGATTCAATGAGGTCAGACACACAAACAAGACATTAATGACTAATTTGGTCAACTCTTGAAACTCCTGAGATTGGTAAACTTCTTCGGCTTCACTGTAACCTGAGGTGCTTTTTGTCTGTACTGCTCTGACCTCGCCTGCCTGCCTGTCTGCTATCCTGCTGGCCTGGCCTTGGTACTTTGCCATTTTTACGTGCACAGGACAATGGCCGGGGGTCTTTGAAAATATTTCAGATATGCTTCCAGCCAGAACATTCTACATTTTCAACTTCTTTTTATTGCGGTGCAATGTCCGTGCTTAGCTGTAAGTAGTAAATGTTTTTCAGGCCAGAATATTTATTGCGATAAACATTTTGAGCAACATTTTGTTCGCTTTTTCGTTTCGGAAATTACAATTATTTGAAAGGTTTGCGTTTTTATTTATGTACATTAAGATTGCGCCGTAGCATTGGACTTGCCATATACTTGTAGTCATTTATCGCCTTGATGAATGCGAATACTATAATATACACATATATATATATATATATATTTTTTTTTTTAGCACATATGTACGAATCAGCTGTCAAGCGTACATACATATCTATTATATATGTGAATCTATATTATAAGCATATGTTTTTTGCCATTGCTATTCTGAACTTGTTATCAACCTTCTACTGAAAATAACTCAAATCATACTTATCACATATGCATTACTTGCAATATAAAAATTATTATTAATATAAATATTTCTCTCGTCACAGAAATTGAATTGGGTACAAAATGCATCGTCGAAATGGAGAAACAGCAAACGATATTGCAAAATCCGCCATCACTGGAAAAAATGGAAAGGTGAGTGCGCTTTTATGCGATTTAATGAGTTTATATACTAATAATAATTACATATATACTCTGATTCACTCAGAAAACAACCAAAGACATTTGCATTCGATCATTGCTTCTACTCGCTAAACGCCGAAGATGACAGCTTTGCGTCACAGGAGACGGTCTTCGACTGTGTGGGACGTGATATACTGGATAATGCATTTCAGGGCTACAATGCATGCATCTTCGCCTACGGCCAGACAGGTAAGCGAGTATCTCATAGACACGCAAGAGTACAATTGTGTGACTCAATTGTTGTTTACAGGCTCGGGCAAATCGTATACGATGATGGGTTCGCAGGAGAATAAGGGCATTATACCCCGTCTCTGCGACAAGCTCTTCTCGGCGATAGCAAACAAATCGACACCGGAGCTACTGTACAAAGTGGAGGTCTCCTACATGGAGATCTACAACGAGAAAGTACACGATCTTCTTGATCCCAAGCCCAACAAGCAGTCGCTCAAGGTGCGCGAACACAATGTACTCGGCCCCTATGTCGATGGACTCTCTCAGTTGGCTGTCGCATCCTATCAGGATATTGATAACCTTATGACAGAGGGCAACAAATCGCGCACTGTGGCTGCCACAAATATGAATGCCGAATCGTCGCGCTCCCATGCCGTATTCTCGGTAGTCCTAACACAGATACTCACCGATCAGACAACTGGCGTCAGCGGAGAGAAAGTCTCTCGCATGTCCCTCGTTGATTTGGCTGGCTCCGAGCGCGCGGTCAAAACAGGCGCAGTTGGTGATCGGCTTAAGGAGGGCTCCAATATTAACAAGTGGGTTCAATTCCTATTAAATAATTAGAAAAATAAGTACTTCCATAAATTATAAATGACCAGAACTTAGAGAATAGAGTTTTCTAACTAATTGAATGTAAAAATCTAACCTGTTAGACAAATATTACTTTTAGAAACCGTTATTATTCACTTATTATTTTGATCTTTGTTTTTACTTATCATTTGATGATTATTTTTAGATCCCTGACCACACTTGGCCTGGTCATCTCAAAGCTAGCCGATCAATCAAATGGCAAAAAGGGCGGAAACGATAAATTTGTGCCCTATCGAGATTCCGTGCTAACCTGGCTACTAAAGGACAATCTCGGCGGCAACTCCAGGACGGTTATGGTGGCCACCATTTCACCGTCAGCAGACAACTATGAGGAGACACTATCCACGCTGCGCTATGCAGATCGTGCCAAGCGTATTGTCAATCATGCCGTCGTCAACGAAGATCCCAATGCGCGTATCATTCGCGAACTGCGCCATGAGGTGGAAACGCTGCGCAGTATGTTGAAGCATGCCACTGGCTCCCCAGTGGGTGATGTCCAAGACAAGCTGGCAGAGAGTGAGAATTTAATGAAGCAAATCTCGCAAACATGGGAAGAGAAACTGGTCAAAACCGAGCGCATACAAAACGAGCGTCAGCAGGCGCTTGAGCAGATGGGCATCAGTGTTCAGGCCAGTGGCATCAAGGTGGAGAAGAACAAGTACTACCTGGTCAATTTAAATGCAGATCCGTCCCTGAATGAGCTCTTGGTTTACTACCTGAAGGTAATTTTGCGTTTTTATTAAATAAGGAAAAACATTACTTTAATGTCCCAATTCTTTTTCAGGAACGTACGCTAATTGGCGGTCGGAGCATTAGTGGACAGCAACCGGATATTCAGCTCTCTGGTCTGGGAATACAGCCTGAACACTGCGTTATAACTATTGAGGATAGCGGTTTGTTTATGGAGCCCGTGCAGGGTGCCAGGTGTTTCGTCAATGGTTCAGCTGCGCTGGAGAAGACTCCGCTGCAAAATGGTGATCGTATACTCTGGGGCAATCATCACTTTTTCCGCGTCAATTCGCCCAGGGTGGGCATGAATGCCAGTATGTGTGCTTCCGAGCCGCAAACACCCGCACAGCTTATCGATTACAATTTTGCACGTGATGAGATTATGCAGAATGAGCTGAGCAATGATCCCATACAGACGGCAATTGCTCGCCTCGAGCGGCAGCATGAAGAGGACAAGCAAGTGGCGCTTGAGAAGCAGCGGCAAGAGTACGAGCGGCAGTTCCAGCAGCTGCGCAATATTCTCTCCCCAAGCACACCCTATGCTCCATATGCGCCCTACGATCCGCTCCGCATGGGCAAGGTAACGCCTAACACGCCCACCTCGCAGATGCGGGTGGAAAAGTGGGCACAGGTATGGAACGATACAGCTCCTAAATGTTGAGATGTGTCTGTAGCTATTTAAATTGTATAATTGTAGGAACGTGATGAGATGTTCAGGCGTTCACTGGGACAGCTAAAGACGGACATTATGCGCGCCAATTCGCTGGTGCAGGAGGCCAACTTTCTAGCCGAGGAAATGGAGAAGAAAACCAAATTCTCAGTCACTTTGCAAATACCGCCAGCGAATTTGAGTCCTAATCGACGGCGCGGCGCCTTTGTCAGCGAGCCAGCGATTCTGGTGAAGCGCACAAATTCGGGCAGCCAAATCTGGAGCATGGAGAAGCTGGAGAACAAACTGATCGATATGCGTGAGATGTATCAGGAGCACAAGGAGCGCATTCTCAATGGACTGGTGCGTCACAATTTATTTACTTGATCACTCCTTCCATTTTTGTCTCTTGTACTAACCATAATACTTTATGTGTACTCGTTATAATTCGCACATGCATTCAATTAACCCCTGAAACAGCCCCTTATTGAGACATTCTCAGACGATGAATTCGACGACAAGGTAATTAACAAGTCCCATCTTCCCCGAAATCATGCTAATATTTAGAATAACATCAGGCACATCGTTTGAGTTCCTTGTACATTAACACATTGCTGTTTTGCAGGACGAGGACAGTAATAAGCCACAGGATCCGTTCTATGAGTCGCAGGAGAACCACAATCTGATTGGCGTGGCCAATGTGTATTTGGAGGTGTTGTTCCATGATGTCAAGCTGGACTATCACACGCCCATCATTAGTCAGCAGGGCGAAGTAGCCGGTCGCTTGCAGGTGGAGATTCAACGTGTCGCTGGACAAATGCCGCAGGATCGCATGTGCGAGTCGGTGTCGGAAACGTCATCAGCGGATTCGCGTGATGAGTACGATGATCCTGTTGACCCTATGGCAAATCAGATCACTTGCCGCGTCACCATCAAATACGCCTCCGGTCTGCCACTGACGCTGTCCAACTTTGTCTTTTGCCAGTATACATTCTGGGGCCACCAGGAAATGGTGGTGCCGGTCACTAATGCCGAATCCACGGCACTTGATCAGAATATGGTCTTCAAATTCGAACACACCCAAGATTTTACGGTCAATATTAATGAGGAGTTTCTGGAGCACTGCCTCGAAGGAGCGCTCTCAATTGAAGTGTGGGGCCATCGCAGCGCCGGATTCTCCAAGTCCAAGGGCTGGGAGGTGGAGCAGCAGCAGGCCAAGGCTCGCTCCCTCGTCGATCGCTGGGCGGAACTGTCGCGTAAAATTGAATTGTGGGTGGAAATACACGAGCTAAACGACAACGGCGAATACTCACCGGTCGAGGTGACCAATCGCAATGAGGTGCCCACTGGTGGCATCTACCAGCTACGTCAGGGTCAGCAGCGTCGCGTCAATGTGCGCGTCAAGCCGGTGCAGAACTCTGGTACATTGCCCATCATCTGCCAGTCGATCGTCAATGTGGCCATTGGCAGTGTTACGGTTCGGTCGCGATTGCAGCGACCGCTCGACTCCTACCAGGAGGAGGATCTCACTGTGCTGCGCGAAAAGTGGAGCGAGGCGTTGGGTCGGCGTCGCCAGTACTTGGACCAGCAGATACAAATGATTATCAAAAAAGAGGAGAAAAACGAACAAGAGCGTGAACGTGAGCTGAGCCTGGTGCATCAGTGGGTCTCCCTCACCGAGGAGCGCAATGCGGTGCTGGTGCCGGCTCCGGGCTCAGGCATACCGGGTGCACCCGCATCTTGGGATCCGCCAGCCGGCATGGAGCCACATGTGCCCGTGCTGTTTCTCAATTTAAATGGCGATGATCTCTCTGCGCAGAATACAAACGATGAGCTATCCATAGCGGGCATCAATTCCATTCTATCCAAGGAGCATGGCCACAAGTTCTACACGCTGCAAATACTTCAGCATCTGGATAAGGATGTGTGCTGCGTAGCCAGCTGGGACTCGTCAATGCACGACAGCCATGCGCTGAATCGCGTGACCGAGGCAAATGAGCGCATCTATTTAATACTGCGCACAACTGTGCGCCTCTCACATCCAGCGCCCATGGATCTAGTGCTGCGCAAGCGCCTCATCATCAACATCAAGAAGGGGCAAACGTTAACCGATCGGCTGAAAAAGTTTCGACTGGTGCGCGGTGAGAATGCCATTTGGCAGAGCGGTGTCACCTATGAGGTCGTCTCCAACATACCCAAGGCCTCCGAGGAACTCGAAGATCGCGAATCGCTCGCCCAGCTGGCAGCTAGCGGAGATGATTGCTCTGCCTGCGATGGTGAGACCTATATAGGTGAGTTAAGAAATCAGGATTCATGTTCTTTTTGCTGAATTAGTTCATATTATAATTAATATCGCTTAAGGATGATATCCTTTATATGTTGAAAAGTGAAGAACATTTTCCCTTAGCTAAAAGCTAAATTATTATTAAAAAGAAAATATTAAAATTATTATTTAAACAAATATCTACTCTTCACTTTCACACAGAGAAATACACGCGTGGTGTTTCGGCCGTGGAGAGCATATTGATATTGGATCGCTTGCGTCAGAGTGTTGCCGTCAAGGAGCTGGAGACGGCACATGGCCAGCCGCTGTCGATGCGCAAGACCGTCAGTGTGCCGAACTTCTCGCAGGTATGTGTCGCTGATCATTGTGCGATCAGCGAGCTGAGCTTCCTTGTGCCTTTTGTGCTTTCACGTTGCTACCCCCCAACCCCACCACCAGCGAGCAAAATTAAACTTGTACAATTCAAATATTTGACTAAAACGCAATTCTTTCTCTTTTCACATTTTCTATGCGCTTTCACCAAAACTATAATCTAACCAAACAAAAATTATGTTGTTCACACCGCACACCAAAAACTAACAAACAAACAAATCTGATAACCAAATTCGGCGCGCCTAATAATCTGCAATTATATATATACATATATATATAAATATATATATATTGGCATTATCTATATTTATGTGTGCGTGCGTGTGTGCGTGTGTGTGTGTGTGTGTATATATTTATCTGCAATGTGTTGTGTACAAAAAAAAACACAAAACAAAACAAAAACGCTTTTCACTGCACACACAGGCGGTCAAAGAAACCACCAACACCAGCAGTGTAAGTAACCTGTGTGCAATGTACTCGCAACACTTTGTAAACTATGCTTTCTAAAGATACTTGCAAATTTTGTACTCTTACTTCTATGTGTGTGCTTAATTTGCTTTTTGTTGTTTTCCTGTTCCCCCGTTGTCTTTGTGCGCGTTTAAGTTTGCCTGTTTCGTTTTGGTTTTGTTGTTGCTTTTTTTTTTTGGTTTTCATTTTCTTTAAATTTATTATTTTCAATTATCTTTTCATTCATGTTAACAATAACATTTGTTTTAAATATGCAAAACGCTATTTATGACTCAAGAAACTCATGAATAAACTTTGGCAGATCATGCGCTTCGATGCCTCCATGGAATCGCTGCTAAATGTGGGTCGCTCCGAGTCCTTTGCGGATTTGAACAACACGGCGCTGGGCAACAAGTTTACGCCAGGTATGTAATTTAATATAGTTCCCGTGTTTACTTACTTACTAATGGACTACGCCCTTATTTGCAGCACTCAGTGGCACAGGAGGCGGTGGCGGTGGCGGTGTCATAAGGAATCGCCACAGCTTTGGTGGCAAGGGCAGTGGCGACGACTCACCGGGCAAAGCCTTTGGCATTGGTGTGTATACCCCTAGGGATTTCGCAGCGCGTTCTAACCAATTTTATTTGATACTCACCCTTAATTTTGAGCAACTATTTCAAATCGTTTCTAACGTACGAAAATATAACCAAAGTTTTTGTATCACAACAAACATATATCTAACTATACAAACTATATAAATATTTTCTATAAAATTTGTATGCTTTTGCGCAGCAATGTATCGTTGCTGCCATGCCTTAGAGCAAGGGATTTATCTTTGTTTACGTATATACATCTAATTATATTTAAATACAAAATTAATATTTAGAGCTGATTTATAACGAGTATATAGCATAACTTAAAAACTTGTATATTCGTGTACTTAACATGTAGCATTCGCGTTAACTTGGACACATTCTCTCGCCGTCGGCTTTAACAAGATAAATCCTTTTACAAACTGTGATAACACACACAATTTGCCAATGCTTATGCTTCCCCCAGAAAAAAAAGCAAGCGACCATTTTACTGAGATTAATTGCAACTGCCGCTTCGATTCGTTTCTAAACTTTACTTTCTTGGCTTTTGCTTCAATGCAACACATTAGCAAAAACTCAACAGCAACTATATAATAAGCACAGCAGCGACACACACTCGACTCGAGTCAAAGTGCACATACCAATCCACCGAAGCTCCACAGCTATTCACCAGAGCTTATCATATAAATTGACATGCATACACATCATAACAACAAGATCAACAAAAAACTACATACATATATCATATGAAACACACATGAATTCAGATTTCTTTCAATTATATTTATCGTATGTATGTCTGGTTCTTTTTCACGTGTCATAATGTACTCTATTTCTGTGCTTACTCAACAACTCGAAACAATTTCGAATATGAAATTCAAAACGCCATAAGCAGGCTCTGTATTACTGTCAGGTAAAGGCTGGCCCCTGTAAAGTGCATAATATAAAATTGATTGAAAATTCATTAAATGTTAGTTGGCGTTTCAGTTTGACTGTTGTTTACACACACTCACACTCCCACACACACACACACACGTAACTCGAATCAGTCATGTGCCACAGCCACAGCAAGCTAGACATAAATGTTGAAATCATCAATGTACAAATACGTTATACCCATGTATTTACGTTTATTGTGTCATAATAGAGGGTGGGCAGTATTATTAGTAGTAGTTTACTTTTATTTCTATTTGCTGGTAAAAAGTTAGCCATCATACTCATCACCAAATCGTGCTCAATCAAATCTCAAATGTTTCGTGTACACTGAACAACAAAATCATATGGCTCAATATCATTTATGTTAAACATTCTTGTTTCAATAGTTGTGATTAGACTTTGTGTACAAATGTTTATCACTCCATTCATTGTACACCGCACACCACTCACCATCTACCACCCACCACCCACTCTGTTTCTAATTCCAATTTGGCGCACCATTCACAGCAGACAGCACGTCCAGCACGAGTTCCGAGCACGAGCAGCGCATCTAGTTAATCAATTGATGACCTAGTTCTTAATTCCTAGTACTTTTGCTCATGTTTTTGTGTGTTTGTTTTTGTTTGTTTTTGGCGAACTAGTCGCCATTTGCAACTAGAGAGTTACTTATTATTGAATCGCTCATCAAATGTTGTCTAAAATCATTGTAACTAAACATAACACATAATTATTGTCTTCCCTTGAACCCATGGAATGCAGCGCGCCCAACATTTTTGAATCTCAATTTAAACTTGAACACATTGAGAATTACGCCAACAAAACGTATGTGGTTTGTGTAGCTCTAAGCCATTTTAACTAAGCTGTGTTCAATTTAAACTTTAATATGAAGCAATAAGTAAAACGATTTGAATTTATTTACGCAGCTTCACCGGCCACCAGCAAACTGATGGGCATGCGCATGACAACGCTGCACGAGGAGCCGCTGGGCGGGCATCGTTCGCTGGATGAGGAGCCCGAGGACAGCTATAGCGATTCGGAGTATGCCGCCGAATACGAGCAGGAGCGGCAGCAAAACAAAAGCCTGGCCACACGCTCGCGGTTGACGTCCTCGAAAACCATGGACTCGTTCATGGACGTAAGCAGTCATTCGAATCAAAGCCATTTGAGCTACACGTCCAGCGCCAATGCGAACATGAAGCATCTGACTGGACTGGCAACGCTCAGCATGAGCTCGTCTACCAGCAGCGGCTACGGCTCCCAGGCTGTATCCTGCAATAATCTAAGCAATGAGGATATTACCTCCATGCGTTCCATGAGCATTGATGAGACACCAGGTGAGCTCGCAAATATAACTATGTCATCGAATCAAATACTCACAAGTTATTTGTTGCAGATTTCGACCGCATCAATTCAAATTCGCCGCCAAATCGCCAGGCGCGCGTCAATCCCTTCCTCAAGGACATGCCAAAAGCTAAAGCGCAAGAAGCAGAAGCGAAGAAGTTGCAGCAAGCAGTAACACATCCATTGGAGCAACCAGAGCCAGAGTTAGAGTTTAAGGATGAGGATTGCGACCAGCTGCAGAGTAATAACAACAACAATGTCAGCGACCAACTGGCAGTGCCAGATCTAACACAGCAGGAGCAGGCAGAGCAACAGGTGCCCTTCCAGCCACCGGATCATGTCACAGACAATCAAAACGGCAATAAATCGCTAGAGCACATCCCCGATACTTCCGAGACAAACGAATCTGCTAATCATCAGCTGGAGGGCGATGGCATTGTTAAAGAGCAGCTGCCCGCTGGTAAAGTGATGCGCCGCAAAAAGACCACAACGCATCCACCGAACAATGGCGATAGCAGCAATAATAACAACAGTCACAACACGAGCCAAATGACACGCAGCAATCAACGCGCCTCGGTGGCCAAAATGGAGGGCGTGAGCGCCTATTTGGATGCCAGCATCATGTCTAGCAGCACAGAGGTGGATGGTGAGTATGCCATAAGCAATCAGTGGAACATTTTAAATAACTATCGTTTCATGAATTAGATGAAGGCAAGGAGCTGGATTTGACACTGCCCGATTGGATTGTGGTAGGCGAGTCGGTGCTCATACGTCCGTCTAACAAGAGCGGCGTTATTAGCTTCGTGGGCACCACACACTTTCAGCCGGGCACTTGGATAGGCGTTGAGCTGGATACACCCACAGGCAAGAACGATGGCACCGTACAAGGCATCCAGTATTTCCAGTGCAAGCCCACGCACGGTATCTTTGTGCGCGCCGATAAACTGCTCCTGGACAAACGTGGCAAGGCGATGCGCGCCTACAAGGCAGCCGAGAAGAGCAACAGCATCAGCAAAGGTATGCATACCTAACCAAATAAAAACCAAGTTCCCACTTAACTGGTTACATTTTGCAGAGATGAGCAACTCGATGACGCGCTCGAAGAGCCGTGGTGAATCGCTAAATGTGTCGGCGCGAAAATGATTATACCCAAAGTGTTCGCATCAGTTGCAGCGTTGGACTAATTGCAGGCAATCGACGTTGGTCAGCAGTGGAGTTGCGACAACGACAGCGACTCCAACGACCTGCCACAGATTGCGTGCAACCAGTGGCGCTGCGGATGCGAACAGTCATGGCAAAAAGTGCTATGCCAATCGACGCTCGACGGCCTTCTAAGGTCGTCCACGATGCACATCGTCCAGCAACGAACAATGCGCAGCATTAAACAATTACACGCTAGCTTAACTTTCTCTCACGCACTGCATGCCGCAATTACACACAATTACATGCATACACACACACAAACACATACACTCACACACACACACTTATAACCCGACGCTTCGAAACGTAGTTGTATGGCGGTGTCTACAGCAACACTAACAATTAGCAAGTAACTTACTAAACGGGCCTACCCTTTACCAGCTGCTCGCGCTCTTAGTGGATAAACTAAGCGAATCGTTTGCGTAGTTGCATTAACCAAGTGCAATACCACAGACACTCTGATGCACTTAGTATATATATAGTAGTTTTTAATTAATTATGATCGTTTCAATGTGTAGTATGTGTGTATGTTTTTTAATGATATTTCGATTCCAACTGATTCAGTTCTTGTAGTAATTAATGTTTGCTGCTTTTTGATAAAGCACATTGGATTATATTTCATATAAATATATATATATATTTTTGTACCGGTTGATTAATTAATTGCCTAGTTTAGTTAAATTGTTTTTTATATGTACAAAAATTTACTTTGTGTATATCTCAATCTATATCAATGTGACTTGGTTATTACTACTATGAGCTTATTTTTTATTGTTATGGACTATATCAAATATATGAAATCAGTTGTATATATATATATTTATGCTGTAAGTTCTACCAGACATGCAATATTTTTTCTATACTTTTAGCTTCCTTATTGAGCTCACATTCTGTTTAGCGCATTTATACATATACCAACAAGAAAACCAATACAATATTAGTATAACATATATATATATATTCCATATAACTGCGACCATGCTAGCAAAAGCGAATCAAGTTGAATCTTGAATCTTGTTTTAACAATAAGAAGCTTGCATACGCGTGGTATATATGTAAATTGTATTATTTGATGTGATGTATTTATAATTTCTCCATTTATATGTATATTTAAATAAACTTCATTTTGCTATATATACGTTTCTGTTTATGCCTTATTATTTGTTATTCGATGTGCAATATCAACTTTAGTATGTATGTATGAATATTTAATTTTTTATTATACGTATATCGATTAATGTTAAAGGTTGTGCGACTATGTTTGTGAACCATTCACCGAACACTGATATAGAAAGAAAGGCTTGCGTTAGTCCAAAAATGTGAACTACGTAAAAAAGTAAATGAAGCAATAATTGCGATTAATATTCAATTTTATGTTTAAGATAATCTATGACATATGATATGGAAGATAGGCAGACGATATTAACAGCAAACCGGCTGAAGAACGTTTGTACGTAAACGTATCCATCCATCCAACTACCAAGACATCCAAGACACTCCAAACTGAGTCTGAGATAAATTGCAATTTACAAACAATAAAAAATAACAAAAAAATGAAAAAACAAAATACAAAAATACAAATTAAAACTACAACCAAAAACAAGCGATTTACACTTAGAAACCAAAATTCAAGCATGAGTTAGAAAGTTAATTTAAAAACAAGATGAAGAAACCCAACTGGATGAACTACAGCCAGTCAACCAGTATATACTTACATGCATACATGAATATATATTATATATTAGGTATACATATGTATATTTTCGAACTGTGTTTTCTACTTGCATCAACTACCAAAAACAAAAGACAAAGACAAAAAAAAACACTTGAAAATACGTCCAAAATTGAAAAATTCAAAGCAAGCTAAAACTACAATATATACAATTACATAATAATTATATATATATACATATATAAATACATAACTATTTATTTACCAAACGATAAACATAACATAAACTGAAACCTTAGAGGATTCATACTTCGGCCAGCCGAAGCTGAAATGCTCCTTGAGACTATAATCAGAATGAATGATTGTGAGATTAACAAATAAATCATTTGCCATGAAATGCTCAAAGAGCATTAAATATAATAGTTGATCAGATTTGATTACCAATCTTCTCTCATTATTCTTGAATTGCTGCACCATGCCCAGCACAAATAAATAACTAAAATGTATTACCAAAAAAAGAAAAAGAAAAGAAAAACAAAAGATTACTGAAATTTAATGCATTTAATAAGCGTAAATACCATTCAAATAGAGCTTGAAATTATGAGAGAAATTAGCAAAACACAAAAACACAAATTAATTAAATGCACGCATAATGCGCTTTCGATGTATTGTAAAATAGTTGAGTAAAGAGAAAAGATATATAGAAAATGGCATAAATTCAAAAAGCGCTTGCTTGCATCTTATTGAACTTATAGAAGACAAACACATGTATTTAGTTATAGAGTAGAGCAGCAGAATGCAGAATGCAGAGTAGGCATCGATTGAGAAAGCATGCAAAATAAATAGGTACTTTTGAAGCAAGAATGCACAGAACGCAGCATAGATATCCCAATATTGGGTAACACATTTTAGGAGCTATTGCCCAACAAACAGTTAATTGTAGATACAATATGATTTTCAAGTCATATATACACACACACACACATCCTAACACTCATACACACTTACACAGACCCATCCAAAGGTAAATATAATATATAAATACTTAATAATTATAAGATAATATGAATAGATGTTACCTTATGCATGGGCTTCGCATAGAAGAGCAGCATATACATTTTATGTGGATAATCATCAGAAATACTCGTACATATATATATATATATATATATATATATATATATATATAAATGTACTTATGTAAAAGATAATCGTAAATTTGAGCACTTTTAGAGCTTCTAGCACAGTCAACGAAACTAATGTTATCAAATACAAATACATCAAGTATAAATTGTAGATCATAACACCAACCCATTGACACAAGCCATTTACCGTTTAGCCGATATATAAATAAAGTTAAATAAACAAATGGAATTAGCAAAGCAAATGCTTTAATTGTGCAAATAATATAAACAACTACCAAAACACAAAACACAAACACAAACAAACTTAAACTCTTAAACAAATACAGTTGTTCATTTTACTCTAAAGCTCACTTCGCTATTGTAGTCGTAATTTTGTGTCTTGTATTAACAATTTGTCAGACAACAACATAAACAAACAACAAAGAAAACAAACAAACAAGAAAAAAAAGAATGATAAAGATAAATCGAAAAAAACAGGCATAAAACCAATATTTCTGTAATTTATACTTACTTATTTTACTCCACCTTTAGTAACTTAATGAGCGTCAGCAAAAATACAACAACAAAAATGCAAACAAAACGCATATTCAACCAATTTGATTAAATTTAAACAAAATCAACAAAAATTATGTATTTAAATCTATAAATATACAAAACGTGCAATGGTCTGCATTGTGTTTATTTACCAATTTCCACATTTTCTTCTAGACAAGCTATCCGAATACGAATACCTCGACCTACAAATAATAATAAAAAAATATATATGTTTTAACCTTGCTTATGGCCACATTCATAATGACCCTGAACTAGACCTGTTTAAAAGGTATGTATTATGGCCATAGACGTGAGTGACCCATCAAAAAAATGTCGTTGTATGTCAAGTGTTGTTTTTTTTTTTTATCTTCCGTTTGGAAGTACTTTTATTTATTTTCAAAAACAAATGGCAAAAAAGTTTTGTTAATTAATAAATGCTTACAACGCTCTTTGTGGTTTAACGCATTGCATTTAAGACATAGATGGATTAACCGAGACTCTGCAAGTAGTTAGACTGCATTGGAATATCTTTATGGATTTATCATTTGATGATCACATAGCAATTATAATTATTATTCAAGCATTTACATAGGAATATGTATATATATATATATAGTATATTATACTATACAACTTTTTCTAGTTTTGTTTTATACACAACAAATGCACAACACATACATATTGTATCTTTTTATAGCGTATTGTTTTGACTGTTTTTGTTTTATTTTTTTTTTTTTTTTGATTTGTGTTGATTTCTCTTTCTGTTATTCACTAACTACAACTTACACGTTCTATATAGTGTATATGTATATTATATATAAAATATATAATTAGATTTCTAGCGTTGTTTTTAATTGGTATTTACACATGTTGTTGCGTTAATTCGAGTCTGTAGTTAAAAGCGCTCTGCTACGCTTAGTCAGTTTCTCTCAGTTACAATTGGCTTGGTCCGTCCGCTGGTGCTGGCCACATCCAAGCGGCTTAGTCGTGTCCAATGGTCCAACGCTGGGTGTCACTGGATAGATCACATGGCGCCACCTGTGCATCGTCCATGCTCTTGAGGCCGTTGTGATCAAGGCACATGCCTGTGTTGCTGTGCTTCAGCTGCTGGTTTTCGTATTTCCACTGCTCGTTGTAGTCATCGTTCTCCAGGCAGGGCACCATCACAATACGATATGGCGGCGAGCTGCTATGCTGCACCGTGGCACAGCTCAGCTCGTTGCGCAGCACTTGGCTGTTGGTAAAGGAGAAGAGCTGCGAATGTTGCAGCGTCTTCCCACAGGGATATAGGCCCAGATTGTAGGGTTTCTCATTGTTATTCAGCAGATCATCGATGCACAGGTTGTCGTGCACGGATCTCACCCGGCCCCAGGCCTTCACATTCTTGTTGGGCACAAACTTCTCGGGATAGACGTTCTGCAGATACCAGTCGAAGCTCTTGCAGCGCAATTTCTTGCGCAGCACAACGCGATGCGTCACATCGCCAATATCCGGATGGAACTTCAGATCGGGTCTATTGAGGAAGAATACGTTAATGTACTCATCCATCCAGACCAGAGCCATGCGAGCAGTGTTTATGCCATGCGTGTCACGATCATTGGGGAATCTGTAACAAATGATTTCAATTAAAACTATCAATTTACTAGCTGAAATATTTGTATCTTACTTGTAAGGATGAAAATCACGGAAAATGTGTCCAACGCGGGAGCAGGGTATTGTCTCAATCGTACCGCCACACTGCCAGATTCTAAAGGACATCTCCAAATTCTCACCACCCCAGCCGTCCATCTGCAAAGATTACACATTTATATATATTCAAGGATATGACGAGTAAGCATTGCTGAATGCTGCTCACCTGCTCATCGTAGCTGCCCACCTCCCAGAAATAGCGTCTGTCCATGGCAAAAAGGCCACCCGCCATTGTTGGACTGTAGGCGGGACAGATTTCGCGTGGCTGATTGCATTCTCTGCTTTGGCGCAGCTTCTCGCGTTCGGGCAGATTCACCCAATCGAAGTGGCCGTTCCATTGGAAGCCGCCCACCTGGAAGGACTTGTAGCCATTGGTGCTGTACTGAAAGTCAACCGAATCGATGACATCGATGATGGGCACCAGGACACTGGTGCGCGAGTCCTTGATGCGCTGCAGCAGCGGCTCACACCAGCCCTCATTCGCCTCGCAATGGGCGTCCAGAAAGATGAGCACATCGCCGGTGGCAATACGAGCGCCAGCCAAACGGGCACGTATCAGACCCAAGCTGCAGGCAAAAAACCAAAAGAAATTCAAACTTTCCTTTAGCAAAATGGTAAAAAAAAAAAACAAAAATGTGCTTTTTTTGGCTCTTGTAACAAAAAAGAGAATTAAATTATTGGGTCAGCGAACAGAGAAGCGCGCCAAGCGAATACTGCACGTCGAGATACGAAAGATATACAAAATAAAAGTCAAAAATATAATCGTGAGTTGACGAACAGGTTTTACGGTTTCATTGTATGCCCTGTGTGCCAATGTAGCACGTAGGCTGCCACGACTTGAGGCAGAGCTTGAAGCGAACGTGAATCAACATTTCGAATCAAGAAGGAATAACTTTTCAGTTTTAGATCGTTTGTTAATATTTCCAAGTGATTCTAATAAGATATATTCGAAATTCGAAATAGGATTTTTAAATTTTCTATATTTAAAAGTAATTAACCAGAGAGATATGATATAATCTCAAAAACCGGAATTTTAGATGCAAGCCAAATTATATTTTCAAAATCATTTTGAAAGCCAATTGCAATTTCAAGTTTAATTCTCAGCTTCAGTTCGATTGTATTGTCTGCTTATGGCTAAAGGGGTATTTTGTTAGCTGGTTTTTGGACATGTAATCGGTTTGACTTTTGAATTTTGGAACGTTGTTTTTCTCAGTTCTTCTTCAGCTTAAAGCTGTGAAGAAGACGCTCCAAGACATCCGTCTGTCCGTCTGGTATGTCTGCGTGTCTGTTCAATTGTGAGTCTGTGCCGCAAAAACGAGTTATTCAAATGAACACCAACCAAAACGATATCCACTCGAACGTATGATTGTATTAATTTCACACACAGCGCTGAATGTGCATTCGATTAGCTGAATCGAACTTTTCCTAGCCAGCAAATTGTTAAAGTGTGCCAGCTGTAAATGTAAAGATTACAGCTGCCCATTGGCCACTCACCGATTGTTGAGGCGCAGCACTGTCACCTTGCCGATGGGGAATCGGGTCTTCACATAGTGATCCAGTTTGCCGCCCAGCTCCGCATTGTCGCTGCCATCGTCCACCAGGATGATCTCCTTGAGCGCCTGCTCATTGCATGTGTTCAGTGTGCTGTGCACGGTGCGCAACAGCACCGAATATGGTTCATTGTAGAATATAACGATGACACTGGCGGTGGGCAACGTTGCTGGATTATCGTAACGCTGGTTTAGGCACAGCGGATTGCGATGATCGCCAACTGTGCGATTGTAGGAGAGCTGCTCGCTCAGCTCCTCATTCAAGGCGATCTTCTTGTAGATCTTATCGCCACGCGCCTTTGCCGCACCCTTTAGATGTGTGGCCACACCCTTGTTGCCCAGCGTGCGATCCTGTTTCTGTATATCCAGCTGGATGCTCTGCTCGTACGGTGATATTGTCACCGGATGTATTTCATTCTCGGCGTCATCGATGTACTTGTCATGCGCCCGGACAATCGCTGCTGGCCTGGGCCTCAGCCTAACGGGCTGAGGAAAGTCCTCGCTGGGTGGCTGCACCTTCAGATAGAGTATGAAGCACAGCGCCACGAGCACAAATATGATTATTTTGCCATATAAGGAACGGAACCGAGGCAGCATATTGGTTGCTTGTTGTGATGCTTGTTGCTTGTGTTGAGGTAACTCGCTTTTTTTACTTTCAATTAGTAATGCGGTGTTTGCAGCGTGGACGTGGCCCGTTGTTGACTGCTAATGCTACTGGCTACTGGCTATTGGCTGCATTTGTTACCGCCACTGCTGGCAATATGTAATAAATGTATATATTACACATACTAATAATTACACGACACGATTATTAACTATATATTTACATACATACATACATGCATATGTTCGTCTCGCTTTTGAGTATTTATTATTTTCTTATTGGGCAGCAGCAGCACGCGCGCTTTGTGATGTGGCGGCTGTGGCTTAAACTAGACTAAACGTTAATTCTAGTCGCTGCGGTCGCCTTTGCTGTCCGCTGCTCCGCGCCGCCCGCCCATTGCTCACACCTACCTATCTCTCTGCTCTTTACTATGTATGTATCTGCGAATGTTTGTTTGTGTATGTGTTTGTGTGTGTGTTTGTATTTGTATTTGGCTTAACTGTTGCTTCTTCTTCTGTTGCTATTTTTTTAGCTTGTATTTGAGCAGCAGCAACGTTGCTGTGCATTTTTCTGCAAATATTAACAGCAGGTGAACTCTTGCGCTCGTTTATTAACTTATTGTTTAGTATTTGTTTGAAGTGTCTGTCGTTTGGTACTGTTGTAAATATTGTGTTGCGAAATGAATAACACTTATGCACGGCTAGCAGGTGAGTTGGCGTTGCCACCCAGTTAACAATTGTATGGGCAATGGATGCGTTCAGCATTGCTCCGCGATTGCTGTTATTTTTAACTATTTACAAATAAAATAAGTATATTTCACGTAAAAATGTATATAAATATTATAAATAAATAAATTTAATGTTCCTTTTTTTAGTTGTGACAACAGTGACTGGGATTTCTTGAGGTCGTCATATTTTTTTGGCAGTCTGGCAAGCTTATTATTAATGCGTGCTGGAGTTCATCCAGTGTTAAAAAATGTACGCAGAGCGCAAAATTTAAAAAATTACAGAGCATGGATAAATAAAAAGAAAAGCAAATTACAATATTATTTGTACGCAACGTAAATATTATACATATCTACGGAAATAAACTGCTATATAATTAATTATAAGTAATAATGTATTAAAAGAGTCCTTAATTAGTTAGTTAGTCAAACGATTTTCAGAAGGTATTTCTTTGTCTATCTTTATATTTGAGACGGAATCCAGCTGGATTTGATCTTAATCAAGGAATGGGTCAAACATCATTTGTGTCTCTGATGAATGTTGAGAGTCAACGAAAGTGGGTGCAAAGTGCATTGAAGAGCTGCTTGAAAATGAGGCTGAAAACGAAAGGGAACCACCAAATATGGCCCAAGGGGCTGAGGTATTCAGCTCAAAACTGTCACACTTGACACCTTTGTTGTCACTTAATGCACAAATTGCATGTTCACTTTGCTGTCAAAATCAAAACAAAATGAATTTCCCATTCAACAAAATTTTTGCTGGAGTTTTTTTTTTTTTTGTGTCGTTGATTTCTTAGACACGCGATGAAACTTTGTTGTTGGTGCTATTTTTGCTGTAGTTTCGTTGTGCATAATTGAAATATTATATTAATTTTAGACTTTCATTTATGCAGACAAATTTTTAAGGCCAACTAATTTATCCCATATTTGGCCCTATTGCTTTTTTGATTAATTTCGCTAATTAATGTGAATATTTCATTTCTGTCGCGAATTGTTTTTGTGTTTTTCGTTTTTCGTTTTTCGTTTATTTTGATTTATTTTTTTTTGCTTGTTTTCGGTCCCATAATTAATACGTTACGTATACGCAAGCTTGTCGCTGCGGGGGCCGCCCCTGGTAAGCGGCGAAAAAGCGTTCAAAGAGCTCCCTAACACTGGTAATTGGAGTTGTTGAAGGTGGAGGGGGTAGCTGGCAACCCAAATGGTGGGAATCCATCTGGATAGATGGTGTAAAGTGTAAGACGCATGTGGCGCATTTTAGAGATCGGCGCCAACGCTCTTTAATAGCTTCCAGCGGCAAAAACTAGGAAGGAAATAAATTACTTTGGCAGTCACACACCGTTTGCCAGAGTTTTTCATTTCTTTCACCTGTTTTGTCTTTGTTTTAGTTTTCTTGTTGATTGTATTTGATTTGTGGCGACCTCAAAACGATGCCTAGTATGCAATTCAAATGTAGCAGCGTCGACATTGAGCCTAAATTACGATTGTATTGTACAAATTTACACCTTTGATTTCATAAGTGCAAGAAACGAAATTTAATTAGTTTTTCTATGTATTTGTACAGTTTTATGAGGCGCATCAAATCAAAAAGCCTATAAATTCAAGGTATATATATATTTAGCTTTAATACTTGATTCTTTAATTGCAGCTTAAATGATACGCATATTTATTTCGTGAGGGTTTTAAAAATAAAAAAAAACCCTATAATAATATAAGTATGTTTATTATTGACTTTTAGACCGAGGCCTCATTCAGAAAACGCAAACAGCAACAAAAACAAATAGCAAACAGTTTAGGCATTGTTCGAGAGATGACCATAATGACATAAGCCGCAAAACCTATTTAATTTAAACGACCATGAGTGTTCGGGTCTACTTTGACCTGCTCTGGTTGCCTTTAGGTATTATGGCTAAGCTGCCAGTTATGCGGATAATCATCAACCTCAGCTCCGACTCCGGCTCAGCACCAGCCCCCGTCCCATCTGCCTCGCAGTGCCATCCATCAGCCGACAACCAATAATAATAGAATTCGAAAAGCGATTGCAATTGAAAAATGTTACCACAATTTACTTTGCTTTAGTCCGCTATTTCACTTCGTTATGGTGTTTTTTTCTTTCGGATGAAAGCCATACAATGGGATGCTCTGCAAGATGTCAAGAGATTGGGTAACTAAAATGATTGCTTTTTATTATTGGACAGACAAAAGGAGATGAGTTGCTAGGAGTTGCGATGTGAAATTGTTTATCAATTGGCTATGGGAATATTCATTTTTTAGCGAACTGATAAACTGTTGTAATATTTCTGTTTGTGTTTCTTAGTTAGCCTTATATAATATTTGTAAACAACAACAGAGTTCTCAAAATCAAATCCATTTTTCTCTTTAAGGCACTGGCGAATTTTCAGGTTATCATTAATCCGGTATTGAACATGTTTTTAATTTTGTTTTTTTTTTTTATAATAGTTTTTAGGCCTCAGCTAAATATGTTTTGAATCGATTATGCCTGGATTATTTCTCCTTTCAACCAGCCAGCCAGTTTATAACCATAATCATTGTTAAGCCGCTTTCAATCCAATTTACAGACTTGCAGCAATTTGGCAAATTATGCTTTTCGAGTTTCCTTCCACATATTTCGTAAGCTTATATATATATATATATACATATACGGAATATTCATATATGCATATAATCCTAAAAAATACAATGGCGCTTGTAAAATAGATAATTGACAGCTTTTTTATGGCATGTCCATAAACCGAACTGATAAACAGTGCACAGCTATTGTATGCCAACATATCTGTAATAAAATCACCCACTGGGCCGCAACAACCATCCGACCCATCCCAAGGTCGCCATAAAGCCAAAATTCAATGCAAGAAGCGGCGCCAAAATGCCGCACGAAATGTGTGATAACAACATCAAAAATGTGCATGGTTTTATCGTTTTATTTTTGTATAATTTGTATTTTTTGGGGTCGATTAATGTGTCAGGTAATTTAGTTTTGCATAAGCGTCACAGACACCCGCATTATTTTGCATTTTATGGGCAGCTTCGCGCTGTGGCATTGATGCAAGATCCGTCATCAAAAGTTTGCAGTTATGATTTTAGCTTGAAAAAACCCATCAGCTCTGAATTTGGCTAAATGAGATGAACTTAGTAAGCTGTCATCGTGTGTGGAATGTGCAAATTTCTGCACAGCATTTCCAATTGATTTTTCACAATCACCAGCAAATTGATTCATCGATAACATTGAATGTCTTTTGATTTAAATCAAAAACAGCGATAAATAACAAAAAAAAAAAAACAAAAACTTTACAAATAAAATCGAACAACTTTGTGCGGACGTTGGCAACATTTTGCCGTATTGTTGTTGCTGTTGTTGTTGTTGTAATGATGCCATTCGAATTTAAATAGAAACAGAAATGTGTGGTTACATCTCTGGTATATATGTATGTATGTATTTGTATACAAACGCATCCGCCAGCATTCATGGCGCGGAGGCGGCTGCCTCACTAAGTATGTTAATGGAGTTTAGAGTTCAGCGCTCGGTTCACATTATAAGAAATGACTATAGCATTCGTGGCTTATGTAATTGGGACTTCCCTCCAAAACATTCGATGACAAGACAAAAATACACACGTACTGACAGCCACGTAGAGCTTCTTAATTTTGGACAGCTTATTATGTACACTGATTAGTTGATCATGCGATAATCAGCAGTCTACCAGTCTACCCTTAAAAGGTTTAATAAAAACTTGCAAGTATTTTAGTTTTAATGTGCAACTAAATTTCATATTGAGACATTTTCATTTCTAAGTTATCTTCAAATATACATATATCAAATAAACACATTTGAACAATATTCAAGAGAGCAATATTCTATATTATTGTCTTCTAAATTAAAACTTCAAGTTGATTTGATTTTTAACTAAAAGTAATAATGAGGAGAGAAGCGACTTTATTATAAAATATTGAAAGCTTAATGAGTATTTATAAATTTCGAATTGGTGCAATCCGTCGAGATCTGCCCCAAAAGCATTCAATAGCAAAACAAAAGCAGGCAATTATATGGAAAACCGCATAGAACTCAAATATGTAGACTAGATCCCGTAGAAAAACCGCTTTTCCCGCTGGTAAAGGATTACTGTGGTCCTCCATCTCTGTCATATTCAAGCGCACCATATCATAGAAGCTCCGACCAAACCATAACTTCATCAGCCCAAAATCCTGCATGTAAAGCATATGCTGATCAAACTGTTGGCGATAGGGCAGATGTCGTCGTATTGTGAAATGATACATCACGGAGCGACTGAAGCAGACGTCTTGGGAATAATAAAACGCCTGCTCCTTGAAGAATTTCTGCTGCTCAACGTAGGTGTTCCAGCGCATCTTTGTCACAGCATAAATATAATTGGCATTAAAAGAATCGCGCAATTTTAAAAAGTCATCCCAACTTTCCATGATGTAAGCATTGGGTGCACTGGCCAAGGTTAGATTATAGGAACGCTCTAGGCTATTTAACTCATTGCGGACAATGGCTATTTTGTAACGAGAATTTTGAAAATCGTCAAAGCTACGTAACATATTCTCGGACGGTGGACTCGTGTAGAGGCTCTGCAGATACGTCTGGTACATGGTGGTGATCATCAGACTGGCAAAGAACAGAATCAGGCAAGTAGCTTTCAAATAGCGACTTGGATTATTTGGGAAAGGGAAAGCTTGTCCCAACAGTCCACGCAGACAGCGATCATTGAGTATGACATTGGCAAGGCTCAGTTGGTGCCAGGACAACTCCTGGCTGTAGATGAGCAACAGAGAGAATATCACAAATAATATTATAATAATAACAAGAACGCGAGGAGTCACAATAATCGTATAGATTTCCATAAAGGGCATCTTTGATGGCACTGGCACCATAAAGCAATACGAAGAGGATATATACGGAAAACTGAGATAATCAAGATGAATGGCATCCGAATTGCGCTCAAGCATTGCAGCTATATCAAGTTGGTTATGGAGCGTCTTGAGCCATATTTCGCTCTTGCCAATCCGGCCAACTTCTAAATCTTCGGGCAACTCCAGCGTTGCATTTACTCGTTCCGCAAACGTATTCACCACATTGGCCGCAAAGCCAGCCATTTTGAGTTTGCCCGATATGGGATCGCTGAAAGCAAAGGAAAACGGAGCCAACTGATCCGGTTCGCTTCTAATCACTGCTCCTTTCATGTTCCGAAATTGCTGCACATAAATTGAGTCGAAACTGGATTTTGAGTCTGAGTTGATATCCAGCTGCACGTGATTAATCTCTTGAAAGAGGCGACAGCTGAATAAGTCGCCCTGTGCATTCATCATGGCCACATTGTGTTGCTCCCTCTCAAAGTAATCCTCGCAGAGCCACTGTGGCTGCATCTCGGATTCCAGATAGACCAGGCGTCGTGCCTGCTGCAGCCTTAGTAAGCTGCGCGTATTCTGCTCCTGTTCCGCCTTGGAATCACAGCACAGCAGTAGGGAATCACTGCTGAAGCTCCAATCGCTAAGGCTGCTGCCTTTGGTGAGCAGCACTGTGGGCAACTGCAGCTTGGGGAGCAGCTCATGAAACAAACAGTCCTCTCCTCCACTCTGTCCATATATGACAATGGTATCATAATTCCGCTCCAGACGAATTCTCTCCAATATTTTCAGTAGCTTTTCCTGCAGCTGCAAATCTATCGGATCTGTTGGATAGCCCAACTGGATGCACTGTAGATAGTGGCACAGGCCACTTACCAGGATAAAGATGATGTATAACCGCATGACTACACTGCCATCAGGCAACTGTGAAGTGGACATATTGTTTGGCGAGTTTTGTATTGTTGTGTGCCCCATGAGAAATGCAACATGCAGCTTGAATGTTTTATAGCTTGTTAACATGGCTAAGTGCACAATTACACATTTATGAACAGAATTCTGGTATGAGCCAAACCTGTCATTAAAATTTTCACCAGTGAAAAATATTTAGTCATTGGCCATAGTAAACTGCAATCAGTTTATGGATAGGATCATGGGAAATACTAATATATTATTTTCGGGTTCATCTCTTTATTTATTTTTTATTGTTATTGTTAATTTGTTTCATTATTTTGTTTGTTTTAAGATACTGTTTACTACTTGGTTCTGTAGATCCAATGTGAACTATATTTGAGATTCCCCTTAATAAACGACCTGTAGTTATTTTCCCAAAGTATTTATCTCGAAATGGAAGTATCTTCTACATCTAAATATATTCAGATTCGTAATCAGCCGAATTGATTTATAGACTTCAAGTGCGAGTTCTCATATACGCAGCTCGAGCTTTCATCGATAATTTCGTCCGATTTCCACATATAGATGAAATTCGATTTCCGAAATAAAGTTAGCAAACATGGAAAATTGATTACTAGGAACCTGAGGGGTGAGATAGAAAATAAGGAACCTGCAATATCCTACACGGTACAGGTAAAAACTTGGACTTATTGTATCTCTTAGTCGAGCTCTCTTGATTAGAGTATTCTAAATTGTTGTGTTCAATAATAAAAATGATTATGTGTATTTTATTTATTTGTCAACAATCGTGCCACAAATTATGCGCAACATATCCTTGATCTCGAGATAATAGCTTGTAATAAAAGAAGATCGCTTATAAATTTTTAATTGCTGCAGCCCGTCGAAATCTACCCCAAAAACATTCGATAGCAAAACAAAGACAGGCAAGTAGATGAAAAGCCAGATAGAACTCAAATATATAGACTAGATCCCGTAGATAAAGCGATTCCTCCGGTGTCTTGGGATTACTGTAGTCCATTAGCTTTGTCACATTGAACACCACCATGTCATAAAAGCTTCGACTAATCCAGAACTGCGTCAACCCAAAAGCCTGCATGTAAAGCATATGCTGCTCAAACTGTTGGCGATAAGGCAGATGTCGTCGTAGTGGGAAACCAAATATCACGAAGCGCCTGAAGCAGATATCATTGGAGTAATAGAAAGCTTGCTCCTTGAAGTATTGCTGTTGCTCCGCATAGCTGCGCCAGCGTAGTTCTGTCACGGGATACAGGTAACTGGCATTGAAGGTATCGCGGAGTGTTAAAAAGTCATTCGAATTATCCAAAACATAAGCATTGCGAGCTTTGTCAATGCTTAGATTATGTAGATGGCTTAGCTTATCCAGCTCAGAGCGGACTATGGCTATTTTGTAACGGGAAATTCGAAAATCGTCAAGGCTGCGTAACATCTTCTTGGAAGGTGGACTCGTGTAGAGGCTCTGCAGATACGTCTCGTACATGGTGGTGATCATCAGACTGGCAAAGAAGACGATCAAACAAATCACTTTCAAATGCCGAGTGGAATTATTTGGGAAAGGGAAAGATTGTCCCAACAGTCCACGCAGACAGCGATCATTGAGTATGACATTGGCAAGGCTCAGTTGGTGCCAGGACAACTTCTGGCTGTAGATGAGCAGCAGCGAGAATATCACAAATAGCACAATTATAATGACAAGAACGAGAGGATCCACAATAATTGTATAGATTTCCATATAGGGCAGCTTTGATGGCACTGGCAACATTAAGCAATACGAACTGGACAGATAAGGATAGCTAAGATGATCCAGATTTTCTAGATCGGTGGTAGTGCTGTACAGTGTTGCAGCTATATCAAGTTGGTTTTGGAGCGTCTTGGGAAATATGTCGTCCGGTCTGCTAACATGGCCAACTTCTAAGTCTTCGGGCAATTGAAGTGTTGCATTCACGCGTTCCACAAACGTATTCACCAAAATTGCCGCATGCCAGCCATTTTGAGTTTGCCCGTAATGGCATCGATATAAACAATGGTTGATGGAGCCCACTGATCCGGTTCGCTTCTAATCACTGCTCCTTGCATGTTCCGAAATTGCTGCACATAAATTGAATCGAAAGCGGATTTTGAGTCTGAGTTGATATCCAGCTGCACGTGATTAATCTCTTGAAAGAGGCGACAGCTGAATAAGTCGCCCTGTGCATTCATCATGGCCACATTGTGTTGCTCCCTCTCAAAGTAATCCTCGCAGAGCCACTGTGGCTGCATCTCGGATTCCAGATAGACCAGGCGTCGTGCCTGCTGCAGCCTTAGTAAGCTGCGCGTATTCTGCTCCTGTTCCGCCTTGGAATCACAGCACAGCAGTAGGGAATCACTGCTGAAGCTCCAATCGCTAAGGCTGCTGCCTTTGGTGAGCAGCACTGTTGGCAGCTGCAGCTTGGGGAGCAGCTCATGAAACAAACAGTCCTCTCCTCCACTCTGTCCATATATGACAATGGTATCATAGTTCCGTTCCAGACGAATTCTCTCCAATATTTTCAGTAGCTTTTCCTGCAGCTGCAAATCTATCGGATCTGTTGGATTGCCCAACTGGATGCACTGTAGATTGTGGCACAGGCCACTTACCAGGATAAAGATGATGTATAACCGCATGACTACACTGCTGTCCCACAGCCATCAGGCAACTGTGAAGAGAACATATTGTTTGGCGAGTTTTATTTTATTGTGTGCCCCATGAGTAATGCCACATGCAGCTTGAATATTTTGTACCTATTAACATGGCTGAGTGTACCTTTGTGCCTTATTAACATGGCTAATTACACATTTATGAGCAGATTTCTGGCATGTACAAAACATGTTATTCAAAGTGACACCGAGCTGCAATTCTTGACCCAATAAAAGGTATTTTGATCTCCTGCAGTATACACTGCGAATAATGAAAGCATAAGTTAATGGGAAAATATATTTATGTTTTTACTGTCTGCGATTTCAATTTTTATTTCGGATCACAGTGATCTCATGGAATCCATTCTTGATTCCTGCAACTAATAATAATCGTAGACGTGGTTATTATGCAATACAGGATAAACATTGAAATCTAAATGAATCCGAGTTTCCTTTTTAACCAGTACGAGTTTTAGCCTGTGAATCAGGAACACAGCTAACTAAAATAGTTTAAAAAATGCATAATTCAACTTAGAATCTTATCATTTAATGATAAAAGTTGGCATATATCCATCTTTTTGCTGCAGGCAGTACATATATCGGAGACGATTGGATAATATCTGTAAAGCATACAGCTCCAATAGGAAGCAACGCTCGAAAGTCGATGAGTTTTTGTCTGGAAAACTGTTTTGTTAACCAGAACCAAATCTTACAAAATACTCCCATGCCATTAATACCAAAAATATACTATTGAACATGATGAGATATTTCCATATACAATTGGAGCAACTGAAATTTAGCTACTAGAGAACGATATTGAAAGCCTAAATTGAAATTCATTCAGTCCAGATCTGATCCCCGATTGAAGACTTGTAGGCAATCACGAAAAGCCATTTGAGATTGGATTACCGTTAAGAATTTCAGAATTTCCCTTATCCAGAAAACTGTCGCTATTTCTATGAACACTATGGAAAAATTATATAATGTTTCTGTTGATCTTAAGGGTGTTAATATTCTCTAATTAAACCATATAGTTAATGAACGAATTAATAATTCTTCGGTGGATTTGTGTATATTTATATATTTTTTATTTATTTATATGTGAAACCTTTCAATATTTTATTTAACATTAGAGGTAATTAAATTTCCAAAAAGTTTTAATTTGTCCCTGGTCATAATTTAAACGCTCTAAAAGTACTTTTATCCAAAAACTAGTTAATTGTCAAATTAATTGGGGCTTGGCCTTAAAGCTAGTACGATTTAAAGCTGAAAGCAAGTTGGTTTAAAGTTTGTTTTCTTGGTTAATTTAAAATGCTGATACATGCAATAATACTATATTTTTAATAAGCTAGAAAACGAATACTTTGATAAACTCCAACACCAATCTTCAAGCAAGAAAGAACAATTTTAGAGTGTTCACCCAGACTAACTCTATTTGAGGTAACAGTAATTATTAATAATAAAATTAACAAATGATTGTATTACACAATTTTCAATATTGAAAGAGCATTTATACATTTTTAATTGCCACTGTCCGTCGAAATCTGGCCCAAAAGCATTCGATAGCAAAGCAAAAGCAGGCCAGTAAATGGAAAGCCGCATAGAACTCAAATATGTAGACTAGATCCCGTAGAAAAACCGCTCCGTGCATCCTGGTATTACTGTAGTCCTTTAAGGTTGTTGTATTAAAGTGCACCATGTCATAGAAGCTTCGGCTAATCCAGAACTGCGTCAACCCAAAAGCATGCATGTGAAGAATATGCTGCTCAAACTGCTGGCGATAAGGCAGATGTCGTCGTAGTGGGAAACCAAATAGAACGAAGCGGCTGAAGCAGACGTCGTCGGAGTAATAGAACGCTTGCTCCTTGAAGGATTTCTGCTGCTCTGCATAGGTGCGCCAGCGTTGTTTTGACACGGTATATATGAAACTGGCATTGAAGGTATCGCGAATTTTGATAAAGTCGGTATATAGATCGAAAATTGCAATATTGCGTGCAGTGGACAAGCTAACATTACTGATGCTTTCCACCTTCTCCATCTCATACCTCCAAAGGGCGATTTTGTAACGGGAATTCTGAAAATCCTCAAAGCTGTGCAACATCTCTTCGAGTGGTGGACTCGTGTACAAAGTCTGCAAGTATGCTTGGTACATGGTGGTTATCATCAGGCCGGCAAAGAACAAAATCAGGCAAATCGCCTTCATGTGCCGACTTGGATTATCTGACAAGATGAAAGATTGCCCCAGCAGTCCACGCAGACAGCGATCATTGAGCACAACATTCGCAAGGCTCAACTGGCGCCAGGACAACTCCTGGCTATAGATGAGCAACAAAGATAATATCACAAATAACACCATTATAATGCCCAGAACGGGAGGATCCACAATAATTGTATAAATTTGGTTATAAGGCAACTTTGCCGGCACTGGCAACATAAAGCAGTACGATGTGGAATAATATGGATAGCTTACATAGTCCAGGTTCTCGTCACCAAAGGTGCCGAGTAGCGATGTAGCAATATCAAGTTGATTGTGGTACGTCCTGTTTATTAAATCAAACAAGCCGTAATTTTCTCCAAATTTCAAATCGTCGCGCAACGGCAGTGTTGCATTCACACGTTCAACAAACGTATTCACCAAATTGGCCACATAGCCACCCATTTTGATGTTGCCCGTGACAGGATCATGATACAGCATAGAACGTGGCGCCAACTGATCCGGTTCGCTTCTAATCACTGCTCCTTTCATGTTCCGAAATTGCTGCACATAAATGGAGTCGGAATTGTATTTTGAGTCTGAGTTGATATCCAGCTGCACGTGATTAATCTCTTGAAAGAGGCGACAGCTGAATAAGTCGCCCTGTGCATTCATCATGGCCACATTGTGTTGCTCCCTCTCAAAGTAATCCTCGCAGAGCCACTGTGGCTGCATCTCGGATTCCAGATAGACCAGGCGTCGTGCCTGCTGCAGCCTTAGTAAGCTGCGCGTATTCTGCTCCTGTTCCGCCTTGGAATCACAGCACAGCAGTAGGGAATCACTGCTGAAGCTCCAATCGCTAAGGCTGCTGCCTTTGGTGAGCAGCACTGTGGGCAACTGCAGCTTGGGGAGCAGCTCATGAAACAAACAGTCCTCTCCTCCACTCTGTCCATATATGACAATGGTATCATAGTTCCGTTCCAGACGAATTCTCTCCAATATTTTCAGTAGCTTTTCCTGCAGCTGCAAATCTATCGGATCTGTTGGATTGCCCAACTGGATGCACTGTAGATTGTGGCACAGGCCACTTACCAGGATAAAGATGATGTATAACCGCATGACTACACTGCTGTCCCACAGTCATCAGGCAACTGTGAAGTGGACATATTGTTTGGCGAGTTTTATTTTATTGTGTGCTCTAAGCGGAATGCAACATGCAGCATGAATGTTTTGTAGCTTGTTAACATGGCTAAGTGCACAATTATACATTTATGAACAGAATTCTTGCGTGAGAAATTGATGTCTGTTCATTAAATGGATTTTTGACACTGTGCGTTGTACACTTGCAACAATTTAAGTAGATTTCGTATACATTTATTAATATTAAGAGTTAATTATTATTATTATTATTATTATTATATTTGTGGCAAGGACTGAGTAGTAGTAAAAAGAAATGAGCTAAAATCCTTGTTGTTATAATGTTGAAGGTGTTACGTGCTAGCTAAGAGAGATTTAGTCTGCTTTTTGCTGGGCGTTACTCTCGAATGCAAATCAGCAATGCAAAAAATACTTATAAATTAATCAAAAGTTACTAGAAAAAACACCTGCTGGCAAAGGCTTGTCCTTGGAGTATGTTTTAGTCAAACTCTCTCGACTAAAGCCTTGTTACTTTTTTATTAATGAGATTTTGACTTGACAATCATTTCCTACATTTACAATTTACGTAGCCCTTTGAGCCCAATAACACTCGACAGCAAAGAAAAGGCAGGCAAGTAGATGGAAGGCCACATAGAACTTGAATATGTAGGATAGATCCCGTACATACACCGGCTCATCGTACGCCTTGGGATTACTGTAGTCCTTCAGCTCTGTCATATTCAAGTTGACCATGTCATAGAAGCTTCGGCTAATCCAGAACTGCGTCAACCCAAAAGCCTGCATGTAAAGCATATGCTGCTCAAACTGTTGGCGATAAGGCAGATGTGGTCGTAGTGGGAAACCATGCATATCGAAGCGGCTGAGGCAGACGTCTTCGGAGTAATAGAACGCCTGCTCCTTGAAGGATTTCTGTTGCTCCGCATAGGTGCGCCAGCGCAGCTCGTTCACTGCATATAAGTAGGTGGCATTGAAGGTATCGCGGATTCTTAAAAAGTCACCATAGTCATCGAAAACGTCAGTATTGCGTGCATTGGTCAATCTAAGTTTAAATATACGCTCCAGCTCATTCACCTCATAGCGGAGCAGGGCAATTCTGTAATGAGAATCTTGAAAGTCTTCCAAGCTGCGCAATATCTTCTCGGGAGGCGGACTTGTGTAGAAGGTCTGCAGAAATGCTTGGTACATGGTGGGGATCATCAGGCTGACAAAGTACAGGATCAGGCAAATCGCTTTGAAGTGTCGACTGGGATTCTCTGGCACAGGGAAGGATTGCCCCAGCACTCCACGCAGACTGCGATCATTGAGCAAAATATTCGCAAGGCTCAACTGCCGCCAGGACAACTCCTGGCTGTAGATGAGCAACAGAGAGAATATCACAAATAATATTATAATAATGCCCAGAACGGGAGGATCCACAATAATTGTATAGATTTGCATATAGGGCAACTTTGCCGGCACTGGCAACATAAAGCAATACGAATTGGACACATACGGAATACTAAGATGGTCCAGATTCTCTACATCATAGGCGCTATACAGCGTTGCAGGTATATCCAGTTGACTCTGTGCCGTTCTGAGCCATATGTCTTCGTACTTGCAAATCTCTCCAAATTTCAAATCGTCGCGCAACTGCAATGTTGCATTCACACGTTCCACAAATGTATTCACCAAATTGGCCACATAGCCACCCATTTTGATGTTGCCCGTGACAGGATCATGATACAGCATTGAACGTGGCTCCACCTGATCCGGTTCGCTTCTAATCACTGCTCCTTTCATGTTCCGAAATTGCTGCACATAAATGGAGTCGGAATTGTATTTTGAGTCTGAGTTGATATCCAGCTGCACGTGATTAATCTCTTGAAAGAGGCGACAGCTGAATAAGTCGCCCTGTGCATTCATCATGGCCACATTGTGTTGCTCCCTCTCAAAGTAATCCTCGCAGAGCCACTGTGGCTGCATCTCGGATTCCAGATAGACCAGGCGTCGTGCCTGCTGCAGCCTTAGTAAGCTGCGCGTATTCTGCTCCTGTTCCGCCTTGGAATCACAGCACAGCAGTAGGGAATCACTGCTGAAGCTCCAATCGCTAAGGCTGCTGCCTTTGGTGAGCAGCACTGTGGGCAACTGCAGCTTGGGGAGCAGCTCATGAAACAAACAGTCCTCTCCTCCACTCTGTCCATATATGACAATGGTATCATAATTCCGCTCCAGACGAATTCTCTCCAATATTTTCAGTAGCTTTTCCTGCAGCTGCAAATCTATCGGATCTGTTGGATTGCCCAACTGCACGCAGGGCAGCCAATGACACAGGCCACATACCACGATAAAGGCGATGTTTAACTGCATCACAACACTGCTGTCCCACAGCCATCAGGCAACTGTGAAGTGGACATAATGTTTGCCTGGTTTTTCTCTGCTGCTGTGCCACAAGGGAAATGCGTGCTTTGTTGTAACATGGCTAAGTGCACGATTATGCATTTATGAAAAGATTTTTGGTATGTACAAAGCATGGCATTAAAGCACTCGCAAAAATTAAATTCTTTCACGTTAATCCATCTAGATTATACCGCTATACAGTCCAGTGAAATAATGACCTGCGTTCGCTGCTCGACACGCTGACCCCTGGAAAATGTTCGACATTGGACACAATTGCGCCCAGAGACTCAGAAAAAACCTGATGCACTTTTTTGTCGATTTGGCGGCTCCATAGTAATGTCTGCTTATTGTACACTGCTCCAAAAATAGCAGTGGAGCCTTTCCTTCATGACCGAGCTATAATTATTAGTTCAAAGTCCTCATTTCTCTTGCGATAAGCGAGTTTCAGGCAGCTCATTATGAATTAGTGAACCTTTTCTATGTAGTAGAGTAGAAAAATGTAGTAATAGTTGTACAAATATATATAAAATAATAAAAAGTATTCAATAATTTTGCAGTATATATTATTGAACACTTTTTGCTATATTATACAAATTTTTTATATATTTATTAAACTAATAAATCACAACTTATGCGATGCTTACAGATTTTCGGGCGAAATGCCTTTGTTTTTTTTGGAAATATATGACATGCATAAAGATAATTAAATGTATGCCAAAGCATCGTTGTCTTATGTATTCATAGTTGATAGTGAAAATAGCTCCGATTTGCGTGTTGCCGAAGAAGATACATATATGCTCAGAATATTGTGGTCTCGACTTGCATGACAATGGGCGTGAGTCTGCTCCAATTTGGGGATTTGGGTTTTTATTTTCACTGCGCAGCTGGCCAGCTCACATGGCATGTTTTTAACAATTTCCGGTCCACAGTGTGTGTGTGTGTTTGTGAATGTGACTGTGTAGCGTGTCTGTTGCAAAGTCATTTGTAGCAGCGACAGCAAACAATTCCAAAAGTTGAAGTTGGTGCTGGTGCTGGTGCTTGTGCTGGGAATTGAGATGGAGATGGAGATGGAGATGGTGCTTGTGTGCGTGTATAGCGAAATTTTCCGGCAATTTAAGCTAGTGCAATCAATTGAATGACTTTGAAACGTGTAGAAATCAAACATTTCATTTTATGCTCTTAATTGCAGTGCAAGTGGTTTTCAATTATTCAAATGAGTCTCTTCCAGCTGCCAGCGCCACTCGAAAGTCTTCCGAATATTCGCCTACAAGATGCTGTTTGATTACGCTGCTCTCTGCTCGTGCTCAAGCTTGATACTGCTTGGAGATGGAGCAGCTGGAGCTGCTGCTGCTGTTGGCAATATTGCAGCTCCTGCTCCGGTTGCTGCCAAAACTGGTCTAGACTTGCGTTAATGGCCAAACGAGGCAGCAGCAGCGGCGACGATGGCAAAGGCGAAGGCGACTCTGTAGCTGAATTTCTTCTGCTTCATCATTGGTATTGGCTTTGGTGATGCTATCGTTGCTTTATCTGCTGCCTTTTGCCATTTCAAGTTGTATTTGTTATTGTTGTTGTTGTTGTTGTGAATGACGTTTCAGCGAAAGTTGTTACGTTACATCGACAGCGGCAGCGGCAGCGGCAAGCAGAGACAACGGCAGAGACAATGGCGCCGACACTGGAAGCCTATGCAAAACCGGTCGGTCATTGATTTTTGGCGACTTGGTAAAATTACCTGGCCATGGTCATTGCGGGACAGTCAGTCACCCAGCAATCCAGCCAGCCATCCAGCCATCCAGCCATTCTGCCAGACAATCAGACAAAGAGACAATCAGCGCTCATCTGCCCAGTTTCGCATGCATCGTTAATCTTGACAATTGTCGCACACTGCGTATGCTTGATATTTATGAAGGTATGCAAAGAGCTTCACTTGTCAGCGGGCAGTCATTTAATTGCTACAAAATAAACAACAACAATTTCGACACAGCCATGAATACTTTAAGAAAGAAAACTTTCAAGCTGTCAAGTAAAAAGAGTGTTTACAGAAGAAGTGCAGCTGGGAGCTCAGTAAATGGCTTAATGATGAAACGTCTTCATTTGGTGATAAATAATAAACTTTTAGCAAATCTGTTAACAAAAACTGTCAAAAATTGATAAACTTTTGAGTCGATTATGAATTGGATTTTTATTTTATTTATTGGATAATTAGTTTGCCTTGTTTGAACGCTTGAATGTGTCGTGGTCACAGCTGACGACGCATTCAAATGCAAATTGTGTATATAAAATTAGGACATACTTAGTATTTATAAATATTTATATTAATCGAATAAATACAATTTATAAATGTAGGTACACGAAAAGAAAATACGAGAAAAGTTCCAAAATCTGCTTTGTGTGAGAGGTTTTTTTTTCGCTCGAATTCGAACGACGTTTTAAGCCAACAAAAAGAGATTATTTTTTCATTTGTAATAGGTAATAATAACAAGGTGTTACCCGGTTTTGGGCCAAATGTGTTTTTTTGTAAACTAAATTTTGTGTATATAAATTTATATATTTTTTCTCTTTATATATTTTTGCTAGTTGAGATCGTTGGTATTTATGAGATTTACACAGATTGGCTTGATATTTTTTTATTTTTTTGGTTTAGTAACCTGAAGTAAACAATTTCCGTTGCTTACGAATAACAATTATTTCAGTATTTCCGGTGCAAAATGGTAGTTTATGAAATAGTTTATTGAAAGTTTCAATAAATAAATAAATAGTAAATGAATAACGCAGGGAAATACATCCAAAAAAATCCCCATCATTACCAAAAAAGAGGACAATTCAATTGTGAGTTAATTTTGCATTAAGTAATGGAAAACATTTTGGCAATTTTTCTCTTAATTCGCAACGCAATTACAATGATAATTAAATGCAGGAAAGTCTCAGCTGATTATTGATATTTTTAGCTCCCCCAAACCTCGAACACATATGCCATTAGTAGCTTCACAAAATGCCATGAAATCAATCATTCATCAATGTTTCAATATTAATTTGCTTCATTTTTTTCTGTTTTTGGCAATTGCCTTTTTGAGTGGCCCTTTTCTTGTTGGCGGCTATTTGCCGCTCATTTGCTAACTGTTGAAGCCAAAATGTTTATGATTTGATGACCGTCAATGTAACAAACCGCCTTTCGATAACCGCTCATTATAAACGCTATTGTGATCTTTGGTCTTTTGGGGTTTTGGCGCACACTTTTCATTTGTTTGGCAGACATTTCGCTTGGTGATTTTCTATAAGCTCAATTCGGCGTGTTATTATATATATATATATATATATATATATATACCGTCATATACAGTTTTGTTTCCTTTTTGCTATCGCCGGCACTTTGAACACACGCATTTAGCTATTGTTGGCTTGGGGCGCAATTTGAGCTACTCTCTAAACATTTGCTTGGCGGCGCATAAGCGTAATTGTAATCATGATTAAGTAGTTTTCTGCTTAATGCCAAATCAGCTATAATGCGTAAGTGTGTATGTGTTGGTGTGTGTGTGTGTGTCTGTGTGTGTGTCTGTTTGTGTGTGTGTCTATGTGTGTATTCAGATTCACTTTCAGTATGATTTGATTGAGAATGCTCAGGCCGCGCAGATTCAATGCAGACTCGTGCAGCAAACTCACCACGAGGTGAACTGACACAACACTTCAGCTGGTGTCTTCTTCACTCTCTTTCTCTTACGCCTTCGCTCTCATTCGGCACAAGACTTGGCGTCTTGGCGACTTGGCGACTTGGCAACTGTTGCTTGTGGCCCGCGTTTTGCATCAAGTTTCAGTTATAACACGGCCGCGTTTCGCTTTGGACGCGCTTCTCTCTCTCTTTAGATCGGCATACTGCGTCGGGTTTTGTTTGTTGTGACGCGCGACAAGTGGCAGGATAACGGATAGGGATATCCACTATATAAATATACACAAGTAGAAATCGGTGTCTGTGCTGTGCAGTGTGTAGTGTGTAGTGCATTATTTCTTATAATTCAACTTTTAGCCAGCTAAAGACAGCAGCAGTGCGGATTGACAAACTTTGAAATTGTTGTCCTGCAAGATGCGCTTGCAACGTTTGCCATTGCTGGTAAGTAATCTTATGTAAGCGACAATTTCGGTTGTTTGTTTTTTTGGGTTTGTTGGCCAGATGTCAGCAGCTTGACCCGCTCAGCTGCAACGTTGCCACCTGGCTGTATGCGCCCATTGACATTGATAAATTATGTCACTAATGTGGCAGAAACAGCAAACATCAACCTCAACATCAACATCAACATCCACAACAACAACAACAACAGCTGGCAACAAGTCAGGTGTAAACCATCTTCCGGTTGCCGCTGCACAATGCTGACTGTGAAGCGCAGGAGTTTTGAGAGTTGCCAGTGTTCAACTTGGCACTTGTTACGACTGCGACTTTTAATTGTCTGCCCATTGGGGCTTGGCTCATTGTTATATGTTGCATGCAACTACAACTAGTTAGTGCTGACTACCTGTTTGCCATTACACCTAGACTTGTCATACAGTCTGGTCTGGCTGTTCAACCTGCTGCAATCAGTCGAACCAAACTTGTGTAATCTCGAGCATCAAATTTGCATTGTCAGACCTGGTCATAAAAGCAGTAATGACCAGATGAAGCCACCTGCTGTAGAATTGTCTGTTGCAGCTGGCACAGCTTGCAGTGGCTTTTGTTCGGTTAACAACTTCATCTTCAACTTCATCTTCAACTCCATCGGTAGCATTTTGAAGAAGTGCAATTGCAAGTGTAATCAAAATCAACATGCAACACGAGTAAATCGAGTACGTGCCCTCCTTTCGCTTCTGTGGCAGCATCAGCATCAGCAGCAGCCTTTCAAATTGAGGCGCCAAATAGCCGCTGACTTTAATGCCAAAAATCAATAGCCATCATTAAAGGCGATTTGGTTCATGGCAACGTTTTTGTAACCTTTACAAAAGTTTTGTAAGTTTCGTATTTTTGTTTGTAATTTCGTTTGGCAGACGTTCGACCCAGAAAGTGTTTGGCTGTCTGCTTTTTGTCAACACACATGTCCCAAATGCGATACACGGCTAATTGCAAGTGTTGGCAAAGCAAATAAGCGCAAAATAACCAACAATAAGTTGATTGTCATTGCAAACTGGCCAACTAAGCAAGTAGAATTGGCCAAGTTATTATTGTATACACAAAAATTGCCAATATGGCCCGCTTTCCGTCCAACAAACGGCCGCAGGGCTGACCACGAACACAATAGCACTTCAGCACCTGTTACAGGTGTGTGAGTTTTGTCTTTGTCTGTATGTGTATTTGTGTGTGTGTGTGTGTGTGTGTGTGTGTGTATGTCTCTCTCGAATAGGCAGAGTCATTTTTTTAATATGCTGCACGCATGCAAACGAACAATTTGTATGTGAATTTGGAGTGTAGAAAGTTGATTGGATTTATTTATAATTTGTTAAGTTTCGTTATTTATGTATTTGGAGTGCTCCGAAAGTTGAGCTACCAATTTTGACAAGTTCATCCAGCTAAGTAATATATATTGTGATATATATATAGATATGTATGTATGTCACTATAATACAGCTCCTGGCCATTAGCCCTGGTCAGAAATGCCTTTCACTTGCAGATGCAATTATTTGGCCATCGAAAGATGCGCCGCTGGACATGATTGCCCAAAAAGAAAAAAAACATAAATAAATAAATACAACGTCTGCCGAAAGGAAAAGGAAACTTTGGCAACTGAAGACGAGCTGGTAACAGGCAGACTACAGGTTTTTCTAGCCAACGAGTGAATGGCGACACACGAAATATGAATTTCACACACACACACACAAAACACACACACACAAACACACACACACACAGATATGTATACAGTAAATACATAAAATTGGAATGCGGTTTTTTTTTGTCTGACCACAAACATTTTTTTGGCCTGCAATTACAACGACAAGAGTTTTGGCTGCGCATTTACTAACTGCTCATCATTAACATCATCGTCATCATCATCGTCATCGTCATCATCATTAGCAACAACAACAACAACATCATTATCATCATCCATAAACATCAGCGTGACCCGCATCTATTTTAATTAAAAGTTACTTAATTGTTGCCGCTTCTGGGGCAGCTCCTTGCATACAACAACATTAATATGCATGGCATATTAATGAGCCTAATGCGTCGATTAGGTTAACTATAATTTGTGGCTCCCTAACATCAACCTGATCCGTTTTCTGTTGTTGTTGTTAACATTTAACATTTTTGCTGGAATTTTAATTAGTCTTAGTCTGACCGAGTGTTAAGCAGGCGTAGTTAATACAGACTGCACAACTTACATAATCGTCAGAGTTCAGTTCAATGCGTCATATGCAAATTCGATACAATAGATACGCAGTTAAAGATCTCAGATACACACACAACATGTGTGTGGATGGGGAATGGGTTTGCATCGGTTGTGGCTGGTTCCGGCTGTAGCCAGACTCTCACTCTCACTCTTCAGTTTGCGGTCTTATGTTTTACTGTTTCTTATTCAGTTTTTAATTTATGCGGGTTTTGAGTGTTTTTGTTTCAGGCTTTTATTTATATGAATTTTATGTATTTTATGCAACGACCTTGCGCATCGTTTACCTTGTCAGCTTTGGCTTCAGCTTAACCTGCAGTATCTTTAACTAATTAAACCAGTGCTTGATTATTAATTTAAGCGGGGCGGGCGGGCAGCCAGCCTGTGGCACACATTGCTTAAGAGGCACTTGTATGCAAGTTTGTTGCCTAAGTCTTTTGTTACCACATGCTAAAATTCCACCCGCCCAGCGATCGATACTCTGCCACTCTTTCTACTGCCTGTTGTCTTTTGTGTAATTGTCACCATGTGCAACGCTCCATCGCTGGTCACTTAATTGTGTTTCCATTTTAGCTTTGGGCTTGTTTTTTGCATAACCCGTTGCTGCAACATTTCGTTCAATTGCATTTCAATTGACTTGGCAATTTGCTACAGACACTTGTGCATCTATGCAAAACTGCAACGGCGACAAACTTGCCCAATGCCTGAGGTAATAATTAGAGAAGGAGCTACTGAAAGACTGACAGTAAGAGCTCAACAGGTGTTAATTATTTCCACTATATATGTGTGTATATATGTGTGTGTATGTGTTTGATGTGCTATTAAATTGCAGCCAAGAATGGCGTAATTTAAAAATTCACAACTTGCATCTAATGAGCTGGCGTGAAAAGCCAATTCAAAAATGATGTAAAAAATCGATTTTTCAAAAATAATTTGTGAAATATTTAAAGTTGACTTAATTTCCTGGAAGGCTGAAGTTTTTATTTATTCATTTATCAAATGCGGACTAAAAACAGTCCAACACTCTCAAAAAAATTTAAATTTAAAGTTACAAATTAAATAAGGAGAAATAAAATTAAATATTAAAAATGAAAGTTAAGTAAATAAAATAAAGTATATAAAAAGTCTGTGGATATTAAACAGTAAAATATTCCAATGAAAAAAAAACCAAACTGACAAAAAAATGTTAAGCGTTGGCAGCTTTTGTAATAAGGAAAGTAGAAACGGTAAGAAGATTGAGAGCCAGCTAATCTCCGAAACTGTGGATTAAGATAAGTTTATCACAGTTGAGCACGCTCAGTGGTTTCACGAAGATAAGTTGGTAAATAACCTTTAATTATTGTGTAACTCGACAATATGTGAAAAAAGACATTGTAAAAACTACAATGGAAATCTTACAATTATATCCACAAATTTTCGCATATTTATCGTCAAGCTTCTGCCCTTTTTATACCAATCAAGAATACCAAATGAGGGTAAACAGACCTGCTACAAATTACACTCCTGTTTCAACTTCTTTTTTTAATGCGGTAATAAATCATGTTAATTGTAATAATTATAATGCAATGAGTGGTCTTTAAATCTGTCTAAATGTTGAAACAATGCTGTATCTTTCTAACTGACCATGTCATAAATACATGTACAACAACTCATTTGCATTTGATGAAAATAATTTCGAGTTAATTTCAATGACATTCTTTGACTGGTTGAACAACTTTTACATTTCTGACTGTGTCCAAGCATTGTATGAGCGATCGTGCCGAGATTTGTTTCTTTTATTATTATCGTTATTTTATTTGTATGGTCTTATAAATGATGATAGCAACGCGGCAGCAGCTGCAGCGTCATCTTCTTTGGTTTATTATGCATATGAGATTGAAGCTATGGGTCTGTGACTGTGTCCGAGATTGGGATTGAGTTTGTGATTGAGAGTGAGGCGTCTTCACCTACCCACAATCAGGGAGAGTGGAATGTTGGGGGTATAGGGAAACAGTTGCAAGTTGTTGGCACGTTGCCGCCAATGTTGACTTCAGCCTCAACTTGGACTTGAAGATCGCTTTCTCATCGCACTACCTGTCTGCTTGGGCCTATAGCTATAGCTGAGCCTGCCTCTGTGTGTGTATTTGTATCTGTGCCCAATTCATGTCACGTTGAGGTAGATTCAGCTGACGTCCGGCCCAGCAGCAGCAGCAGCAGCAGCATCATCATTCGTTTGACTGGCAGAAAAACACTTTCATTTTTCATTTCATTTAATAATTCATAATTTTTTTTCTTTCATTTGCTTTTGTTTATTTTTTAGCTTTTGGCTGCTGCTGCTGCTGCTGCTTCAGTTGTTTCTCAGCTGCTTGAGTTGTTGTCATCGTCAATGTGGTTGTTGTTGTGGTTTGTTGTCTGCCCGCCAAGTGTTTATAGTGGTCTAAATTTTGGCGCTTGGCGCGTTGCTTACTTCCGTTTTGGGTACCAGGCTATGCAACTTCTAAGCAGCCAAGCAGCAGCAACAAAAAAAGAAAGAAACGATTAATGCTTTACGTATTTTTACGCCTTTTAGTTTTGCGGTGGCGAATCGCACGCTAAGTTTGTCGCTTAAGTCTTTCGTTTGTTTTCGCCAGACACATATCATATATTTTGCACACCTCCGTTTAACACACACACACACTTCCTTTTGCTATGGTTGTTGTTGTTGTTGCTGTTGTTTTAAACTGGCGCTGTTATATAACCCGCTCTGGTGGTCTTTAATTATAAGGATTATTATACGCAA